ACTATTAATGGAAATAAACAACAATACATAAGTAAGCTAAAAGTGGATATGAGCAAGAGGACACTGTAAATAATAATCTGTCAACCGAATCGGAATAATAAATTGTCTGTTAACAATTTCAAACTTAACAGAAAGTTAACGATAAGAGGAAATATTTGATAGTTAATTAATAAAACATGAAATCATTATGCACAAATAAAATTTTAGAAAAAATAGTCTTCAAAATATGTTAATTTCTATTTCAATCGTCCTTCACCACTTTTATTTGTATGAAGTGGTTATTCCTGCCAGGCTTAAGTTTAATCATAGTTTCTGCAGTTAGAAAAATCAAATTTAAGGAATCTTAGTTTCTGATTAAAAATGAAGATACATGTAAGTCTACTAATTAATAGATCTATCATCCTATCATCATGTGGTAAACATGTTAACCACATGTCAAAATAAAGGCTGGAATTTTTTATTCTAGCCACAGGTAGATTTTTTTGAAAACGATTTTTCTGTGAAACTACAAGCTTCAATGGTCACGAGAAATCAGCCTACGCGTAATCCCTCATGGAGTTTCCAGGTGAACAAAAGTGAATGTTCCTAAACTAAGATACGACAGCCGTAAGATATATGCATATTTGAATAGTGTATAATCTAGTGTTTTCTACAATTTCTACGATTGAACAACATCTGGAACTCGAAACAACTATAAACCAACACCAAAGTCACAATTTTCAATACAAATGTCAAGACAGTTATACTGTATGAAGCGGAAACTTGGAGAACTACGAAAGCCATCATCCAGAAGATACAAGTATTTATTAACAGTTGTCCACACAAAACACTTTGAATCCTTTGGCCAGACACTATCAGCAACAATCTACTGTGGGAGAGAACAAACTCGATTCTAATGGAGGAAGAAATCAGGAAGAAGTGCCAAAAGTGGATAGGACACACATTGTTTATAGCATCCAACTGCGTCACAAAACAAACCCTCACTTGGAATCCTCAAGGTCAAAAGAATAGAGGAAGACCGAAAAACACATTACACCGAGAAATAGAAAAAGATATAAGAAGAATGACCAAAAATTGGACAGAACTGGAAACGGAAGCCCCTGGACAGAGTAGGTTGGAGAATGCTGGTCGTTGGCCTATGCCCCACTGGGGATAACAGGCGTAAGTAGGTAAGCAGTGTTTCTCATATTTTTTTTATACCTTTTTCAGTGCTTCCTATTTAAATAAACATTGATTTTTGTATTTCAATAAACTTATTTCTAGCCATGTTCTCTATTTTTTCATCCACTTATATTATTTTTAATAGTGCATATGAATCGAAAAATCCGAGTGCATTAGAAATAAAACAGAAAATTGAAGAATGTTTAGAAGAAAGTGAAAATGTTATGCAAATCATACCAAGCTTTATTATCATTGGTCCATTTTACGTTAATGCTGAACCTGTAAGACAAAGCTTATCAAAGAAACATAAAGCATTGGCTAGTGCCTTTTTAGAATTATTAACCAAACTATTAAGGAAACAAACTGATTCGGTAAGTCGCCTTATTTTATAAAAAAAAAAGAATAAATCACAGTTCACAGACAGTTATCTAGCAGTGCTGTCTCAGCAGACTATAGTTATTCATCCTATGGAAATTATTATTTGTGCAAACTTCACGGATGATGCGAAACAGTCGACTAAGCAAATACCTAACTTGTAACTAATCATATCACTACTGTCAAAGACTACTGAGGAGATTCGGTCACTGATTCTCCAGTACATGTTCGAACTTCAAAGACTGATCCCTTCATAAGAGTATGGGTAGAATGATTTAACCTTTAAGGACTTCAAGTTCACTTAAGAAATGAAATTGTGGATTTTTAGTCGAATCCATGTCTGTAGTTGTTAAAGTCTTTTGTGTAGGGGTACTATGAGATACAGTGATTTACCATAAATGCATCTTATTTGCTTTCTCTCTGGCTATATTTATTCGTTAAACATAGAATTCGTAGAACTCAAGTATTTCAGTTGTGTTGATAGGGATCAATACAAAGGTTTGACTTGATAAGTTCAAATAAATTGAACATTGGGTGGATTGTAATTAATAAAAATTATAATAAAATATATTTTTCTAATGTTTCGTAACTCAGTGCATGCCACTGCGGCTTTTTAATCTATGAAGCAGTGGCATGCACTGAGTTACGAAATGTCAAGAAAAAATTTAACTTTTCTACTCATTGGGATACTAGGAATATGTTATTATTATTATTATCATTATCATTATTGTTATTATTACTATTTTAATTGTGGTTTAATTTATGTATGAGCTTACATTACATTGAACAATTATTCTTCAGAGTCAGTTTTTAAAAATAGTTGTTATTGAAAAATAGATGTTAAACAGTCCATTTGAATTGAGCGTTGTGCTGAGTCATCGGTTAGTTTCAATGCTGTAATATACGCTTCCAATAAATTAGCATAACCTGGTATTTAGGTGAGAGAAGACTAAAAAGGATTCGATTCTCGATTGCAACATTCCGGATATGCCCTGCTAATGAATCCCATACCAGGACGAAATGGCCATCCAATGCTTCCATGTTTTTTATGTCGGTCTGACATTGGTCAGTCCATGATTTCATTGAAACAAATAAGCAGCCTAACCGGAAAGTTCAAATCGAAATCCATCATTGAACTTGTTCATCCACACCAAAAACCCGTGATAATTAAGCCCTTCAAAGTCTCCCATCGTTCATTTGCCCTTGAACCGATATGTTTAGTTCACCCACCCAATTACCTTTGTCTCTTGAAAATAAATTTCCCTGCAGGAGTTGTGGTAGAGTGGGGATGCATTACCTCCCTCTTGAAATGTTGTGGTACCCCAGAGATTTGTTGTTTCAAGCGGCTGATACCTTTAGTGACTCTATTCATATTCTGAGTGTCTTACCTGAATGTTAAAACTGTTCGATTTAATAAAATGCTCCTGTTGATAGTGCTTGTGAAGATGAATACTTTCGTTGTGTCTAGGCTTTACGTCAGATACAAACTCAAACTTGAAATAATTATCCAAAATTAGAGTGCGCAGAAACTGATCATATTCCTTCCAAACATACAACCTATATATATGAGAGTTCAGTTAATTCACTACTATGTATTCAATGTGTATTAATCCTATCGCGAAAAAAAATAAACACAATTCACTTTAATATTTATTGTTACTTATTTATCATCACTATAAGGTTTCAGAAGAAATCAAAGCTATGGCTACAAAATTATATGAAAAACCAAATTCCATTGAAGAATTAACTGATCTACGTGAATGGATTTCTGCTATACCAGATAAATTAGAAGAATATCAAGAATTTATTGATAAAATAGTGTCCGATTATGAGTTAGTTGATTTATTCTTCTGTAATTTATCAGCTGATGATTTTAATGCAAAGTGAGTTGGTTGTGTTTTTTTCTTTGTTATTTTTATATTGATTTTATAAATTTATATTGTCACTTGTTGATATTCTGGATCGCAGTGACGTCCTAGATTACATTAGCTACCATAAATTCCGTTTAGGCCTAACTTACTTACTTACGCCTGCTACCTTTAATGGAACATGGGCCGCCGACCAGCGAATTATCTTTCTGGTTAGCGGCTTTTTCAGCGAGTTGGATTTCTACGGGATAAGGTCGCTAACCGCATGCTCAACCCTCCTTTTTTATCCGGGCTTAGGACCGTCAGAAACCCTAAAAGGGCTTCAGGTGAAGTTATAGATAGAACTGATAATTACTAAAAATAATACTAGTTATCGGATCGTAACCTGCTTACTTACTCATTGATAGTTGGCTCTAGATAGTTCGCATTTAATGACAATTTAACAATTATTGATTATTTTAGGTTGTAATTTATTTGTTTTATTATAGGTTGATGTTGATAATGTTCAATGACTAGGTAAAGAGATTTAGACACTATTTTTGAAAAAAATATTTCTGATTTTTTGTTTTTAATGTAACAACACTTCATGAATCGAATCAGTTTATTGCATCATGAACTTTTGTAAGTCACAAACAATAATGTTCACTGGAATTTTCTTAACTATATTAAGATATGATTGAAGGGATCTGTTATTATTGAATATATATATATATATATATATATATATATATATATATTTCCAACTTTCCACTGGATGACCTAATATGAAGCGATTATTCATACTGATGAATTCAAACAACAGACAACACCGGATTCATACCATTTTGAAAGTCGTGTTATGTATCACATCACATGACAATGTTTGATTATATTTAAATTCTATCCATAAATTATGTAGTTGTAGTAGAGTCTGAGATAAAAATTATTGAAGCATATTTTTGTGCTCAATGCCTAACTTGATTATTGCATTCTTTAGCGCTTTAAATGTATTTGAAATTTTGCATGCACGTTACTGTTAAATCAGATCTACATCAGGTGATTCGGGTTGACAACTGTCAGTCAAACGAAACTGGCACAGTTGACTTTATTGATGAATGTTAACTGGTAGAGAATCTAGATTCAAAATTCCTCATTAATTACTCAAAACTACTGAATATATTTGAGAAATTCTTGTATAATAATGTAAAGCATTTACCTAAGCATCATCCTCTTTATGCTTACAAATTTACTAGTATATATATTTATATTTACTGTTTCATAGAAGAAGAAAAAAACGCATTTTATAATTATTATTAAAATATTTGCCTAGATGGACTGCCATTGGTTGGCCGCATAAACTTCGAGAAATAATTATTCACGTGGAAACAAATCTTGAAGAAGATGAAGAACGTTTTCTGAAACTTCAAACTTCTGATTCTGCTTCATTTGCTGATAAGATTGGTTCACTAGGAGTAAGGTCTTTTTTTCCTCGATTAGTTTGATGAATAGAATTTGAAATAAATAATAATAATAATAATAAAAACTAAGCAATATATTTACACAACTCTCGGAATTCTCCTTTAGATTAGATTCATAATTAATTTCAAGCTGGTTTATGGTATGAGCTGACGACAGTAGGAAAACTATTACAAACCCAATTCACTGGCTTTTTAAGTGTTGGTTGTATGCACTGTTGTCATGTTAGTCAATAAATTTGAAGAGGAAATCTCAGAATAAGACGGGACATCCTTTCGAAACAAATAAATTTTTTCATTGATTTTTCAGGTGACGTATTTTTGTAATGCAGTTCACTTTAAAACAAGAATAAATCTCTGCAAATCAATTACTCAACTATTATTAATTATTCCTAAGTGATATAAGTTTTCGTCTGATGACTGAAACTTGTATTACCCAAAAATTCAATTCAAATTAACCAATATTTATTTTCACTGTTTACCACATATATTGCCCTTCTTTAAGTTATGATCGGATATACTGGAGAGATGTTTAGCCTTAGGACTGGACTCCTCAGTAGTATCCATTCATAACTCCACTGTATATCCGACCAATGTCCTATGTTCTCATCAGGAACGCCTAACCTTTAGACCATTGAGTCAGGATCCAGTCTTCACAAACCATCTATGCTGATAACGATCATGGGTATTCGGGAATGAGTACTACTGAGGAATCTGACTCTAACAGCTGTCTAGTGTTTTCTGAAATACAATGCTGACTGAAAAACAGAGGTATATGATAAATTTTCAGTAGGAGAAGAGGTTTGGGCGTGTGTATACTTAAACACCACCTACCAGGAAGTACAGTAATGGGAGTAAGTAAGCTAGGGGCGACTAAATGACAATATGATATCACTTCATTAGCAGTTGATCTGAACCATGCTGTTAGGTACAAAATATCTTGTTCTAGCCCCTCGATAATCTCGACCGGTGGCTGAAGACTGAGTTGATTAAGTTCAAAATCAGTCAAAATGTGGACCAGACGGATTCACTGGTTGTCTTTTTTCATATATTGTTTTTCATTATTCCATAATATATATGATTTTATCCTGTCTTTCCGAATCATATTCACATTATTTAGTTTCTTTAGGCAACATTGCTACTGAACTATTTCAACTTTTCTGTCATTCATCTCGTTACTTTCACCTATCGCCAGGATGATATGATATGATAACATAGCATAATTGTAGACTTGTGTCTGAACCGATATTGAATATGAGTGTCTCGTAGTCATTTTGTTAAATCACAATTATTCACTTTTATTTGAATTTATTAATTATTTTAATTTTTCAAAATTTAAAGATGATGATTACATCGATGGCATCCTATTCAGAGATTGGTAAAGCACAAGAAATTGCCAATGAAGTTCGTCGTATTTCTAAACAATTATTGGATGCACAAAATATGGCTGGTGTATTGAATAATCGTGAACGTCTATTCGGACTGCCTAATACAAATGTAAATTAATTTTAAAATAGCCAGTAAATTGTTATGTTATTTTTCACTAAACAAGATTTTTCACGCCTTTCAAATTATAACATTGAACTGATTATGAAACCAGTTGTTTATTATTTGTTCTGAGATGCTTAATTAATAGGGATTATTGTATATTTGAACGGAATTAGCAAAGATTCACATTTCACAAAACAGTCGTTATTCATCAAAAAGAAATTGGTTAAATATAATTGTCAGAAAATAGATGTTAAACAGACAATAAGAGCTATAAAGTGACCTCTAAAAATTAAATTCAAATATTTTCTGTAGTTTGGCGGCAAGACTATGAAACTAAATAACTTTCTAATTCAACAACTACCTACTTTATCGAAATTACTTTTTGTTCTCTTCTTTGATATCATTTCAAAAGTGCTGCTACGATAACATTTAATGTCAAAATTTATTGTCTTATAAGGAAGAAGATAAACCAGTTGATAGATAAAGTTTTATTTGTAACCATGAATCGATCAATGTTAGACCACCATTAGAAACCTGGAAGCACTGGACGGCCGTTTCGTCCTGGTATGGGACTCATCATCTTCACAACAACCTCGCAATGCGATAGATAAAGTTGTAAAGTTTTTTTTTTTCAATTTCCATTTTTAACACTGTTTGCTCTTAAAATTCCATAATAATGACATGTAGTTTACACTAGTTCAGATTTAAAAGAAAAGAATAAAGTATTTTGAGATGGTGGAGAAGATTTGTAGCTTAGGTGGATGATTGTGGTGGTGTTTGGTTCTCTGAGCTGAAGTTTGCTGAAGTTTGTGCTGATGATGTTGTTCAGAAGAACAATGAAAGCTCCACAACCAAAACATCCAGCTCAGAGAACCAAACACCACCAGAATAAAGTATACATGACATGTTAAAAAAACATTCTTGTTTATATAGTCCAAAATAATTTAAAATTTAACGAATGCTATAAATTATACATAGATATATTTCTTCATCATGTAAAATTCACTCATTAAATAGGACGGGTAAGTTTGCTCAAGTTTCGAATAGAATATTCTTATTGAACATTGAAACGATTATGGATAGTTTCAATAATTATTGTTTCATCTAAACCACTTTTTTTCGTTTTATTTTAAAACAGTATGAAAGTATACCAAGATTAGTAAAAGATTTTGAACCATTTAAAAATCTGTGGTTGAATATAGCAGATTGGATGAAAATACAAGAAGCCGTCATGAATGATCCTCTTACATCGATTGACACAGATGCTCTGGAGAAAGTAATTGTTGAGTGTTACAAAACAATGCATAAGTCTGTAAGAATATTTCATGAATTAGCCAATGTTCAAGAATTAGCTAATAATGTTAAATTATCAATAGAAGAATTTAAACCATACTTACCATTGATACAAAGTTTACGTAATCCAGGTATGCGTCAAAGACATTGGGAAAAGTTAAGTGAAGAACTCGGTGTAAACATTGTACCAAAAGCTAGTTTGACATTTTCAAAATGTCTAGAAATGCGTCTTCAGGTAAGTAAATTATACATTACTTTGTTCTTGTTTTAGTATTATCAAAACGTAACCATAAATGTTCAATTAAAATTTATACTAAAATGGTGTAGGGATGACTCTTTGTTAGTACTCAATGAAAGTGTAGTATCTAGTACTGTCGAGCATTTTTTTCGCTCATTTAGTGTCGCATTGTTGCATATGGAAGTGTAATTTTTACTAGGGACTTCATTGAAATCATTTAAATCTAATTTGATATGTCTTCTGCAAACGCGCTACTTTAAATCACATATCGTAACTGACATCAAATATTCATACCAATTAATAAGACAACAGTCATTGAATCTAACTATCAGAACTTGTTACTGAATACATTTCAAATCTATAATATTCCGTAAAAACTATTATTGATTATCTAAATTCTTCTTGTATTTCATGACCTCACTTTTTGGAATATAGAAAATCTGTTTTACTCTAGAGTACGTCACTTGTATACAGAGGAATTTTGATGCAGTTGTTAATGTAATCTTGACTGATAAATGAATTGAGAATGTACAACGAATAATTTTTTAAAATTTTTTACTTTGACGGTTTGTATCGTTAGAGCGATGCAGCGCATTGGAACATTAAATAACTATTCATTCACAAATTTTTATCTTTAGAATACGGCGTTGTAGAAATTACAGAATTCCCATAGATTTTAAATAACAGGTCAGTCTTAATTAGACCATCATTGTAAAAATGTAAGTATTGGACAACCGTTTCAAGCTAGTGTAGTGCTCATCGATAACTCTGTATCCATGATTTGAACTCAGGACTTCCAGTCTCGCAAGCAAACCCCTTGATCTTTGGATCACTGAGCCAGAATTCTATAATGTGAGTGGCTAACTTCAATTAGTACACATTAATAAGCAATCGTCTTACACTGCTTTCAGTTGATAACTGTCCCACATCTGACCTAGTTGAACTCCACTAGTCGCGGCTTTTCACCAGAACTCCAGGATATGCATCTAGAAGTTAGTCACTAGTGAACACATGATTATTATTATTATTATAACGAGAATAGAATTTTTTGAAGATGAAAGAACTCTTCATATTTTCTTTAATCATGAATATTTGGTCATTTACTGAATTCGATTCAACTATATAGCCTTGCCTTCAATATTTTACTGATCATTGCTTTTTTTTTTATTTATTCAAATAGGATAATATTGATATTATATCTAAAGTAGCTGATATTGCTGGTAAAGAATATTCCATTGAAAGTGCTTTAAATAAAATGATGAATGATTGGGAATCTGTCAAATGTGATGTCATTCCATATAAAGATACAGGAACTTATATTATTAAAGTAGCTGATGAAGTGAATCAGTTACTCGACGATCATATTGTCATGACACAATCTTTGAATTTTTCACCATTTAAAAAACCATTTGAAGAACGTATATCTCAATGGGAAACTAAGTTGCATTTAACACAAGATGTATTAGATGAATGGATCACATGTCAAAGACAATGGTTATATTTAGAACCAATATTTAGTTCTGAAGATATTAATCGGCAATTACCAGTTGAAAGTAAACGTTATACTACAATGGATCGTATATGGAGAAAAATAATGAAATCATCATTAGAACAATCACAAGTGATCACATTATGCTCTGATGCACGTTTATTAAACAATCTGCGTGAATGTAATCGTTTATTAGAACAAGTACAAAAAGGTTTAAGTGAATATTTAGAAACTAAACGTCAAGCATTTCCAAGATTTTATTTCTTATCTGATGATGAATTACTTGAAATATTATCACAAACTAAGGATCCAAAAGCTGTTCAACCACATTTAAGAAAGTGTTTTGAAAATATTGCAAAAGTAAGTCATTCATGAATTTCTATTGCTCGTTCTCATTGTGTTTAACACGTGTAAAAACGTGATTTTACGAATCTTTTGGACTTATAACCAGATATAATTGAGTAGTATTTCCCCAAGTGTGCATTATATATTCGATTTGAATTTGTTCATCATCATCTGTTTGACGTTGTATGAAACCAATTCAAGGCATTTCTCACCACTACTTCTTACGCTTTGATATTAATGTTTCTACAAATAAAAATAAGCCATCTTAATAGTCACTTTAATGCACATACACTAAGCTTTTTGTTGCTCTGATTTCAGTCACCCTACTGGCACTAGTTCATATAACCACAACTTAAAGTATAAAGTATAAAAACCCCGTACGCTCACAATATGTTACACTTTCCACATCATCCAACATGATAACAAGAATTTAGAAATGGAAAGGCGTTATTTCAATGTAATTAATTTTTATCAAGTATTGAATAAAAAGAGTTTGTAAACTCTTTCTGTGTTTATAGTTTATGAAGAGAAATAACACGTGAGAAAAACTATTCTGGAAACAATCAACTGAGAGATGTTTATCTGATGATATTAGGCTAGACATTTGTTGTAGTGTTGCGTTCTATGAGCTGGATGTTTCGTTTGTAGAGCTTTCTTTGTCCTTCTGAACAACATCATCAGCACAAACTTCGGATAGAAGTGAAGCATTCGAATTTCTCCACGTTTGACCTGTAGCTTGTTCTGCTAACCTTGATCTTAATTGGTTGCTGTTGATAATAAATCTGTTGTTGTTTGCACTTTCGTTTTGATTGTATTCCCCCTTTTGATCTATCTCTTGATCCTTGTTTGCATATGATTTTTCTGATTGGTTGGTAAATTGGATCAATGACGATGTGTTCGTTGATTGCTGATTGAACTGAGTGCTAAGTTTCTAAAAATTCTCTAGTTTTCTTTGTGCTCCCCCATCTAGTATTTCCAGATTGTTCGAGTCGATTGTATGTCCATAACTGTCGGTGTGTATTGATATAAGCGAAGAATTGTCGTGGCGGTTGATTGCTGAATGGTGTTCACGTGAACGGAGCTGTAGAGGACGTCCACTTTGTCCCATGTAGTGTTATTCACAATATGATGTAGATGATATTCGGTTTTTCGTCCTTCGTTATTTTGTCCTTTGGTTTACATAGGATTGATTAAAATGATTCAGTCGGTCTATGTGCCACACCTATTCCAAATGGTTTCAGTAGTCGTGCTGCATGCTCCGATGTCTTTTATGTATGGTAAGATGATACGTTTATTGGTTCCTGTGCTTGATTTCGCTTCTGTTGACGATTTCAGCTGGTGTTTTTTTGATGAAGTTGCGTGGATAGCCGTTCTTTTGGAAGATAGTCATTTAATGAACATTTCATGAAATAAACAACTATTTCGATAAGATTAACTTTGTATTCTTTATTCTGTGAATTCATACCGCATAGGCCAAATTTTTTCTCTTCTAAATCCACAAATATTGTTGTCAGTACTTCTATTAATCAGCAATTAGTCTTGGTTTATTTAATCTCACCATGCCTAATATAATATAGCAAGCAACCTGAAGTAATGTATATATGATATATTCGTCAAGTTCCATATTGCACTTGGCTAACTTGTATCATATTGTAGTTATGTCATCCTTTTCTCATGATCATATTTATCCATACATTACTTTGCTACAACAACTCAGTTTAAATGATTTGTGTTTATTACAGTATGTATTATATCAATAATGTTGTCATTAAAAATGATCTCATCTTTGATTTTAAACCTAGAATACATATATCTTAGGCTTCATACTCATAAAAACTTAATTATGGCTGTACATTCTCATCAATATTATTGATGATTTGATTACAATTTAATTGGTTTAATTCGTACAATAAATACATTTTCTTTTCTTTTTTAAAAATCAACTAACTATACAGTTACAATTTGAAAAAGATTTACAAATAACGGCTATGTTTTCTGGTGAAGGTGAATATGTGAAATTTGAAAAAACTACCTATCCAACACCAAATGTTGAAGAATGGATGTTAGAAATAGAGAATTTAATGAAACTTTCTATAAGAACTATAATTGGTAAATCAATTGAAGCTTATGCTCGTACACCACGTACTGAATGGGTATTACAATGGCCTGGACAAATAATTATTGCTGTATGTCAAACATATTGGACAACTGAAGTAACTGAAGCACTTCAGTCGAATCAAATGAATGAATTATATTCAAATTTACTTAAACAATTAGATGGTCTACGTAATCTTGTACGTGGTGATTTGACTAAAATTGGTCGAATGACTTTATCTGCATTAATTGTGATTGAAGTACATGCACGTGATGTTGTGACGAAAATTATTGAAGAAGGTGTACATAGTATGAATGATTTTGAATGGATAAGTCAATTACGTTATTACTGGAACAATGATGAAGAACAGTTAAAACTACGTGCTGTCAATGCTGAATTTAATTATGGTTATGAGTATTTAGGCAATACAACACGTTTAGTCATTACACCATTAACTGATCGTTGTTATCTTACACTGACTGGTGCATTACACTTGAAATTTGGTGGTGCACCAGCAGGACCAGCTGGTACAGGTAAAACAGAGACAACAAAAGATTTAGGCAAAGCATTCGCTGTACAATGTGTTGTATTCAATTGTTCAGATCAGTTAGATTTTATGGCGATGGGTAAATTTTTCAAAGGTTTAGCGTCAGCTGGTGCATGGGCTTGTTTCGATGAATTCAATCGCATTGATATTGAAGTATTGTCAGTTGTTGCACAACAAATTACAACTATACAAAAAGCACAACAACAACATTTAACACGTTTCCTATTTGAAGGTATTGATTTAGAATTGAAACCATCATGTGCTGTATTTATTACAATGAATCCGGGTTATGCTGGACGTACTGAATTACCGGATAATTTGAAAGCATTATTTAGACCAGTTGCTATGATGGTACCAGACTATGCATTGATTGCAGAAATTTCATTATTTTCATTTGGTTTCTCAGAGGCACGTTTATTAGCTAAAAAAATCGTCACTACATTTAAATTATCATCAGAACAATTAAGTACACAAGATCATTATGATTTTGGTATGCGTGCAGTAAAAAGTGTTATATCGGCTGCAGGTAATTTAAAACGACAAAATGGAAGTATGGATGAAGTGAGTAATTTTTTTTTCTTTTCATTATCCTTAATTATGCATAAAAACTGAACTTTAAAAATGTTACTTCGAATTATGTTTCATCTATCTTGCATACTGAACAAAGAATGGTGATCATAGACAGAGGCAGGTAATAAATTTGGATAATGAGCTAATTGTACCGGCTGGGGTAATCTGTACATAATGTAAAAAATCAATATAAATTGATGAGTGTTCATCACATCCGAATTATTATTATTATGATTACTGCTTAAATTAGTTTTCAGTCCGAGTTTACCTGATTGGATCAAATCACGTATCAATCTTTCACGTTATGCATAGTTATCGATTTTGTGGGTTTTTTTTTCGGTGAATAAGTCAAATCTTATTCACCAATCAGCTTGTCCATTAGGATGAACATGTAGTCCACAAATTTTCTATTGTTCTACACATACATATCAAAATACAAAGTGATTTGTACATCACACTACATAAGAATAAAACTGTAAAATGTTTGAAAAGTAACTGTTCTAAAAGAATACTTTCTTTCCGATATATATATACGTATCTGGATTCAATTTGATTAGAATTACATTTGCCTAGTTTATCATTTACACCGACATCCTCCATAACCAATGTGAAGAGGAATACAGAAAACAAAATCTCACAAGTTTTCTGTAACTCATAAGTTATAATGTGACTGATTAAATACTATATAACCATTCTATTGTAAAACGAATGAGCAATCATAGCAGTCATCATAACTTGCTTTCCTGTTTTAAAGTCATCGAACTGGTTAGTAAGACATTATCAGATAAAATCTATGGAAAAAATATCTATCTCTGCATGAGTTTAGACTGAAAATCTTCTGAAGGGATTGATTTTTGACTACATATAAATTTAGCTATTATCAAAACAATCCATTGTCAATGTACAACCTCAGTATTTACATTCTCTAATATATAGGATCTTATCTGTCTACGTGCTATACGAGATGTGAATGTGCCCAAATTCTTATCCGATGATTTGAAATTATTCAGTGGAATTGTATCTGATTTATTTCCTAATATAAAGTAAGCTTCATTTTTGAAACAGTTATTCTTGATCGGTGAATATGTCAAATATCGTTTTAAACTGATCAGAACTACATGTATCCTATTTTGAAATACTGAATGATTAAGAAATTAATCTACATACTAAGAATCATCAAATTGTATCAACTGTCTTATCCTTTGAGGGTAGTTTGTTAATTGAAAGTGAAATTATTAAGACTAATTATTTCGATATTTCGGTGGATGTTTAATTATGGTCCAACTGAGTTTGCAGTCACTTAACTGTAACCATTGTTCTAGGTTTCATTTAGGTTTAAATGTATCGCTGGAATTTCAAGAAAGCCGCTCTTCACTTCGTAACTGAAATCATTTTCAAAATATTTAATGTGACAAACAAGGTGGAAATCACCCAAAGGATTTTAAAGGTTCTCGAATTCCGAATATTAACAAGCTAACTATAATTAAGGTTTTCCTAGTTGTAAGCATGTGAATCATGCCATCTCCGTCGCCATTATCATGCAGCAGAATTTTGTGATTTCTAATGAAGGGAATTTGAGTATGAGTCAGCTAATACAGGTATGGTCAGTTACTCTCACAATCTGACTCGTCTCTCAATCTCCCAACCAGAACTTCATGAAGATATAAAATTTGTATCCTCATTTTCATCAAATATATCAATTTAGTGTTTGAATTAAAACACGAGAGCATTATTGATTTCTTACTTTAATCAAGCTTTCATTGAATTGGTCTTCATTGAAGTCACTGATCATCTTTTTTCATTCTTCTAGTGAGCAGCCAATTGTTTATGGTGATTTGATGACTGCTTTAAAGACATCATGTAGTAAATTAGATTTAATGGAAGTTGAAGGTAATTTGTAAAGTATTTGTTATTACAATTTTTGTCGGTTAATAATTTACTGTATATGTACGTATGGTTTCCAAAATTTCGTCAGATTCTTTAAAAACGGGCATTTACTACTAACTAATCTGAGGACTCAAATCGAAACAGATTATCTGATCCCTTGAGTCATCAATAACTTTTGATTGGTTAATAAAATTACAGAACATAAGTTGAGTCAGTCTATCATGTTCATGAGTCTTCATTGGGCTGTCAGCCTATCTAACAATGTATCTGTTTTGTGACTGGACCACCAATAGAGTATAAGCTTTCTTTGACCACATCAATGAGTGCACAAATTGGACGATGGATTACATTGAGCAGTTGGTATTTGTTTCAAATGTCATTCTTCTCAACAATAATATAAAGAATAATCAGAAATTCTTTGATATATTGTTAAAATGGGAATGGAAGAAAAGCAAATCAACATGTACCGAACAAATAGGTATAGAACAACAAGTTATTCAATAAAATGGTTACCAGTATCAAGATAACTTAAAATTAATCAATTGAAGAATAACAATAAAATCTAAATTTCCTGTCTCAACTCTACTACTTACGTCATCTACTATGATATAATCAACTAGGTTATATCGCTTGAGATTAGACAAAATACGTCGGAATAAAACCCGACTGTTGGTCTGTGTTTCTAGATGATTATATACTGTGCATTTAAAGAAAGCTCAAGTAAAGTTAGATGCTTCAAAAATGCATAACATAGTGAAAATGCATTTTCACCTAGTGGAATTCTTCACAAATCGCCAACGTATCGTTTATATCTATGTTAAGAATGAAGAGATTTTCAGGCGAGCAGTAATGAAGTTTAACTGGTAAGTGGATCATGTAAACAGATGATGGAAGATTCAGGTTTTGAATGATCGATCTTTATTATTGGCTTGTTTATTACTAAGTAGAATATTTGATATAACCTATTGCCGGTTGAACTAGCCTCCATAAGAACAAATCATTCTGAAACGAATAATGGTCCTATTTACGGATGGTATTAATTTGCGATTTCATAGTCAACTGAAAGGATAATAATAATAATAATTTTGATCACAAATTGACACAGAATATGGAACCCGTGTAAAGAACGGTTCAGGTCCACATGGAGCATACTTGAACAATCGAAGTAGAATCATTTATTCACGAAGTCCACATAAAATCCATTCGTAATACTGAACACATCACAAAATAATTCTTACGACTAATATTACCCTATTTCTGTCATGTTCCGTGAATTAAAAGGAATTTTCGGTAAATCGATCATTGCATTTCTTACTCACTTGTGAAATAAGTTTCACTTGTTGCGAGTGAGGTTATTTTTATGCTTGATCACGCATAGGAGCACATGAAGTCCAGTATATTCCGCTTACCAATGTTTCTTCATCTGATATTATGTGTAAGCTGTTAAAAACTTCATAAACAACTGATCAAATCAAGTATTTTGACAGCTTGATAGAATTACCTATGATTTATTGATATCGTATCTATTTTCGTTGATGCGATTAATGATAACAAGCTGCACTAATGGAAATTTATTTACTGCTGACTACAATTGGTCTAAACGCACTACATTCAGATTTTGCAATCAGTGATACTTTGCAACATTACGAAATGAACAGTCGCTAAGGTTTCATTCAAGATTCTACTAATAAATTGGCTATTAATAAACAGCACCAACAAGCGTCGAATGCTATTCGGAGTTGAGTTGCCTGAAACATAATTTTATTGTATACAACTAGTTTTATCCTCCATATAAATCAGTTTTCCTGTCATTTCTTAATGTTTCCTAAAGGTTTCATTCACAAATGCATTCAACTTTACGAAACTACTGTAGTTAGACACGGTCTAATGTTAGTTGGTCCAACTGGATCAGGTAAAACTCAAGTGAGTTATCACTTTTGATTTAACATTTGACGATAGATAACCATTTATGAGTGGATAATAATGTTAGTAAACAATAGGATCCAAAATATAAGTATTGTTCTTTCTCGTAGTTGATATTCAGTACTGGATTTTGATTGATCGGTATTGACATCTTTTCATCCTAATCGGATGCCTCTTTACTACTTTTAGTTGCAAATTACGTCATCGAGAAAAGTTAGACACTTATAGTTGAGCAATTTATTTACGTGGTTCCTTCTAAGGAATAGACACTGACATAGTGGAATGGTTTTGGATCTAGTCGGATGTTTAAATACTTTGAATATTATCAATATCCAGAAATCTTTGAAAAGCCTAGTTTTAACACAACAGAGCAGATTTAAATCAGAAATAATGATGACTAACATTGTTTCTTCAGTTGTATCTTAATAGATAATTCAGCTAAGGTTCGGAGATTTCCCAGTCTAAAAACAGATTCATGTAATTAGTTACAAGAAAAATTTCATTCACATTCTAACATTTGACAAAAATCGTTAATGATTGATAACTTTTATTTCTTTCACTCTATCCTATTTCAGTGTTATAGAGTACTTCAAAATGCTTTGACGTCATTACAAAATCAGTTGGCTCCTGATGGTTCATTATTTCAAACTGTTCATACATATGTATTAAATCCTAAATCAATCACAATGGGTCAATTATATGGTGAATTTAATCTATTAACACATGAATGGACAGATGGTATATTAAGTACATTAATACGTTATGGTGTTAATGCAGCAGATGATGATAAGCGTTGGTATGTATTCGATGGTCCAGTTGATGCTGTTTGGATTGAAAATATGAATACTGTATTAGATGATAATAAGAAATTATGCTTAAGCAGTGGTGAAATTATTAAATTATCTGAGACAATGACTATGATGTTCGAAGTAGCTGATTTAGCTGTTGCTTCACCAGCTACTGTTAGTCGATGTGGTATGGTTTACTTAGAACCAAGTATATTAGGATTGAAACCATTTATACAGTGTTGGATAAAACAACTACCAGATGTAATAAAGCATTATCATGAAAAACTGCAAGAATTATTTGATCTGTATATGGAAGTAAGTTATCATGAACTGGGTTTGCTCATTTGTCGAATGATAAAATTAAACTTCTTTTTAGTTATCATTGTCATTTTCTGCAGTTTCGAAACTGAACTGAGTTCAAACTTACGATAGAAATAGATTATTGAAAGACTATAATAAGGGTCACCAATAAGTTCTTTGATTGATGCATGCTGTTAATGTAATTTCTAACAAATAAATACTTTTCAAAAGTATAACTGATAGGTAAAGGCTCTTTTGCTTTTCCTTCAATATTTATGGGACAACTCTTGTAAAAAAACATTTATCAGATGAGGTCAACTTGAAGCATTAAAAATGATCAACAAGACGGATACAGATCTAGTCAGTTAATCTAGATTTAAAAAACATAGACTAATCAAAGCACAGAGAACTAATAACCGGAAATCAGTCACGCCAGAACAAATAATCAGTTAACAGTATGTGGCGGGTTTGTAGTAATATTAATAAAATATGTTTGTATTATAAAGAAGGTTCAATACTTAATTCAGTGGTTTAGAAGCATAGTGTTTCGCAGCTACTGTAGTTGCCTCTATCTGATTGCATGATATGTTCAGTAATAATATAATCAATGATCTGTCTATTCAGCTTGCCGAATTCCTTACATAAACTTCCAATCAAAACAAACGATACATGAAAACATGTAACGTAGCAGATAACATATACTAGATTGTCGGACTGAAATTATTCTATATGGAATTAACCGTTTGTATTTTGACAGGATTCAATTAAATTCATCAGAAATGAGACTACAGAGATTATTAGAACAACTGATGGACAATTATGTTTCAGTTTAATGAAAATGATGGATTTTTACTTTTTACCATTTCAATCGAAAGAGGTTAGTTTTATCAGTGAATCAATAAATTGTTGTATTTCTGTTTCAAGTGTCCAATTAAAACAATACATTTTAGTATCCTTTCAAATACGTTTCATCATTCCATATACAGAAATACAAAAGTTATTGACATAAATGAACGTGAATAACGTAAGTATCCTCTAAGAAATACTGTATGATTTAAAAAAGGGTAAATAGTAGTGAATGAGACCAAGTCATCTTAGTATCATGATTCCAGCTGATTTTCATTGACAGATGTTGTTTTATTATGTTAACTGATTATACTCAAAACAACCCTTAATCAGATTGTTGATCTAATGAATAATGTATGTCAATAAAGTGCATGAGATGATTATTTTTTTCGAGGAGCATACGAGATCATACTCGTGACTTAACTCAATCTCCTATGATTATGTTTTACAAAAATATACTTGGTTTCAGTTCAAGAAATCAATATTGACATTGAAATCTAACTAACAAGATATAATTTAGTCGAAATGCGTCTCTTGAAATTTGACTGCAATGCTTAATCTTGAATCTGCTAAGAGAGATTGTCATTTATTTATTAGTTCTATGTGGTTGTTTATCGTTCAAAATTTATTTTTCTTATGCAATTACTTTCGATAATAATCTAAATTAATATTATTTGTCTAATATTTTTCTTCATTAAGAAATCTATGGCAGATTCCAAACGACGTGTAAGTTAAAAGTAATTAAGCTATTTTTTACTAGAAAAGTTGATAATTTGATCAGTTATTCTTAGGATGAAACTTTTATCTTGGAATGATGATAGGAAAAATAAAGAAGCTGTGCTAATTTATATATCAGTATTAAACAGTGTTCATTATAAAACAATGTTCAATGAAGTTACAACTGTTCATTGTATGTTTTGAGTATTTTAAATCAATAGTACAGAACTTAGTCTAAAGGAAGGCTAACTATAGCCCAAATAGATCAATCAGTCAGTCAGTTACAACGTAGAACTTCGTACGTACGTATCTACGTTCAGAGACGCAATGGTCAGTTCAAATCCCTTAGTGGTAGGGATAGAAGTATTGGCGGTAATCAGAAAGATCAGGGTTCGAGACGTATAATTCGGTGAAATCAATTTAGAAAGAGAAAGAGTTGATGAGGAATTCTGAAGAATATAATTTTGGAGAACACAGAATGGTGGATGCACCTGCACCATTGCAAACGATTTCGATCCATGTCGTTTTAGGTCTATAACCATCGGTTACTTTCGTCTTGCGGACCCCAACTAGGTAGTCTACACTTGCCAACATGACTCAATCCAGTTGTAAGTGATTCCATGAATTTGTGCTATGTTTTGGTTTGGCCGCCTCTAGCTTTCTTCCAACATACTCCTCCACAAAGAACCGCTCGTCTAGGTAGGTAGATCAGTGGTTGCGTCCTGATAATTTTCTACGACCACCTTAAAATCAACATTAAGTGAATGTAAAGTAAAACCAGTTAAACTAGTGACCTCAATAAGAACTGACCGACGGAATTAAGTGCCTAAACTTATATACTTACTTACTTACGCATGTTAGCCCCAGTGGATCATTGGTCACCAACCAGTATTCTCCAGCCTACTTTGTCCTGGTCTTCCCTTTCCAGTTTTGTTCAATTTTATTTCATTCTTCTCATGTCTCTTTCCATTTCTCGGCGTAGTGCGTTTTTTGGTCTTCCTCTCTTCCTTTGTCCTTGTGGGTTCCGAGTGACGGCTTGTCTTGTGACACAGTTGAATGCTTTCCTCAGTGTGTGTCCTATCCACTTCCACCGCTTCTTCCTGACTTCTCCCTCGATTTGAATCTGGTTTGTTCTTTCCCACAGCAGATTGTTGCTGATGGTGTCTGGCCAACGGATCCGAAGTATTTTGCTCAGACAACTGTTCTCCAGTTGTTCTCCAAGTGTCATACTAGGCTATCGAAAATTAAACTTTTAGAGAACCTCATATATAAGAAATTTCTTCATCCTAAGATTGATGTTCTGTCTTCCTTTAAATTCATGTTAGTACAAGACATTCCACTCCCTCTTACGGCAGCCTGCATGAATATCTAAGCTACCTGTTTCCTTACATCAAAATATTACAAGTTTCCTTTATGTTTATTGATCGCATAACCTATTCAGGTGCGCGTATAAAAAGTTTACGAGTTCTTGTTTTACAAGACAAGAAAAAGCGCAAAAATGTTCGAAACATTTCGGTGACTGGCAATATACACCGAAAAAAAAGAACGTTAATCAAATGTCGATTCCTGAACTTCTAAATTCCAACTACGATGACCAAATCTCTAGTTGGACCATCTTTGATTCCTGCTAATTCTAAATGTGTATCGTATTGTGGTGTAATCACAATTCAAGAATCTTTGTTAAATGTCGTACATGATAGTTGTTTAGTATCACTAGACAATTTCAGTATTTATCTTCAAGATCAATCAAGCCATGTGGAAATGTTTGGCAGTGGTGTAGCTACACTTGTAAAAAAAATCTGAACTAGTATCGATCTAATTTTGCATGTTTTAGGTATTAAAATGATTTTATAGACTGTGTGATCCTAAGATGCAGTCCAAAATATTTGAGTAAGTGCACATACACACACATGCGTGATTCCGGATTATACCTCATCTGCACTATTTGCTTTCATTGATGAGTTCGCCGAATTTGATTTTACTACCTTCGGTGGTTCTTTTTCAGTTAAATGTGGTGATTTTAATTCATATGACTGTAGCTTCCTCTCATTACCAGATCATCAAAATATAGTTGATTTTTTTACTTGTTCAGATGCGCTTTTAGATCTAGTTTTCACTAATGATATGAGGACATAGGTAACTCGTAAACACTTTCCATTGATGAATTAAGATCATTGTATGATAAGTTTTCCATCCAAAGTATACGCACACTTACACTTTATGAAAAAAGGTTGAATACAAGAATTACTCAGGTGAAAATTGCCAAGATCCGCAAAATTTGTTTCGTAGGACAGGCTTGGATTTATTGACAAATGACTCCTTGGAAAACACCGTTAATGTTGTGATTTGTTATCGTAAATTTTGCTTTGAAGTTTTTGTTGTCCCACTGAAACTATTTTCCTAAGGTTTGATCATCGACTTACTTCACCACAACTAAAACAACTACAAAAGGAAAAAGAATGTATGCAACAAGAAACTGTTCAAGTTCAAAAGCTATATGGTTTATTAAACTAAGAAACTAAACATCTGAATTCACAGTTTACTCAGAAAATCCTATCTTGTAATATCACTTCAAGAATGTAGAAACTAATTAATTAGCTTACGGATAGGAGACGCATTAGTGATGATGCTTAGCTGGATGTTTGCGAATTAAATAAAGATTTGGTACATCGATCACCCGATGTCATGCTTCTTATAACCACAATTTTGACCGTGACTAATGTCCGAAAATGTCTCCGGTCACTTGACTCATCCACGTTTCACAGTGTCCACATCTACTACAGAAGCTTGCCAGTGTTAACGCTGACAGATAGACAACCAACTGGCTGTGTTTTTACCTCTAAATATGAACGACGAGATTCATAATAATTTGACGCCGAGTTAATGTACGACAGTGAAGAGACAAAATTACGTTTGCAAAAAGTCTCAGCGATTGTACTTTAAGTAATTTCAACTTTTAAATCGACAATTTCATCCAAGCTTTTTCAGTGAAGTATGATCAAATATCAAAATTATCAGATAGAAATACATGGTTCATCTGTTATCTGCACACTACACACAATTTGTCCACTCCTGTTAATAATGTTGGAAGTGAGATTTAATGAAGTTTGTATGAGTCATTTGTTGTAAAAAGTAGAGAAATTGTGTCAGGAAAATAGTTGTATGTATGTATATGTAAATTTGATATGAGAAATATTCATTGCCCATCTTATCTAGATTAACACACTAACATAAACTTACATTTGTTGACACTTTTGACTGCTCTGTTACTCCCTTGACCGGATTGGCCTAAACAAACGATTTTAGTTATGAATATTAAAAGAACTGCATTGTTGAATGATATCTCAATGAGTAGAAATTTGTATTTCTGACTATTGGTGATTTCATTCAAGTCATTTCTTCAAAGTAAATAAATAAATAACCGAAATAAATTCACACAAGCTTAAAACGGTAACAAAGCAGAGTATTTTTAGTACAATCAAAATCATAATAGATCTGAACATGTAACTGTCATTTTATTCTTCGATCGAATGGTTAAAAATAAAGCCATGTCAGAGATAAGTAAACTTCTGAGAGAACTAAAACCTTTTTTGACGTCTCCTTATGGTTTGATTCATGTAGACAACAGTGAGCTATGATGCTGTATGCTTGAACACTAATATTTCAATTGATAGATATGTAGAATTTGTTAGCAGTTTTCTGGAGGATGATAATGCCCTATCGAACAGATATTCAATGAGCATTAGTTAAAAGCATGCTTGAATTTTAGGTCGTTTACTGTAAAGGGACTTAACATAAACACACGAACAGAGTAACCATGGGATTTCCGGTATCTCCCATTACGTACTTACGTAAGCCCGGTAATCCTAATAAAAATGTAGGCTGTCTACTAGAATTCTCCAACCGACTCTGTTCTGAAATCTCCTTTTCACTTCTACCCAATCGCTATTCATTCTGTCGGTGTCTGCCCCAATTTTCGGCATAACGTGTTTCCTGGGTCTGAGAAATTCAAGTTAGGGCTTACTTCCTGATCAAGTTTGATGGTAGCGTCTGGCCAATGCATCTACAGTATCTTCCATAGAAAATTGTTAGTAAACACCTGCATCCTATGGATAGTTTTCGTAGTTCTCCAAGTTTCCTCTCCATACAATAGAAGGGTTTTGACGTTCGTATTGAAAATTGTGACTATGGTGTTGGTTTGAAGTTGTTTTGAGTTTCAAACGCTCTTCAGTTGTCGAAATGATGCCCTTGCTTTCTCGATCTGTATTTTTACATCTGCATCAGATCCACCATACTGAACAATGATGCTGCCACGCTATGTAAAAGTTCCCAGAGCTTCTTCATCGAGTGTGATTTAGTTGGTGCATGATGTGTTATATCTATGAATCTTGCTTTTTTCCCTTGTGTATGTTGTGGTTTAGTATCGTAGAGGGTGCTGCTACACTGGCATTTGTTGCATTTGTTGTTGTGTGTGGGATAGAAGAGCTAGATGAAGTCCAAATTGTCTAGCTATGTCTAAGCTGTCCACTATATCCTTTGTGTCTTCTGAGATGTTAAGGTTTTCATAATCCAGTCAACCACCGGAAGAAAAAAGGAATAGGCTTAAGCTTGTCTGACATCGGTCTTCATTTAAACTGACGCATCTAGCTCAGATCTTTAGTTGACACTTCTGTCATTAGTAAAAAGACAATCCTTAAAAGGTTCTGCAAACTGATTAACGCGTTCTCTGAAAACATCAAGTTCGCTTCCTAAAATGAAGATGAACGAAGTTAACTACCTTTCTTAGACTTTGGAAAAAATCCTATTATAAATCCAAATCTAACCATATTACTGAAAACCAACAAACTGAAGTCGGTACATTGATGCTATTCTCAATAAGCACCAGATATTAAACATTAAAATAATTCCGGAGGGTATTTCCAAATATAGAGAGAAATGATTAACCAATGCATTTGATATGATTCTAAATCCCTCAGCTCTCAATGAGAAAGAAGACCTGATTAGTCATTCGAACTGTAGTGTTTATCCAAATAACTACATCTGACCCGATTTACTACCTACATAATTAAACGCACACAAAATTTTAAATGTTTTTGCCCCATTAATTTATGTTACAAGTTACATGCGTTTTTCTGACCCTACTTCATACACGCAAATAACACTTTCAGTTCTCATGCAGAATCACATTGACCGAAGAATAACATGACAGTTACATGTTCAGATCTATTATGATTTTGATTTTACTAAAAATACTCTGCTTTGTTACCGTTTTAAGCTTGTGTGAATTTATTTCGGTTATTTATTTATTTACTCTGAAGAAATGACTTGAATGAAATCACCAATAGTCAGAAATACAAATTTCTACTCATTGAGATATCGTCAAAAATTATAATTATTTACTATTATTCACAACTTTTTATCACAGAGGAATAAGTCTAATACAGTTTTTAAATTGATAGCCTCGATAATCCTTAGACGCGTAACTAGAGCTCGTGAAGAGCAGACCAGAGAAAACTAGGCTGGTTTTCAATCTGGACGTGGCTGCATAGACCACATCTTCACACTACGACAGGTCCTGGAACACACACACATTTAGGCGTCCGACACTAGTTATCTTCCTTGACCTTAGGGCGGCATTTGACTCTGTTGATCGTGAGGTTCTGTGGCTGTGTCTGTCATTTAAAGGTGTACCAAAGAGGTACAACAAGCTCTCTATTCGAATACCACTGGCCGTGTGAGAGCCTATGACGAACTGTCGTTGCAATTCTCTACTTCAAGTGGTGTCCGTCATGGATGTCCACTCTCTTTATTCTTGTTTAATTTTGTCGTAGACATGCTTTTAGAGTTAACATAATCCTCGTCAGATTTTTCAGGATTGGATCTGATACCAGGAAAATTGCTTGTTGACATAGAATATGCCGACGACATAGTTCTATTCGGTGGAGATGCAGAGTCTTCTGACTACCCTTAGCAACAATGCAACCATGTTCGGGATACAGTTTTCTCCCTCGAAATGAAGATTGGGTTTCATCGGTAGCTTGGACGAAAGCTAGGGGCGGCCAGAACAAAACATGGAAGAAATGCATGAAGTCAGTGACAAGTGGACTGAGACATGTTGATAGATGTAGGCTACCTGGTTAGGGTCCGCGAGATGTCAAAGACCCTGAGTGACATGGCTCAAAATCGTTTGCAATTCGCAGGTACATTTACTCTTTGTGTTCTATGAAATTCTAACCTTCTGAATCCCTCATCACCTCTATCCTTCTCTTTCTTAATTTACCTCACTGAATTACACTTTTAATACTTTTACTACTTCTACTACTATGGGATTTGAATTGACTACCATATATCTGTGCTAATGTGGTATGGAAACTTGAACTCCGTTACTTACGTGCAAGGTTCTACGTTGCTGTTGATGATAATGCTATATTTTCTGGAATATATGTTTTTGTAGGTCCTAATCTCCATAACTGCTAATACTTCTACTGTCTCTACCACTATGGGATTTGAACTGACAGTTTTGTCTCTGTGGCGATGGGGTATGGCAACCTGAACTTATGTACTCATGTATATAGTTCTACGTTGTAACTGACTGACTGACAACTTTTTACCCAATACTCAATTTATTTGAATATATTAGTTTCAAACTTGGTGTTGATTTTGATTGTTGCCATTTTTCAAACTCTTTGTTCGCTTATTTTTCCTCACCACCTTTTTTTCAAACGTACATCTCACTATCTAACCATATGAACACAGCTAATTAGGTAATTTGATGATTTGAATGAATGCTTTTTTAGTGTCCCATTTCCCAATTCAATGCACCTCTTCCTGTTATGAAACATTGATTCATGCCTTTATTCTTCTCATCACACCAGTATGCTTGTCATGTTAATCTATGTAATGTGATATTATCTATTCCATTGTTTTCACTGACTCATAAACTACTTTGATTGGTTTAATAATTTTCTACATTAATTGTTTAAAAATCCTCATCATATTAATATATATAGTGCATTAATAATATGAACGAAGAGTATTCTTTTCAAGAAATTCTCATTAGGTTCTACAATTATAAATTCCAAAAAATGTTCAGGTTTAAGGCCAACTACATGATGTCAAATTATACCAAGTGAAGTTAGGATTGTTTGTGAAATAAAATAAATTTGTAAATGCTGAGATGACTAATATGAAGTGCTAACTTGAAATTGTGACATCAATGGTCAGAATGAGTATGAGTCAGATAAAGTAAGAGAAATAACTGTCAGGTTACGAAATCTCATCGAATATGTGGTGGATGATGTTATGTAAATTCAATAAAAAATCATTAAGTGGAATGAGTTCTGGGTAAATCATTATGTGCTTAGAAGATTTATAACAATAATAATCATACAAATATCCGTGAATAAAGGTAATAAAGTTAATTACTTTGAGGTGTAGAAAATTTGTGGTGGAATTTCGTTCTGTAAGCTGGATGTTTTCGTTGTGGAGCTTTCATTGTTCTCCCAAACAACATCATAAGCACAAGCTCAGGTAGAAGTGAATTATTCTAATTTCTTCACGCATGACTCGTCCCTAGTTCGCTTGACCTCGATCTTAATTGGTTATTATTGACCTTAAACCTGTAGTTGTTTGCGTTTTTACTATGATTGCATCCCCCTTTGATTTGTTTCTTGATCCAATGTTTGCCTATGATTTTTCTGATTGGTTGATAAATTGGGTCATTGTCAGTGTGTTTGTTGATCGCTGATTGACCTGAGTGCCCAGTGCCTAGTATTCTTTGTGCTTCCTCTATCCAGTATTTCAACATTATTCCAATCCAGTGTCCATAATTATCCATATTCATTGACACAAGGCAAGAAAATGTTGTCGCTTGACCTAGTCACTAGTATTGATCAAACCCAAAGTGTGGGTTTGTTATGTAGACGATAAATTCGTCATCATTAAAAGGAAGGAGCTGGAGAACACCTACAATGGGATCAACAACGTCTTTGATGACATAAAATTTACATTCCATTGTGAATTTTATATGACTACATTACCAATGTAATGATTTAATATGATGCCCAAAGATCGAACTACACAGTAAGGCTTTAACTGAATGCAGAGTGACTAATCTAGAAGCCAGTTTCCTCCAATCGCCCGCGACACTTAATCACTTTTATGTCCATATTTTTGATTTCTAATCCTTTAAGAGGCTACGTCGATTATACGGTTTCATGAATAGCCATCACTCATTAAAATGATGTAATTTGTTTCATCCGTCAATTAACATTCTATTCATCGACTTTAACATTTAGATTTTCGTCAAAACAATGTACAGAAAATCTCCTTCATAACCTACTCATTTTTATTCGTTAATGCTGATCGAAACCTATCGGTCAAGTTACATTAGGACTACTAGCCTAAGTGAACTGACATTGACTTTATTACATTAAATGAGTGAATGTAGTTAACAAGAAATTGTGGAATTAGATTTCCTGCAACCCGACAGTCATCAACAAAGCATACCTGCAATATCGTGGGAACTGATGCTTTCTGTTAGGTCCAAACCTTTGTTACCCAGCTTCTCAGTCTGAGGTGTTATCGTTGTGCAGTTTGAAGCTCAAGTGACTTGCCTTAAGACTAATATACTTACTACTAATTGGTCATTGAATAGTGACTAATTTCATGTTTCTTTAGTCCTTTATTTGATAACAATCGAAACAGTTTCTCTACCTAACTCTCTTTTCACGACTTAGAAAGATATAAACTCTGATGAAATGATTTCGCGAATTGGTCAAGCAATAGAAAGTTGGTTCCTATTTTCATTAGTTTGGTCGATTGGTGCTACGTGTACTAATGAAGGACGTGTGAAATTCGATCGATATTTGAGGCTTAAAATGAAGGAATTAAAAGTATGTATAAACACTCGTATACTGCCTTATGTTCAGTTATTTGTTTACTATTCATTAAAGACCAGAGGTTTCTGGGAATTGTTTATTGCTGGAATAAGTTTGTATCATGATCAAAACGTAGCTAGAAAATCATTGAAAATTAAAGAGCAGTGAAGAACAGTTTCATTTTATAATGCAACTTTTTAAAAGTATGCTTTCACACTTCTGCAAAAGATTAGGTTCAGGTGTTTCAAACGACCTTGTGAGTAATCCATTTTCCGACTATTGAGTTGTTATAATTCTTAAATAAAAATTTCCGTTTTGTGTTTTCACATATTATCAAGCCGTTAATAATGAAAGGAATTGAACTCTCTTTGATAACATAGCCATAGCTGAAGTTTTAAGATTATGAACAATATAAACTAGTTGACGATCTAGCCATTTTTATATGGTTTAATATTTGCGCAAAATGCGCATAAATTAAAAAGATATTTTATCTATTATGCGTTATAAACAAACTTTAGTTAAACAACCATTAAAGTCAGAAAACATTAGAAAGCTGTTTTCGCTCAGTATGGGGTTCTTCAGTACTGTACTTTTACAAGCCTATAAGACCTTCAGGTTTAACCATGAGCACCTAACTTTTTCCCCACTGGGTTGGGACCTTCAACTCCGATCTATCAGCGATATCGCGAAAGCAAATGATTGAACTCCTCTCCCATGGAGCCTCATACCAGAACGCATTGTCTGTTCAGTGTTTCCTTGTTATTAGTAGTTGTTTAAGGTCATTCAACAGGGTAAAATATAAATTTCTCCTGTAAACCTTCATTATCAAAGCAATAACTCTCTTTCGCTTAAATTAAGTTTTAAGTGTGTGTTCTTTCTTAATTACTGACTGTTTGCCTTAATATACATACAAATTAGTGATTTGTTTTTTAAAAATTGTTCTGATGTTCGTGATTTAATATTTTGTTTGTTATTATCGTTTCTCTATGCATAAATAAAGTGTAGTTTACCATTCCCTGAAGAAGGACTAATTTACGATTACCGCTTCGAAGATGACGGTTTACTATCAGTTGATGTCAAAGAGGACGAGGAAGAAGATAGTTCTATAATTCGAAAAGTAAGAACAACATAGTGATTATATTTTGTACAAGTGTGATTTAAATGATTCAGTGAAAAGATGAATGCGGCATACACTGGTGCAATTTCATTTTGAACAATCTGATAACACATTAACTTGTTAAAATATTTATATAAATAAAGGAACTTGGTCAAATTTACATAGGGCCAAAAAAGGTAACCAGGTAAATGTGTCTTTATAAGAGGTACGCAAATAGTATTTGTGATTATTTGTGACAAATCTGATCTTCGCTGTTTATCTGAAAGTACGACAGTGTCTCTGCTGAAGCTAGTCTTTTTTATTCAGCCTGCGTCCAATATGTTTCACTGATTCCAAGTACCACCAGGTTTTATTTTTTGATATCCGCATTAACTTGGGTGGTTCTTCCAGTACATTCCAGGACATTCTATGTACCCATATAGATGGTGGCTCTGGTTTTCAGATAGGTTTGTGCCTCAAGAAAATATCTAGACAAGCTACAAACGAATATATGATATTCCACTATATTTTCCAATGTACATGTTTGTTTAGGCACACAAATTGTCAGGGCCAGTTATGATCTCCAAGTAAGGACGACTGAACACACGTAACTACCAAAGCAGATGAATTCAAATGGCTTGTTAAAAGCATGAGTTAATTAGCTTTCATTTTTATTACTTAATAAGATAAGCCAGAGGTTTGATATTATTAAATCAACTTTTGTGATGTTGCATAGAAATTTGCTTGGGGCTTATTGAAGCGTCATTCATGCTATGATAGAAGACCACTTTATGTGTTTAGGATATTTGTTATCAGTTGCAACTTACTCTAGTAATATTTACCTTCAGTCTAATATGCAGTGTGATGTTATTTGAGTCTGTCTTATTATCTTTGTTTCTTTACGTTCCCATTTCACTGGGTTTAACTACTGAATTACTGAATTACTCAATGATTAATAGGATACAATCGACTCTGTAGTATGTATAAGACCGCTGGTGGGGCCGTGGGTGAAAACAACTGTCCAGTAACTTCTGATCTTGACTAGTTTTATTACTGAGATCAGTATGAGATGTAAACAATAATATCGAATTATTTGAAAAGAGATTTCCCTCATAAATCAAATAGTTCTGAAGAAGTTCATCGTTTCGTTTCATTATCGTTATTATCAAAAGGATTAACTGTTTTAGACAAATGCAGTTAATACATTTTGATTTGATAGACAATATATGTACGTTATTTAAGAAAATAATTATCTGTTATCAATTTTTAGCCACAGAACTAAATATACACACTATAGGGTTATCAGTGAATGCTCATGTTCAATATTTAATTGGTGTTCAAGTGCTATTCTGTCATGCTATGAATGGAGAATAAATAAGTATCTTTGTTTCATCGAACCATCTGCTAGCTGAGCAGATGAGACCGATAATCATCTATGGTTCGATCCCCTGTAGTGGGTGAGTACTGCTGAGGAAGTCTAGTGTTCCCTAGTATTCGAATAACTTTTGACTTTGGTCGCTTCATGATAATCATAATATTCAATAATCTCCATTGATGCCTATACTGACAATAAAAATGAATTAATCTCCATTTCGAAATTAAATAAGCCTTCCGAAATAAACAATATTCCAAGAATATTGCACAATGAAAAATATTAACTAAGTGATCAAGTTACATGTAAAAATAATAGCACAAATGGTTTTTTTTGAGACAAAGCAAAGCCATGGAAGTAATAAAGTTCTGTGATAATATAACCCTAACTGTTGAGTGATAATAACAAATGTAGTCTATTTAATATCTAAGAAGGAAATGAAGTTTGATAAGTGCGTAAAATAAAAAAAATGGCTTTAATAATTACATTTATTATATATATATGTATATTTTTAGTTCATAATATTAAATTGTTTAACTTCTTATATTTATTTTGTTTTTATCAATCAACAAAACAAAACAAAACATATGACTATCATAGATGCATTGGGTACATTGGATGGTAGGTATACCAGAGTACAAAATCACTTCAGATATTAGTTATTCTGATATTATTGTACCAACCATTGATAATGTACGTTCAAGTCATATAATTGAAATGTTGTTAACAGCTAAAAAACCAGTTTTATGTATTGGTCCAACTGGTACAGGGAAATCTTTGAATATATTACATAAATTAACACGTCATATGCCTAAAGAGTATATACCAGAATTTATTATATTCAGTGCAAAGACTACGGCAAAACAAACACAAGATTTAATTGATAGCAAACTGGATAAACGACGTAAACATTTGTTTGGTCCACCGTTAGGACGTTATATTATATTTTTCATTGATGATTTAAACATGCCTGCATTAGAAGTGTACGGTGCACAGCCGCCAATTGAATTATTACGTCAATGGATGGATTTCAGTGGTTGGTATGATTTAAAAATGATTGGTGAATTTCGTAGAATAATTGATGTGAACTTTATCTGTTCCATGGGTCCACCTGGTGGTGGTCGTAATCCAGTCACTGCTAGATTAATGCGTCATTTCAATTTTCTAGCTTACAATGAACTAGATGATTCCAGTATGCAGTTAATATTTGGTGTAATTTTAAAATCATGGTTAAATCGTACCACTGATCAAAATGAATCAATGAATCTTTTATCTTATGCTGACAATTTAGTGAAAGCTTCCATTTCAGTTTATAAAACAATTCAAAATCAATTATTACCGACACCAGCTAAAAGTCATTATACATTTAATCTAAGAGATTTATCAAAAGTATTTCAAGGTATGCTTATGATGGAGATTGAGAAATTGACCGGAGACATTGAACAATTATTACGTTTATGGTATCATGAGTCATGTCGAGTATTTCAAGATCGATTAGTGAATGATATAGATCGTGATTGGTTTTGTCAATTAATTAATAAAACATCAAAAGAAATATTCAATTTAGATGTGAACGATTATGTCACAACTACACCATTGTTATATGGGGATTTTTTGTCTGCATCAAAATATGCAGAAATGACAGATCATGCTAAAGTAAGTTTTTTCTCTTGTGTTTAGGTATTTTTTGTCGATTACATATATTATGGTTATTGTTCGAGTGTAAGTACAACTTCATTGATACTTGAAACGATCATAAAATTTCAAAGATTACTCATTCATCAATGAGGTCAATGATAAGCTAAATAAAAAGTGTTTTCATCAAAGAATTATGGAGATTGTTGTTTTTCATGGAAACCATGAATCAATCAGTTTTAGACTACAATTAGAAACTTGTAAGAACTCAACCGAATGCCCTGGGTTCGATTCCCGCCAGTAGTAGGAGACGTGGATTACATTGTTTGTTATAATGAATAGTCGCAATGCCCAAAGCATTAATCTTCTTAACTGGGCTACAAAAATCACAAAATTAATCCTTATTACACTGTGATTTAAATATTATCAATATTATAGAATTTTAATGATATTGTTTTATGCAGATTATATCTATTCACGAAAAGAGATTTTTCATCACCGTGATTTAGCCAAGATATTGTTTATTCTAAAGATTGAAGAATATTGACTGATTGATTTAATGTTTCATGTGTACTTAAGAGACGAGTAGATGATAGTCTCACGTGTAAGATTGTCACAAAAATAAGTTTTATAAATCTATTTCTACTAATCGTACTGGATATGAAATCACTTAGACCACTTGAAAGACTCCTTAACTTCAACTCTCAGATGCCAAAATATCTTGACGAAATCTTACTTCTAATCAATTCGACAAAAAAATGTAGTGTTTTTATTTCAGTTAAAGCTGTTTACACGTACTAATTCTCTGTCAACTGTTTCAAATCAATTCATTTTGGTCAGAAATTATAAGATCATTTACTACAAACTGATACTCATATCCCTAGTATATTCTTTTTCAATAATATCTGTTTGAATAGCGGAAGTCTGACAGTCAGTTAAATTCTTTGTACTTTAGTAGTAGTAGTAGTAATAGTAGTACACCTAGTTTTCATTATTATTTTAGGTATTACAAGTTATTGAAGAAAATCTTGATGATTACAATCAAATTAATACAGCAAAAATGGATTTAATATTGTTTATTTATGCAATTCAACATATTTGTCGAATTGCACGTATCATAAGACAACCACAAGGTAATGCTCTATTGCTTGGTATGGGTGGTAGTGGTCGTCAATGTCTGACACGTCTAGCATCTCATATGTAAGTAAACAGTTTCTTCTTTAATACATTTTTTTACATTTGATATAACTTGGAATTATTTCTGTTTTGCTTTTTTTTTCTAAAAAAAAATGATTTGTGATTAGGCATTTTTATGAATTTTAATGTATCCCTGAGTGATCTCCGTTTTTCTAGTCATTTAAAACATGAATATAGTTTATTTGATTTTTAACGGTTTTTGTGGAGATCAGTTTAAGTTGTAGGAGATGTTTATCGCAAATTGATGCAACTTGGAGTACAGTTGGAAACGAAACAGTATTTGACAGTTATTTCGTCGTGGTATATAACTCTACAGATTTCCGGTGATATCAAGCTTGACATCAGTCTGTGATGAATAAAGCTAACGGCTCATTTGTGTTTGCATGAAGAAGACTTAAATTAATAGTGATTGAGTTACAATGTTATACATACAGTTAAGTGAATGAATATTCATTAGACCGATTATCCTTTTATGGTGACAACGGTTTTAAGGTTTCATCAAAAAAGTCAGCATGTGTTACAATGAACCATTCAATGTGGATGGTCACAATAAAGCGTATTATTGCGTATAAATATGATTTATGTAGTTTGAATAGGAGATATATAAATGTTTCTTTTCTCTTACTTTAAGGGCTGAATATGATTGCTTCCAAATTGAATTATCTAAAAATTATGGTATAAGTGATTGGCGTGATGATTTGAAAAAAATAATGATGAAAGCTGGTTTAGAAAATAAACCAGTAACATTTTTATTTTCTGATACACAAGTAAGAAAAGCGTTTATTTTTCTATGGAAGAGTTTAATTTTTTTTTTTCATGCCAAATTAATTCATACATAAACCCTAACTTCTGTGTGCGTGCATTGAATAAATGTGGGTTTGTGTTATGATATACAGCTTGCACCAATGGATCCTGTCTATTGATCGATCTGCATTAGTTTGAAATATCCATTCTAGGAACTCAACAACTCTTTTGCTACTTATAAGTTTGAATTTGTTCAGCGACAAAACAAATTATTGACTAAGGCTCATGTTTGCTTGTTTATAAAAACATTCTTGTTCTTCTGATATAACAAAAAAGATTTATATATCACAGAAAGAATTAAATGAGTTGGGCTTCCACAATTCGATAGTTGTATCAATAGTGAAGTTATCACTTTATTTATGATACTGATGATGATCGCTAGTGAGTCCATGGGTGCACACTCCTAAAGAACCTGAAGAAAGTAGGACAAGTCACCTGTCCACAAACTATGGACATATAGTGGTATCCTAATAAATACCAATCCATTAGTGGAAATCTACAAATTATAAACTCACAATACCTTTCAACAAAGTTTTCCGCTTTTTCATTTCAACGGGCAAAATGAAACTTAGTCACTGATCGCTGCGTGAAGTTTTAAGTATAGACTGTTGAGCCGACACAATATATAATAAAGATTAAACGCTCACCATGAGACCTAAAAATCTTGAGTTCTATCGCCATGGAAGTCTTAAACGCTCACCAATGAGGAGTATCATACTGGGATAAAGAAGCTGTCCAATCCTTTCTTGTTTTCGGTGGTTTCTTAACTAAAGCCAATCCATGACTTAAAATGCAAAGGATTTTTTTCACTAAACCTTATTTGATTGATTGATGCCATCTTGAACTTAAGACTACTAACACTTTTTTTTTTATCTTTCACTATTATTAATTACAGATAAAGTCAGAATCGTTTCTAGAAGACATTAATAGTATCTTAAATGCTGGTGATGTGCCTAATATATATCAATTCGACGAATTAGAAAAAATATATGATTCCATGAAAATGGTTGCCTCTGAGTCGGGTCTACAACCAACGAAAACAAATTTATTTGCATGTTATACAAAACGTATACGTGCTAATCTGCATACTGTGATTACAATGAGCCCTATCGGTGAAATATTTCGTGCACGTCTAAGACAATTCCCAGCGTTAGTTAATTGTTGTACAATTGATTGGTTTAGTGAATGGCCAAATGAGGCTTTGAAATCTGTTGCATTTAGAACGTTACGAAATATGGCTGATTTAGAAGTGGATAAACAAACATTACAATCTTTAGTACAATTATGTTTGGATATACATCAATCAGTTGTACAAAATACAGAATTATTTAAACAAGAGTTAAATCGTTATAATTATGTGACACCGACAAGTTTTCTAGAATTATTGACTGTTTTCTCTAAAATTTATGGATTAAAAAAATCTGAAATAATTACAGCTCGAAATCGTACAAAAACTGGTTTGGACAAATTATTATATACAGAAGAAATCGTTTCAAAATTACAAGAGGAATTAGAACTAATGAAACCGGAATTAATAAAAGCTGTTGAAGATTCCAAAACGACTATGGAAGAAATTGCACGTGATTCCAAAATTGCTGAAGAGACACAAATCGTTGTATCTCGAGAAGAACAACAAGCGCTGAAAAAAGCACAAGAATGTCAAACAATTCGTGATGATGCACAACGTGATTTAGACGAAGCATTACCAGCTCTTTATGAATCATTAGAAGCATTGAAATCACTGAATAAGAATGATATAACTGAAGTTAGAGCTATGATGCGTCCACCTGAAGGTGTACGTCTAGTTATTGAAGCTGTATGCATTATGAAAAGTGTGAAACCGAAAAAAATTCCTAGTGATAAACCAGGCGTTAAAATTGATGATTATTGGGAACCAGGTAAAACTATGCTACAAGATCCGGGAAAATTTCTAGACAGCCTAATGAATTATGATAAGGAGAATATTCCAGAACCAATTATTCATAAAATTAAGCCATACATTGAATCTGAAAATTTCTCACCAGCAACAATAGCTAAAGTTAGTAAAGCATGCACTAGTATTTGTTTATGGGTTAGAGCAATGTATAAATATCATCATGTAGCTAAAACAGTGGAACCGAAACGTCAAGCTTTAAAATCCTCTGAATTGGAATTAGCTGAAACGGAACAAATATTAAATGAAGCAAGAGGTCGTTTACAAGCATGTGAAGATCGTATCAAAGGTCTACAAGAAAAATATAATGAATGCATACGTAAGCAACGTGAATTAGAAGACAAAAGTCAGTTATGCGAAGCAAGATTAATTCGAGCCGATAAATTAATTGGAGGTTTAGGTAGTGAGAAAATACGTTGGAGTGAATCTGTCAGTAATTTGAATTATTTATTGGCTAATCTTGTTGGTAATGTCATATGTTCCTCGGGTTCAGTGGCTTATTTTGGACCATTCTCTGGTAAATATCGTACAGACATGATTAACCATTGGGTGGAGAAATTAAAGCATCATCAAGTCCCACATACTACTGAACCAGCTCCAAATCTAGTTCAAACTTATGGTGATCCAGTTAAATTACGTAATTGGCATATACTTGGTTTGCCTAAAGATGTATTATCTATTGAAAATGCTGTGATTGCACAATTTTCCAGACGATGGCCATTGTTCATTGATCCTCAAGGTCAAGCAAATAAATGGATTAAAGCATTAGGCCAACCAGATGGTATCATCATTATCAAATTATCCGATAAAGATTTTATACGTAACTTGGAGAATGCTCTTCGTTTTGGTAAACCATGTTTATTGGAAAATGTCGGCGAAGAATTAGATCCAGTCATTGAGCCGGTTCTTTTAAGACAAACATTCAAACAACAAGGTGCAACAGTTATTAAACTCGGAGACTCAGTAATACCATATCATGATGATTTTAAATTATACATTACAACAAAACTATCTAATCCACATTATAAACCAGAAGTGTCAACTAAAGTCACAGTTGTCAATTTCACTTTATCACCAAGTGGTCTAGAAGATCAATTATTAGGTATTGTTGTTGCTGAAGAACGTCCAGATTTAGAAGAGGCGAAAAATCAATTAATTGTAAGTAATGCCAAAATGAAACAAGAATTAAAAGAGATTGAAGATAGAATTCTGGAACGTCTTAGTGCCACTGAAGGTTCACCAGTGGATGATGTTAATTTAATACAAACATTAGAAGCATCAAAAGTGAAGTCAACTGAAATTAAATCACGAGTTATTGCAGCTGAACAAACCGAACGTGATATTGATGAAACTAGAAGTAAATATATTCCAGTAGCAGTAAGAACACAAATATTATTTTTTTGTGTTGCTGATCTAGCAAACATTGATCCAATGTATCAATATTCATTAGAATGGTTTGTGAATATTTTTCTTCAAGGAATAACAAATGCTGAAAAAGCTGGTATGTTAAACTATAAACATTTCTTTTAATTATTTTGGCTAATAATTTAACCTATAAAAGTTTAGTGTTTTTTTTTTAATGTTGATATTATATTTTTCTTGATTTCAAATAAACAACTACTGAAATACAGAAAGCAGTATACATCTGTCTCGTCATAGTATGATGATCCTTAGTTGTACACTCTGAAGCAGTCACCTCCGTGGAAATACCTGGGAGTTTGTGGCCCTGTTAAAAGTGCACTACTGATCAATTCTAACATTATTAAGTTACTCTCTAAAGTAAAAAAGAGATTTACTGTAATTCTTTTCAAAAAGTGTTTAAAAAAGGCCTATTTGAACAGCCCGGTAAGAGGCAGATGAATATAATCGCATCAAAGATCGTTGAGCCATTATATTTTATCATTTTCACAACTAGATTAACTGATATTGATTAATAAAGTGATCCTTTCTTGTAAGCACTTTTTTGCCAGAAGTTCTACAAATGGAAATGATCACTGAATACTAACCTATATACTCTTAGTCCAGTCTTGTGTTAATTGAATTCTATTGATTGAATCCATTGAGATCACTAGTCTTACTGGATTGATATTACTTAATTGTATTACGATGTTAACTGGTTTGAGGTATTCTGTGAAAAACTGTAAAGCTATTTTTCATGAACATAGGTACTCGTCAGTAAGGTTCATATGGTTTCTTGATGTAGATTATGATATGCTCGTCAATTGATTTGCTTGAAACTATTACAAGTTCACCTTACTCGGTAAACGAGAGCGAAGACAAATGATGCAGTGACACGATAGGCTATTCTAATCCGTTGTCCCAGGCCCTGCTAACTATATCAAGAAGTCTTGATAAGGCGTAGAAAGTGTATTCTACAAGCACCCAGAAAATATGAGGTTCACAAGCACACAAATCGAGTTTATTTATAAATGACAGAAACGTCTTTGGGAGAGCTCTACAAATAGCGTGCTAAAATAATACATCAATTAATAATATTCAAGGATTTTCCGAGTGCGAAATGTAACCTCAAGGTCAACTGGTCAGTCCATGCGCGAAAACACAAAGTCCAAAATTAGGACTTTTTTTCCAAGTGAGTTCAGGGGGTCTAACGTCCTCGTAAGATTATCCTTACTATGATGTCCTGCCAGAATTAAGAGTTAAATGAATAATATATTAATTACTATCTGCTGATCGTTCAGTATAAAAATTTCAGCCAACTTCATGGGGACTTCTAGTTAATAAAAGAATTAAGTTTAGAAATTTATACTGAATATCTCCAACCATGTAAAATTTAAATTCTCATCTACTTAAAGAGTCAATAAATTTTTATTACTATGAAATCAAAACTTTATTTTTTCTATTTACTCTTTATTTCTAGATCTTGTTCCACAACGTGTACAAAATATTAATGATTATTTCACATTTAGTTTGTACTGTAATGTATGTCGAAGTTTATTTGAAAAGCATAAATTAATGTTCGCATTCTTATTGGCTATTCGTATATTACAAAATGACGGTTTAATTGATTCTGTAAGCGCAATTTATGTTACTGGTTTTATTGTGTTTATTATTGAAATTCTTATGATTACTTATCTCATATTATGCAATTCGAGAATTTTTGAGTTGAATACGGTTGAGCGTTTCTCATTAGTTTGAAAGCAGTTTTCATTTAAATTAATTTTCAGTAATTAATAGAAATTTTCAATCTATCAAATACAGTATTCTCAAAATTTGTTGTGTAATAGGAGTTTATAAGTTAAACTATTGGTCAAATGAACGTGTGCTGTCATTTATCAAATTAGATACAGACTTTCAGATAAGCTGATCCATGGAAAAATCATAATTTGTGATTAGAGATGGCAGCTGGAACTGATGTACGTAAGTAGGAAGTTCTACTTTGCTGTTGATTGATTAATTGATTGAGAGATGTAAGTGACATACCGTTCTACGACTGGAAATTATAATTTCTGATCATAACTGTTTACTACCTCATTAGAAAGACTGAAACTAAATGGATCTATTTATATTGTTACCGGAAGATACATTACTTATATCTGCAGATCAACAATATATTGGTGTCTAGTAGTAAAATCATACATACATTGTTATTTGTAACTTTTGCCCGTTTAATGATACTTATTTAAATCTGCGTCATGATGTTTACAATATTGTCCATATTTAGCTTCAAAGATAGTAATTGTTTATTATAATTTTCGATAATAATTTATGGAATGGTCAAGAGTTTAATCACTTTCATCAAAATACAATTATTTAAACTTACTATCCTTCAGAATGTCTGATTGCTAAAAAGATCATGGTAAAGAAGGTACTTTTTCAGTTAAAAGAATAAATTAATCATTGACAAATGAGACTCTATTAACTTAACATCGCTGGGAAAGCTTTCAAATGACATATTGTTTATCGATAAAAATACTTTGAAATGATCATGAAGATGAATTCATTCATGAAAAATTTGAGTTCTGTAATATGTTTCGGTAATATCGTCATGAAACAACTTCCTAAGTAGTTCAGCAGTCTATTCTGATAATCCTCAATGTTGGCTGGTAGTTTTCGTTAGATATATTATCCGTCTAATTTACTGTATTCAGAATTATAACCATGGAGAGAAAATAAAGATTAAACAGACATTTTTATTTTTCATAAGGTGGATTATAAGGTTACCATCTGTGAATTTTTTAAAGACGACCCGACTTGCCCAGAAAACGATGTATGGATAAAATGACCTTGACAGACTGAACAGTTTCCTTTCAATGGTCTACTTGGATTTGTAACTCATTTTAAAGGTGGCTATAAGGTATTATGTGCTCAGTTCGGTTTCTTTGATTATATCGTATACTCCCTAGATAGTTAGTGATCCAATATTTGAGGTTATAGTTACCTCGATGTTTTCGATTAATTGTAAAACGAACAGATGTGAGTAAATCACACTTTCCCTTATCGGCATGCATGGAATTCTCAAATGTTTCTGTAACTTACGATTGTTTTGACTCATTCATTAATACGGAGCAGATTTCGACAAGTAAACTTCCGCATTAATCAAGATTATTAGGCAGACGGTTTAAATAGTACTCTAAACTATTAATTTCTTAAACGAGATTTAAACTTTACTAAAAACTAGGTCCTATCAAGCACTATGCGTATTTTTCAATTTCAGGTTTTTGTGATCTACTAATGGTTAGTATTAGAATGTTTCAGGTTCTTGATATAATGTGTAATGTTACGCATGCACGTAAACACGTTATTTTGATATGCTTGAACTATTACAAGTTTACCTTAGTCGGAATACCAGAGCGAGGATCAAGGATCCGGCGACACAACATGCTACTCAAATCCGACTATCCCAACCCCCATTAAATAAAGGAAGAAGACGTGATATGAAGTAGAACCCGTATTCTACGAGCATCCATAAAATACGAGTTCCGAGTCCAGAAGAGAATCAGGATCCCGGACTAGGGACCCGGGTCCGGGTCATAAGACGTTACAGATAATGTGTATTTATACATTTAGGTTGAATAGGAAACAGCATCGAAGTCTGTGACATTGACAGTTAAGACGACCAATAAGAAACAACATTGGAGTACGTGACATTGATGTCTAGGACGACCATAAAAATTGACCAGGAGGAATTAACCAATAGGAATCGACCAATAATTCTCTTAGGATATTGGATGAATATCCTAACAATTAGCATCACATTCGGTACTTTTTGTCACATCAGGTAAAGATTTACTACTTAAAAACACTTTGAATCCATAAGTCAGTTTTATGGGGCAATTTAAAATTCAAGTCATTTTCTGATACTTTTACGAAGACTGAATTTTGTATCAGTACTTCTATTTTGCATTTAATACTTATCGTATGTTTGATGCATCATAGTTAATCTACAGGTTGAGTTCTGTTATACTAGTGAATATAAGCATTTCAAGTATAGGAATTCTCAAAAATGTTTGAACACATGTAATGTGTAACCTTTTAACTAGGCATATAAGTAGGTTGATGGAATCATGAGCATATCATGATGAAATTGCTTGAAGGATCTACTAAGCTTATTATAGGAAAAATGTGATAAGAAAAATTCCAGTGATTCCAATTAACGACTTATGATTCCAAGTTAATATAAATGAATTTGTCATAATTTCATTTTCTATTTAAGGATGAATATCGTTTCTTACTTGCTGGTGGTACTCAAAAACTCAAAGAATTACCAAATCCAGCACCAGAATGGATATCTGATCGAATTTGGGGTGATGTCTTGAGTCTTGCTTCTTTGCCTAAATTTGTTAATCTACCAGAAAGTGTAACACAAACTCATAAGGAATTTAAACAAATATTCGATTCATCTGAACCGCATAGAACTAAATTCCCTGAACCATGGCAAACAGATTTAGACAATTTCCAACGTATTTTAATTTTACGCTGTTTAAGAGCAGATAAATTAACTAATGCTATGCAAGATTTTGTCAGTCATCATTTAGGTCAGAGATTTGTTGAACCACAAACTGCAAATCTTCATCAGGTATTCAAAGATAGTTCACCGTCAACTCCATTAATTTTTGTCTTATCACAGGTTAGTAGTTTTTTTAAAGAAAAACATGATATTTCGTTATTTGGTTTAAACCTTTTTCATAAAACATTTGTCACAAATGATTGTTTATGTAATAAATTTTTCAACTTAACTTGGAAATGGTACGAAGTTAGTTTTTCCTAAAATAGCGATTTTTCATTGTTGATGTATCAGTGGAATAGTTAACTGACTTGTGTTTGGTATTAGAACTTCAAAAATGGAAACCCGTATAGAAAATACAAAGATTGATGATATGAATTTATTTGAACTCATATCAGTATGATATTTGAACAGGTCACTGTTTATATGATTTATTTACAGTTAGATTTGTGTGATATGATCTGAGTGGCACTTAACATCAATTAATTAGTTAAGTACTGTGTGAACGTATTTACTGTTATACAGTTGAGCGTCCACAATCGATATATATATAACTAATTCATAAAGTCATATAATTACTCCTCAAATTGTTTTGATTGTGACCGATTCGGTCTTGTGTGCTGCCCACACCGTGAAAGGGTTCCGGTTATCAAAAGGGGCATCGGCCTCATGACTTCCGAAGGAACTCGGCTTTCATCATGAGACGTCATAACTCTTCTAAATGAAGATGTTCTAACTCCCAGAGCAGAGTTTGTATGGTTTGAATTATTTTTACTTGTTAGCGTTTTTTTCGGCAAGTTATTTTTTTCCGGGATGGGGTCAACAGCTCTAAGCTCAACTCTCGTCCATTATTCGGGCTTGGGACCGGCAGTAGCCCCGAAGGGTCTAAAGACGGACTGCCGGTGTGGTATGGCAACTTGAACTGATGTACATACGTACGTACGTACGAAGTTCTACGTTGCGCAATCATCATCCTCGAAGCTAGTCACTAGTGAGGATATTTTATGATGAATCCCATACTAAGACGAAACGGTTGTTCAGTGCTTCTACGTTTCCAATGGTGCTGCAACAATCATCGATTCGTGATTTCAATAAAACTCAATAGCTGTATAATGGAAAATAAATAGCATATAAGTATAGTAGATTTATGGATTGAGTATACGAGAAAAAATCACACTAACCAATCAATACAATCATGTGTTTCATTATAGTAGATATTATTTGCAACGATTCAATAAAATGCTAATTCTCCTAAATTACTTACTTAAAACACAAATAACAGTTATATCACATTGAGGAATATGTTCAAGATAAACAAATGGTCTGAGAATTGTTCATGAATCTTAAATTATATGAATTTTTTCCTATTAATGTATTTAACAAACGGTGTGGAATTGTATATTTGAAAGATGTTATTATACTCGATAAAGTGACCATACTTTTTTACCTGCACTTGATGGTGAAGCTCTGAAAAATGTCTGAATTAACATACATCACTTCACTGCTGTATTGAACACCAGTTTCTAAAAAATAAGACAAATATTTTTATCATGAATTAGATGGTGTTTGATAAAATAGCTTAGAAATTAAATCATACAGTCAATTAATCTTAGAAACCATATAATTTCATGCGAAATCTAAGTTCACAGCTTTTAAATTATTATTTTTACTACTAAAGAGTAATGTACATAATAGGACAAATTTAATTGAGTATTCAGTTGTAATTTGTTGCATTTATAAAAATTCACTTACAGGGTACAGATCCAGCTTCAGATTTATACAAATTTGCTGATGAAATGAGTTTTGGAGGGAAAAAATTATCGGCTATTTCACTTGGTCAAGGACAAGGTCCCAGAGCTGAAGAACTTATGCGAGGAGCAATGGAACGTGGTGTATGGGTATTTTTCCAAAATTGTCATTTAGCTCCGTCATGGATGCCAACATTAGAAAGGCTAGTTGAACAAATTGACAAAGATAAAGTAAGTTTACAATCGTTTATCTTTTATTCTATGATACAACCGAAACGGTCAGTACAAATAATCAATCGAATACTAGTTCACAAGTTGATTGAGTAAATTGATGATTCTGTTTGTCTATACTGATAAACTAATGAGTCATCAAGTCTCGAAACGATCCACTCTATTCGCCTGACTTTCATCAGTTTAATTTTCAACCTGCACTATTGTACATTGAACAAAACATGTTTTACACACACTAAGCAGTGGTTTACTGAAGTAGTTGACCAGCTTAGAAATTGTATGAGGAAGTACTTCTAATGAAAAACTTCAGGTTTTACAAATGTTTAATAACGTAGCCTCACTATATGTGATAGAATACTATCTCATAATAGTTAGATTGATGTATACCTAGAGATCGACTTGTGTTTGCATCATATATACCAAGACAATCAGTTCAAAGTTCTACAAAAGTATCAAATTGTAATTTGTTTTATTTACATTTAGTGATAACGAAAACTTTGGAATTTTTTCAAATTTATGCCAAACTTAAGTGGTTAATTGTGTCTGCTAATGAATATAACCAGTTGAATTTATTGATTTTAAGTATGCTGTATCGTTTTTTTTTTTAATCGTAGGTGCATCGTGATTTTCGATTATGGTTGACAAGTATGCCAAGTCCAGACTTTCCTGTTTACATTTTACAAAATGGATCAAAAATGACAGTTGAACCGCCTAAAGGTTTAAAAGCGAATTTATTAAGAACCTACCAATCGATAAATGATGCTTATTTAGCTAATGTACCTCTTAAGGTTTGTTAATTGCAGTTGTGCTAACTATTATTATTGATATGATAAATAATAAAAGCTTTTTTTTATTTGGGAAATATTCATTCAATTCAGCATTATGTTGCTTTATAAAATGGCTCCACTTTGAGTGGAAAATAGAGAGGCTTTGGCAGCAGCGATATTGTTCGATGTACGAGACTACACTGCTCTTTAAATCAAACAATTCCACATTAGTCAGATCTCATTACTTTCACATTTCGACACTGGCGTGATACCTGTAGACCCCGTTAAGTTACAGTCTATTTGACTAGTTCCTAGAAAACAGTTTGATCGAAAATTAATTTTTGCCAGAGACAGATTATCTTTTCAGTGTTTTGTAGCTTCTATGATTCTACAACTGATATAATCTTTAGTCAAGTACTTATCAGCTAAAGAATCTCTGAGTAGTAAGAGATAATCGGAACAGATGTAATTCGCACAGTACAATTTATAAGCAGCACACATAATCGATATCATATGAAACCTCATGTAAACTTGTTGATTCTCAATTATTGTGGAATATTTTTAAAAAATATGTACTTTAAATTTTAATTTATGTGATGCATTAACATTCATTGAGAAAATTTTTTAAAACCGAAGAAGCACTAAACAGCTTTTTTTTTAAACCTTAATTTGAAACTTCGTATCAACAAATACACACTTTTTCCATTACAAATCAAACTCTATACCTCTTTGGGTTTCATGACATACGCCTTTCTCCAGGGCCAGCTGAGTTGTCATCCAGTTATTTCTATTCCCGACTTGATTCAGTTCACAATATTGGCATTAATTACACTCCATTGGTAGCGTCTTATAGCTAGAACTTAAGAAATCTTTATCAAATTCGTCACCAATTAGTGTACAATTATTTAATTTAGAGGAGAGATTATGAATTGCTAATCATTTCCCTTCCTTTTATATTTCAGAATGATATCTTTCGGCATCTATTTTTATCATTAGCCTTTTTCCATGGTATATTAGTTGAACGTAAAAAATTCGGTCCACTTGGATTTAATATACCCTATGAATTTACAACTGGTGATCTAAGAATATGTATGGATCAGTTGATAATGTTTTTAAATGAATATGATATCACACCATATAAGGTAAAAAAAAGAAAATAATCAGTTATATATTTTTTTTTATAAGGAATGGTAATTTCGATAAGAAAATGGCTTTGTTTATTTCTCCGATTTTGAATTATAGTATGACTGATTAGATTGTGGCACGGTCGTTTAGTGATTCAAATCACCAGACATTCTAAGTCTATAGTTTGAACTCCAGCTCAACTATTTCAGCTTTAACAGATGAATAGTACAAATAGGTCTCGATTAAATGGTCTGATTTCAGGCAGAGTGCTTGATCAAAACTTGTACTGTACTGTATAAACGATCGATAGTACCACTATTGTCATTATCAACATCAGTAACAACTGGTTGATAGAAACGGCGTAAATCTCAATATAGGGAATTTGTTCTTTCTCAATATTGTTGAACCGCGTTGTTTCGGATAAATATTCAGCTGTTTAAAGTTGTAGAGGTAATAAAAAGATACTTCATATAGTATTCTACTCAATTTTATTTTCTTCCAAAATAAATTATACACACTAATAAAGACATGGAAAGATACAAGTAAATAGGGAAATTTACGTTAGACTTATGATTCTTTTGTGAATAATATGAGGTGAGCATAATCCGTTCAAAATAAAGTAGACCTGTTATCTGGTAAAACGTATAAAAGTATCTTTAATATAAATGACGTGAAAATCTCTTATTCATTTTCAAAGGTTCTATGTTATACAGCTGGACATATTAACTATGGTGGTCGTATAACAGATGATTGGGATAGACGATGTACAATGAGTATATTAGATAAATATTATTGTCCTAAAGTTTTAGAAGATGATTGTAATTATTCCGAATCAGGTATTTATCATCAATTATCAGGGAGTACAGATCATGCTGTAAGTTTAAAGCTTTAAATTAGTTGAATATATTTTTTTACATTATATTGTAGTACTATAGTGATTAAAAAATCTGTACATATACATTTTCATTGAAATCATGATTCGATCAATTTAAGACCATCATTGGAAACACACAAGCATTGGGCAGCTGTTTCGTCCTAGTGTGAGACTCTTCGTCAGTGCACATCCACGACACCCACACGGATATATCAATTAAAAAAAACATAATACAATGAAATAAATAAATGTAATAAAGTAATTTATTATGATTGTGAAAGAATGATCAGGATAGTTTGTTGTACGTTTTAACTTTTAATTAACGAGGAAAAAAATTCAAGAAGATGAACAGGTGGGCTGGAAATAATAAGAATTAAGTTGTTTTAATAATAAGTTGAACTGTTCTAGTAAATCTAGCTGGGCGGATATTTTACTTATTTACCATAGATCATTGACAGTTGCATCTCAATAACTATTTAGTCATGAGACATCATATGATTTGTCGAGTTTCACTCACTGCATTAATGATATATTACATAAGAAAGAATAGGTAAGTAAATTCACGGAAGATATACATTAGCAAGCACAAACTGTATCGGAATTTCGGTTATGAATTTTAGTTACATTTCTTTCTGTCTCCAATATCTGGTGCATATCAATTGTTCGATTCGAAAAGATCATTTCATTTTAAAGTATAAACACAGAAGATTTCAGTGTATATTAATCAAAACTGCAAGTGACCAATCTGGAAACTATTGTTTCATGTGTCTGATCTCTTGATGCATTCACCTAAAAATGAAAGTCATAATTCAATAACGATTTGATTGAATAAAGAATTGTATGTAAATAAATCAAGATTTATAAAATTGACCACTGTTGTGTCTTAATTTTAAAATGTATTCGATAGAAACCATTTTAGAAACAATTTGAAAGATAAGTGGTTCCCCTATAATTAAAGATCACTTATAGAGAGGAGATTTATGTTTTGTTTACCGAAGCTAATTCATAATTGATAAAGTTATTCCTGTAGGTTTTGAGAAGGTTTCTGAAGAGCAGCACAAAACCTAGCATTATAAATACACTTGTATTAGCTTTGACGGTTCAATAACTGGTAACACACTGATATAAGATCAAAACAAATCAATAAAAGAAATGTATGTCAACTGAGTTTATAATTAGCCTATTAGTTATTAAACAAAAGGGAAAATAATTTTCTTGATGATTCAATCAACTCATAATTTATATTTGAATTACTGCATTTAGTTTATTGTCATTTCTTCATAAAACTCCGCTTGGAGCTTATTTAGAATTACAACTAGTCCCGAGGCCACGTGAAGGAGAGCGGTTACGGATTTGAGTTATTAACCGCATTCAATAAAACAAGAATGTTGCCTAAAAAAAAGTCACTATTTCTTGAAAACAAGCAATTGTTAGTCACAATTTATCACGTGCTTATTTGTATTAACTTTCTACCAAACTGAAATTTTCCTCATTCTCATAGTTTTCGTTTTTTTTTTCCTAATTAACCATTAAAAATAAAACATGAAATCATAGATGTATCTTGATTATATTCGAAGTTTACCAATTAACGATCCACCGGAAATATTTGGATTACATGAAAATGCTGATATTACATTTGCTCAAAATGAAACTTTTCAACTATTAGGTTATTTATTATTAATCCAACCAAAAACATCCAGTACATCTGGTCATGGAAAACAACGTGAAGAGATTGTTGAAGAAATTGGTCGTTCATTAATAGCAAAATGCCCAAAATTATTTGATTTAGCATATATAACTCATAAATATCCAGTTATGTATGAACAATCTATGAATACAGTATTAGCTCAAGAAGTTATCAGGTAAGAATCTGTGTATGCATACATTAAAGATTTATTGATATAAATTATGTTTTATACAGTATTGATAATTTTGAAGTAACATTTTGCATCTCGAGGTGGAGAATCGCTTCCCAAACATGCTTGCATTGTTGCTTAAGACGGTCAGAAGATCGCATTTTGTCAATCTCCTGGTAGAAGGTCAACTTTTGAAAAGTCATGCGATGAAAGCAGGTCTAGGACGAAGTTAAACAAGAATAGATAATTCGGAAAACTTTGAGTAAACACCAGTTGACGTAAGTGATTCCACTAACAGTTCTCCGTGAGCTCTGAATCGACCAGTAGTGTTCGAGTAGGGAGCCTGTATAAAGTTAATTTACTTCTTCGGTACATCTTTCAATGACAGATACTACAACAGATCTCCACGATCGACAGAGCCAAACGCGGCATTAAGAATACAACTACCGTCGGACGCCTGAGTGTGCATCTGTGTTCTAGGATCTGACGAGGTGTGAATATATGGTCTATACATCTAGGTCTGCAACCAGTCTGCTTTTCTCAAGTCTGTCCTCCACGAGTTCTAGTTAAGCGTCAAAGCATTATTCAATCTACCACTTTAGAAACTATGTTAGTTTGACAGAATCCTCTTTGATTGTCACGAGAGCACATTTGTCCTTTCTTACAGACCAGGAAAATCGGTGACTGAGACCAGTCAGATTGGATTACATCCAGTTCCCGAATTCTAGCCAGGATCTCAGTCAGTTCAACTACCAGAACTAGACCACCATCCTGGAAAATATCAGGTCAGTCTATCAGGTCCTGTTGCACTTCCTCTAGTTAGATTCAGTCAGTCAGTCAGTCAGATGCAACGTAGAACTTTGTACATAAGTACATCAGTTCATGTTGCCATACCACATCAGCACAGAGAAGTAATCGTCAATTCAAATCCAATAGTAGAAGAGGTAGTAAGGGAATTAGAAGTGATCGGAGAGGTTAGGATTAGAAGATACTATTCAAGAGGTATGATTCAGTGAGAAAAGTTTAGAGACTCGAAACTAGAGGGGTTGAAGAATCCAGAAGATTAGTGTTTGAGAGAACACAAAGAATAAATGCACCGGCGCCATTGCGAACGATTTTGAGCCATGTCATTCAAGGTCTCTAACCATCGATTATTATCATCTCGCGGACCCCAACCAGGTAGTCGACAATACCGACATGGCTCAGTCCACTCGTCAATGACTTCATGGATTTATGCCATGTTTTGGTTTGACCGCCCCTAGCTTTCTTCCAACCTATTCCTACACTACAAAACAAGGCTCGACAAGGCAGTCGGTGGTTAGGCATACGCAACACGTGTCCCAACCACCTCAACTGGTGAAGTTTCAATACTTCATCGATTGATCTGCCATTCTTACCTAGCACCCGATTCCTAATAACAGCGTTGCTCACTCGGGTGTCCCACGATATACGAGCAATGCTTCGAAGACACCTATGATCGAAAACCAGTAACCTACGAATATCTTTGACTGGCGATGTTTCACAGCCATAAAGTAAGACAGAGCGAACCACTGCGCAGTACACTCGTCCTTTAGTCAGCAAACGGATATCTCGCCTACGCCATAAGTTACGCAGGTTGGCAAAAGCCAATCGAGCCTTCTGTATCCGTGCTGAGATTTCGTCAGTCACCAGGCCATCGGCACTGATGAGACTCCCAAGATAAGTGAAGCGGTCTACACGCTTGACTACTTCACTCCCTATCACTAGTTCAGGTGCCGATGCAACCCAGTCTTGAAGCAACATTTTGCATTTCGAGGGGGAAAACCGCATCTCGTTAGATTACCTGTAGTCTTTTCAAATTCACTGAGAGTTAGGAGATTGATATCGAATAGCCTTTCAAGCTGTTTGCAGTTGGTGGGTAACTGAAGTGTGGTTGGAGGCGGGTTGAATTGTTCCCTAGTTTCCTGACCATCGATCCAATCTCCTGGATTTAGAACGAATAACATTCCCGTCTTTTTCCGAAATAGTCTCACTAACAGCTGAATTCTTAATACCAGTCTCTTTGATAAGTCTGAACAGTTGTCTACTGTTAACTACTTCCGGCGCCTTTTTCTTCTCTCTTGCTTTCGCAAGAGGAAGTTCGTATGGTGAGGTGGTGCTTTTAGTCTTACCATTCTCCAATCAACCTGCCTGGCATGGTAGGACCTAAAGGAACCTAGCCAACATAGCTTGTTGGAGTTATAGTGATAGACAAACTCAGTCAACGCATCAAGATCAGCTGCAGTTAGGGTAAACAAACTGACAACGTGGCAATTTGGTTAGCACTTCGTCTACTTCTAGCTTAGTTTCATTGACAATGTCGAAAAAACTGTGGTTAGACAGTTGACTGTTTTTATCTACACGAAGGACATTAATAATAATAATAATAATAATAATAATAATAATAATAATAATAATAATAATTAAGTAACTATCCTTTTTAACAATATACTAATGAGTAGAAATTGACCAGACATACCAATTTCTACTGATTGGGATACCACCAAAATATAAATCTGTTATTATTACTAATTTCCCATCCAATGCTCAATTTACTGGAGACCATTAAGACCAACCTTGATTTGAATACATACAATAAGTATTTAGATGACACTTTTATTAGTTGTGACAAAAATAATAATTTCAACAACATCCTGGACAAATTCAACAGTTGTCATCAATCATAAAGCTCATAATGGAATCGAAGTTGGATTTAGAATTCTACCCCTTAAATGTTTTGTTAAAAAGAATACCTGGTGGTTCTCTATGAAGATCGACATCCGAAAAGTCAACCTGGAATGGCCAGTATACGAACTTTCAAAATTGAGTCCTATTTAGGAAGAAGAAGAACCTAGTCCACATATTCTACATGAGGGCTGGACGAACCTGTACTCATGATACAACTAACATTACACTTGAGAAACTACAATAGATACTGATCAACAACTGATCATCAACTAGATTCATTGATAAAATCTGAAGCCAAAACAACAACATGGTGGAATGTCAATGATGCCATCTCCAAATATTAACATGCCCGGCTATCTATAGGACTACAGAAGCTCTATTATGGAACATTTAGTTGATTCTAGTCACTTTGTTTGACTAGGATTCTAAATCGGAATCACTAACACCGTCAGGAGAACCGATCCAAAAGACTTATGTACAACAGAGGCTCTAGCCATCCACTTATTCAAGCTTAATCTTTGTGTTCAGAAGCAGTTTATGCAACCCTTCATTTAACCATGGCCTGGACCTTCTTATTTTTCTTCTTTTTTCTACTACCAATTATTTTCCACAACTAATAATTAGTTATTAATACAATTTTTAATTGTATTGTTTTAAATATCTATCATGTGGACAATCATCTTTACCCGAATATTTCCCATGAACTGTTGGGTTATTACATAACTTCCTTTCAATTTCTAACTTTTGTAAACAACGTATGACATGACACTTCTTAAATCTCTTTTTTAGTAATTTACCACCATTCTATTTTATTATAGATTACCATTTTTAACAATTAATTATATGCCTGATATCTAAGATAATTTATATGACCATAGATATTCAAAAGTATATTAAAGACAAAGATTATGCTTATCATCTTATTCAGTGTTGATTTTTATATTAGCTTAATACATTTAGAAAAATAAAACAAATCTTATGATACTGACTGACTACTCATGCTGTAAATCGTAACAATTTAAAGAGATACAGGTAAATTATTTTGGTTTTAGTGCTGTCTATAGGTTTTAATCAATAATGAATTGTATTTCACTGACTGAAACAATATGACCAAGCATTATTAGGATTCATTCTAGTTCACAGGATAATGTTAAATAGATTAGAGTTTTAGCAATAAATACATCCAGCTTTCGATGACTTTCTAGTGATAGATTCAACAATCTAAATTAATAATTACACTTGATTCATAATGATCGATTGACAGACTGACAGGGGGGCGACTTTTTTAATCAAATGAACAGCTCACTTAGTTCTGAAAGTCCAGTGCTATCAGATTATCAATATAGTTGTTTGTGATTTCAGTGAAATTATTAAAGTTGATCAATCGACAAGGTGTAGATATAAAAATAATAAGTTTTTTTCTACTCATTTATTCACAAAACAGATATAACGGTTTATTATCAACCATGCAAACTTCACTGAATGAATTAATCAAAGCATTGAAAGGTTTTGTAGTAATGTCAGCTAATTTAGAAGAAATGGCTAATTCATTATTTGATAATCGTGTACCGACTATGTGGGCTAATAAAGCTTATCCAAGTTTAAAACCATTAGCAGCATGGATAGAAGATTTAGTGATGCGTGTGAAATTCATACAAGAATGGATTGATCATGGTGTACCTTGTGTATTTTGGATAAGTGGTTTCTATTTTCCACAAGCATTTCTCACTGGAACATTACAAAATTATGCAAGAAAAAAAAGTATTTCTGTTGATACAATTACATTTGATTTCAAAGTAAGCCGTTTGGTTTATTTTTTTTGTTTCTTTCTTTCTGATAACGAACAATGTACGTAATTAAAAGTTTATGAGTTGACATTTTTCACTGTCTGTCATGATTTATTTGGTGAGTAAAATAGCTTTTAGCTTATGATTGACTTTACAAAACTATGTCCAACTAATTAGTATCAAGAGATTGATAAAATACTGAATGTGTAACTGATTTAGTTGACTTGATTAGTTTAGTATCAACAAATTGGAATACATTATCTTGACATATCTAGACAATGTCATTAGTGAACTGGAAGGATTTGATACAGACACGAATCGATAAAGCCTGAGTAACATTCCTGTAACCAAAGAATATCTTACCAAGATCAAAGTCCGAATTTTCAACACTAACGTGAAAGCAATTTTATTGTATAGTGAAGTGTGTACTACCATTGCTATTTTAAGAAAAATACAGGTATTTATAAACATCTGTCTACCCAAGATACTCTAGATCGATTGTCTATAGACAATCAACGATAACGTCCTGAGGCAGAGAAAAATACCGGCGTCAGTTGGCAATGAAACCAGTAAATGATGATGGGAGTGGATAGGACCCAATAAACTAAATTTTAAGGGAAGCTCTGGGGTGTGTGACAATAAAAAACACGCACTATCGGAAGTTGGACGCAGATATGAGGACAATTAGTAATACTTGGCAACAAGTGGACAGCCGAGTTGTATGGAGAACACTGGCCGGTAGCCTATATCCCATTAGGGGTAATAGGTCTACGTAAGATATCTTACAACCTATGGTCCGGTAACTTGACCAGGTCTTGCGCATGTTTTCACAAAGGGTGTCCTGCTGAACTCTGTTAACCAACTTTCAGGTTGGAAGACTTCGTACAACAGAAGATAATTATGTGCGATTAACGAAATCCACTTTTTCAAGACTCTTGAAATGAAATCTCCATAACATAACACTTTGACAAGCACTACTCAGAATATAAGCCAATGATAAATTTGCTACGTTTTTCTTGAATGATTATACTTTAAAAATCAGTAACATTAGCATTATATCAAGGGCTTCAACTAGAATATATACGTCTCTCTAGAAGTATAAATAGGAAAAATAGTTATGGAAAGTATTTGTAGTCGAAGAGGATGATTTTGCAGATGTTCAATTTTGTTAGCTGAATGAAGTCGAAGATAGTAATTGGCTTTTAGTCATACACTTTCACCGACACTACATGTGTCTTCGCATATACTACTTACGACTTGGACAATTTAGTTGGCAAATTAATTTATTGGCTTAGTTTTCTACCGTTGACCATCATACTTAACTTAAACAACTTATCTCTGATGACTCAAATATTATCTAATTGGCTGAGTATGAAATCTAGTTATTCCAAATAAAGGATATGAGATTGATTCATGTAACTAGCAGTTTATATGTCATGCTTATTAGTACTTTTTGTAAACTATATTTTTAATTCTTGAGTAAAATGAAACTTAATAACGTTTTTCTTAGTCTCTGTGAAGAGATAAGAAACTTTTTAGATACAATTCATTAACTCTTTCATAAGTGCTAGTATGATCTTTAATTTAAATCAGTTCAATAAATACATTCTTAACTGTCAAATACTTTTTTCGTTATTTCATACATACATATATAGGTAATGAAAGAAAGCTATGAGAAGCTGAATAAATCACCTAATGATGGAAGCTATATTCGTGGCCTATTTTTAGAAGGTGCAGGTTGGGATTTTACACTTAATTTGTTATGCGAATCACGACCGAAAGAGTTATTTGTCAATATGCCAGTTGTATGGCTTATACCAACAGAAAATCGCAAATCACCAAGTGGAGGAATTTACGAATGTCCAGTGTACAAAACTCTAACACGTGCAGGTACTGTCTATTTAGCTAGAGTAAAGAAATTTATAATCCCAGTGTATGACAAATCGAAATTTTGCAATGAACTATTATTCATTAGATAGTTATTAAGAACACGGAAATATTATACAAGTGTTTTGTTTGACTTGGGGATTCTTCAGCATTGTGAACCAATAAACATAAACAAAGGATACTTGCAACCAATTATGGAATCAACTCCTTGCGGAATTGTGCGTGTGCACGGCCAATACAGTGTTTATTCTCTGACGACCATCAATTCATCGTGGAAATTCAGTTCAAAATAAGCAAACATCTACACAAAACCTCTATAATCAAATAAAATGAATCAGCAAAGCCTCAGGTTTGACCAAAAGACAGAGAGTCAATGAAATTTAATGCAATAATAGGATTTTGAATTGTATTTAAATTCCGTTAGTTGACACATCAAATTAGTTACATACTACTCTGTTGTCTCTTGCAAAGTCATACATTTCCCAATAAGTCTTTGGTTAGCTTTCGATGCGTAATTCACACGACGGTTAGCAAAGTTCCTTAAGAACTTATCACATTGAATTTTTGAAAACACCTGTGTTAAAAGGATAACTGAACTTCCTCGAAGCATAACAATGAATTCTTAAGAATCGCGACACTATTTGAGAATAAATGATTACTCAAGACGTTTAAGCGATATAGGATATTGACAGTGTTTATCAGCAGTATATATTTACACAAATACGAAACATTAAGTGACCAGAATGTCTTTTGGCTATTTTTAGTCCGTTATTGGCATCACCTAACACAGTTAGGACTAAGCAATACGTAAAAACACGAGATTTCTAAGTATTTCAAAATGAAGCACCTGTCAAACTTAATTTTTTATGCGACCATTTAAATATTAATCTAATGGAAGTTGTGTTTTGTAAAGATGAATAAAAGAAAATGTCTATGAGAAGGAGTCAAGTATGAGTAGATAGACAGTGAAACAGACTATGAGTTGTACGAACATTTCTAAAGGTCGTACGGTTAACTACATCAAATAATTACAATATTTTAAATGACTTGTTATTGAATATATTTTACTCTTTATTATTGTAGGTACTTTGTCTACTACTGGTCATTCTACAAATTTTGTATTTTCCATTGAAATTCCAACTGATCTACAACAAGAACATTGGATTCAACGTGGCGTAGCTTTATTATGTGCATTGAATTATTGAAAAACTAATATATTTGTATTGTTTAATATAGAAAACTAAACTAATCCGATATGTTTAGGACAAGAAATATATTATTACTATTTACATAATGTGTTTCTTTTTTACGTCCACTGTATTGGCCAATATATAAATTAGTAAAATTTTTAAAGAGAGGAATTTATGCATAGAAAAGTAATTCAAACAGCATAGATTACAGCGTAGAATATATGTGTATGTATAGAGTCTATTTTAACAGACAGTTCTATGCTCAAATGTTATGCTCGGTGGCACATAAAATAATACCATGTAAACAGAGATTTTATGTAATCTCATTTGAGTGAATTTAATTGTTTATCTTTTAAATCATTAACTAATTGAACGCGTTGTTCTAATGACCATTGAGGATACCAAAAATGAAATAAACGTATTTGACATTGAAATATATCAGGTGAATTAAATTTTTCAATTAATTCCGAATTAATTTGTAAATTAGTATTCAGTAAATGCGCTAAGAATGTATCATTCATTTGATGATTAATAGTATTGTTCTGATGAATAGAATTATTGTTATGTTCATCTATTAAGGCTAATGAATCATCAATCGATAAATGATGATGATCATGATTATGATTCATTGTTTCAAGACAATTGAATATTGAAAGAAATAATTCACGTTCCGAGTTGTTCCATTCAGAAAACCAATGAAGAATTAAACGTACTGCTTGACTTGGAGGTATTTGTATATTCATTGCAGTAAATAAATTCTAATAAATGTGGATGAACTGAAATATTTCATAATATAAAACAAAAGAGAAATCAAACGTTTACCGATATTTAAGACTTTTCATCAATTGAGAATAGATTAGATTCGAAGCAAACAGCAGTTGAACACCATAAAATGTAGAAAATCATTTTCATATATTAAACGATACATGTATTCAATAAAATATACTGAGTTTTTCTTTCGCTAATTAGGTAGATACTTATTAAAATAAGAATGTTTGTATATTCAAGATTAGAGCATTTGAAAATGTTAAATGGTATCTAACTGTGAAAGTTGCGTTTTCATCTTCCCTGATCTTTACTGTGAAATTGTTTCGTATGTTTCAATCAGTTATTAATGAGGATGTTATTTATTTTCTTCAACAATATCTAACAGTAACATCATGAAGTTTAATTCAATGTTTCTATTGATTTCAAACAGAATATAGCCTTTTCTATTGACATCCGCCTCGTTAATTGAAACATTGAAAAAAAACATGACGGGCAAAACAATACAAAAACTTAAGGATTCAACTCACCTATGGTTTTTAAATCGAAAAGTAAATTAAATCATTATTTGAAAGTATACAAAATTCCTTTGACAATAAAAGGAACATGATAGATTTCTATGATTTCCGATCAACTTCAGTGTAGCGAATGCCTAGATCATTATAAATGAAATTAACTGAGCTGAGTAAAAACAAGGTATATAAAAGAATATGAACCAGTGGAGTAATAGGAAAGAATTGGAGTATTGACAAACAAAATAAAAGAATTAACACAATAAATTACTCGTTTTATCTGGTATTACGTAACGTTCAGCTGAAGAAATCGAGTTTCGGCAGTGAATAAGTCACATTAACAAGCGCATACATTACATATGTATTTGAAACACAGTTCAGGGACTTAAACCCATCAGAACACAATACCAGCGTATAATCTATGCACGTATCTATAATAAGAACTGACAGTGGAATAGGAGAACCACAACGTATATATCAGCCCACAAAGTATCTGAATATTGTTTTGAGCCAAGTTGGTGCGTTCAAGGTACTTGGTTTGGGTCCACGAGAAAAACCTCATCAGTGTAATTAATGTTGAATGACATGGGTCAGTATCGGTCACAAAAGCGTAAACAAAATGACCGTTTGTCTTCCAGTAGTAGATCTTAAATCCTAGCATTCTTTCACACATACCGATTCTTTCTGTCTTTCTAAACTATATTCTCAATGGTTAGTCTTTGATATTATTACTGATATTATATTACACTTGGATTCCCTCAATCAATCATCTTGTTCATTTCATCGTGTTTATATCCGGTAAAATAACAACTTGACACAACGTACCGCCTTGTGCTTAGATCTATGTTAACTATCACTGATTGGCATGTTTATGATGTGGTCTGATAATTTTTGTTACTTTTATTAAAAGTAAAGAGAACAAGTTCAATACCTATGTACTTTTAATGTTCACACTAAACGAGTGTGCATTAAATTTCAAAGAAAATAATAATAATAATAATATCATAGAAAAAAAACGCACATCAACAATAGTTCATTGATAAGAAAAGAAAAAAAAATAATTAAAAAGATCATAAACGTAAATTATATATTATCAAGTAATTTTGATTAAAGTACAATTTAAAATAGTTTCATCATTGGTCTCGCAAAGACTAATTTCATATCACATTATATATATATATATATATATATATATATATATAAATATGTAGAAAAATAGCCTATGTGTAAGTTAATTTAGCAGTAATCATCAGACAATAAACAGAAGTCATTGTAGAAAGAAAAAAAATTAATGTCAATTTATTGAGGGGTAATACAGCAGTGTAATCAACAACAACAACAACAAACAATCAAAAGAGAAAGAATACTGAATGAACAAAATAGTCTAAAACAAATAAAAAGCATTTTGAAAAAAAAATTTTAAAAAAAAATAGTTTAAAAATGAATCAGTAAATAAATATATATGCACCTCTCGTAAATAATGAAGAAAAATGATTGATTTAAAAAAATCTGAAAATAAAACATGTTGTATATTATGAAAATTGAGTGATAGATTCTATGCTACTTCCTTCACGTAGAATTTGATCATAACATGCTTGTAATGTTGTCATTAAATATGGTGATAATCCATGCAGTGATAAGCGTTCCGGTGCCAATTGTTTGATAAAAGCCAATTCAGCGCCCAAATACATAATGCCAGCACGTATTACCACATATTGCATAATCGGTAATAATTGATCAAGTCCAGGTAGATGAAATAATGTATCTGTTGAACAAATCGATGGGTTTTTGCAATCATTGCTATTCTTAACTGATGTTTCTAGACGAGAATTGAAATGTTTACTTTTACTGAATATCTAACCCATGTTGGATAATTTGACATGACGCATGTGGAAGCAAGTGCATGCAAGTGATTGTAATCGGAATAAACGAAACATAAAATCAATTAATTATTAAAACGTTTCAAAATTAATGAGCTACGGTGTGATTAAGAACAATAAACAAAATTTACCACACAAACAAAGCTGTAATTACGTAACCGAATATCATTTGGAAAGAAAAAAGGAGTACCGATTTTAGCTTGTGATATCAGGGTAGCAGCATCTTATTTGGTGTATCATTTTTAACAACTACACAAGCGATATACTTCTTAACAATAGCTTGCCAACTGACTTTTTAATCGTTGCCCTATTTCGTCAAAATCTCGATGATATATACGGTACAAGCAGTTTAAATGTCAGGAAGAAATTTCGGACTAACGTGTCTGTGCAGCCAGATAAGTTCATTATTACCAGTATTAATTAGTAAGACATTCAATTCTTAACAATGAATTAAATCTCTAATTTTTGGCTTTAAAACAAGGACATACATACATTTCAGTGCTTAAGTTTCTGGTATTCTCTATATCTATTGCGAAAAGCTAATAGACTTATGATTTCAGGAAACAAAAGAATTTCAGGACAAAAAGAATGTAAGATTATGATAATAAGCAACTTGTAATTTACTAGTTTTCTTATGAATATTATTTTTAAATGTACAAGAAAAATGAACGATCTGATTACGAGTGGGGAATTGAAGAGGAACCATAAAGCACCTTAAAACCTAAAGAATTATAAGCGTTCAAATAAAACACCTATTAATTACACTTTGAAATGATAGGCAATAAAGTCTGATTTAAAATAAATGAAAAGTAACGTACTGATATATCTTGTATTGAAAAGTTTTGAGGTGAAGTTATGAATCGTCAATAAAGAGACATCTAAGCTACATACATACAAATTTGAACTTACACTTTATGTTAGTTGGCGCTCATTAAAAAGGTACAACACATGCAGTTTATAAGAAAATGATAATCCCTATGGAATTCAGACACCAGTCACCTACACCTTCACACAGTTTGAAATATTGCCACTGAGCTATTCAACTGGTGACTGACTTCCTGTATGAATAAAATATTGATAATTAAATTGGTTATTGACCAACGTTCCGTCTGCTTAGCCGTTTAGTACATTTAGTTTCCTTTGGATTGTACGCATGCCTTGCTGATAATTGACAACAAGAAACAAACCTAGACCAAGGGTCTATTATTCACTACATTCGAATATCTAAAATTAAAACATAATAGCTAACATTTCAAGTCACTTGATCAACAGAATTCAATCAGCAGTAAAAAATAAGACAAACATGACGTCATTGGTCACTAGTTAGTAACGATTTAATTGTAAATAAATTCTCGTGGTCAACTTCAAACTAAACAGTTAGCGTTTATGTAAGAAAGTTAATAATATTGACGTCAGTGATTGTTTTAAACGAAATTAATCTAGTGAGACATAAAATTGCTTCTGAACGATCATTGCTAACATTTAAAACATATCTTTTCTTGCAGCATAACTTTACTCTAACATTGTCAAGACAGGATTCATAGAGAGCACTGAACAGTATTGAGATCACGAACAGAAAACTATTGAAAATCGAGGGTCACTAGATATCGATTTTGTCCTGGTATGAGACTTCTCTCAGCCGCACCATAGCTGATTGAACCCAGGACCTTCAAGTCTCGTAGAAAGGATTGTCAAGTTAAACATCCAATACTTTGGATGTTTAACTTTAATCAAATCGTGATATTACCTAATCAACTTTCAATTTCATTGATGAGTGACTGTCTCATATACAAAACGGTTGAACTCCACTAGTCACGGCTTCTCACTAGAACTCCAGCAATCACCTCTTGAAATCAGCCAGTAATGAGCACACAACAATAAATACTGTACATTTTTTTTAATTGAAAGTGAACCAATTCAAAATTAAATTTAACTTACATAGTCCACAATGGTAAATGTTTGATGTATGATTAACAATTTTCCGGCTGGAGTTTTTTTATGACTATTACATTGAAAAAAAAATAAACGTTGAAGTTTGGTTTAAGAGTAAGAAAAAAAATCAATACCAAGGTAGAAAACTGCACATCCCTAATCAATTAACAAGTAGAATTTATACAATTCATAAGTCATATGATGGTCTCTATAATTTGAAGAGCAGATATAACAGTGTATTAAAATGATCATTGCTTTCTCTTGTTCTTGCATTCTCTCTCTCTCTCTCTCTCCTTCGTAACAACAGTAATGAGGTCTTATTGCGTGATATACATAAGTGTAGTGTGCTATTATTTAACACACTAATTGAACCCATAATAGAAACATACATTGATGATACTTGAAAACATTTCAATCAAACAGGTGATTTATTCATGTGTTTATCTGTTAGCATATTATAAATATAGTAGTCATAAACCAGTTGATGATGGTTTATGAAGATTATGCGATGAAGGCGCACAATACGAAAGTAAAAGTGACCTTCTTCTTTGAATTAAAGATTCACTCATAAGGTGTAGGTGATTATGAAGGAAGCATTCTATTTCAGAATACTATTTTCATCTATTAATCAAACAAAGATAGGAATTTAAAGAGAACCCCCCCCCTCCTAGTTCTCAAATCAACAACACGCTCAACCTTAATTATTATTCTGTATAACACAAGACTGAGAATGTGAATATCACAAGTAATTTATTAGAATTCAGTGTATATTCATAAAATCACACACAAGCTGTGTAAGAACTAATTGTGAATAAGTGAACAAATGCATCCATCATTCAATATTTTATCATCAACTGATCAAAATTTCATTCATTGTGTTTAACAAGTGAACTGAAACATTTATATAACTGAAATGATTTCAATTTAGGCAAACAGATAAATAGATTATTTATTTGTCAACTTGAAAAGTATGTGGTAAATAAAACAAACAAACAAACAAAAAAAAACAAACTAGTCAGCAAAATCAATAATTAGATGATTGAACCTACCTCAACTTACGAAGACAAATTATAGCTGGATTAAAAACTGAATACTGTTCCGTTACAAGTAACTACAAATAAGATAAAAGTATAAGAAAATTTTTTTAACAGAACAGTGAATAAATTCGATTGTGTGTGACATGAGAAGCATACAAATAGGACTTTGTTGGAAAATGATGGAGGTATACGATAGATCACCCGAAAAGATCTAGATTTATCTACAATGTGACCACTATCTACCAGATGTGCTAAGATAGAACTGCGTATTGTTTTTGACTGACCCTTCGTAAACCATGCTGGGAGATGTTCACTCATTCGTTGTGTAAGTTGCCTGGAAGTACGCCCGATATAGCTACGCAGTGTTTATGTGTGACATGAGCAGTAAACAAATAGAACTTTGTTCTGGTGGAACAACTTTCATCATAAAATGCAAATTGGTAACCAAATGAATCGATTAAGTCAATGCATAAATGAATTAACTCATTGATACGATGGAATACGAGCTTTTGACCGATAACTAACTATGTGATCGACGCAATAAATTCTTTAATATAGTTGTCAGTCTATTTATTATGTGTTGAATAAACATATGTTCTAAATGAATTGTTTTTTTTACTTCGTAAATAACTAATTATTCATTGAGAAACATAAACAAGACCAATGAAAACAGTGTAATAATATTGAGTAATTTTGATGGACCATCTCTCTCTCTCTTTCTCTCTCTGCGTGTGTTCAAAGTTATTTAAATGAATAGGCTAAAAGAATGGTCAGCTGAAAATTGGATGATTAAACATTATTACACTATTGGCATTGATATAAAAATAAACAAGGATAAATACAATGAAATACTTTGAAATGTCAATAATACTATGTAATTTGTAATAAGTTTTCAGTTGAATTTATGAAGATTCTAATTTCCTTACGTAAAATTAACAGTATAATTTACTTTATAATTAGAGAGCATTTAAAACAAAAAAATAGCACCATATATATCAAAAAAAATATTACTTACTGTTGAGTTACTACTACTAATACTACTACTAATGCTAGTAGGAGTTGATGTATCCCATAACCATAAATTTCTATCAGTAAAAAAAGGAAATGAAAGTCAAATAAGCATGATGCACCATATCTATTGGTAAATGACAGTAAAATTCAAGAACGATTATAATGTGCAGCAATTTTCTACGCCTTGGTTTATGGTTGTGAAATGTCGCTTTTTTTATAGATGTATATAGCAGATTCGTAAGTTACTAGTAATTAATGATGAGTGTAGTGAAGATACTGCTCACATATTTCGGGACCACCGAGTAAGCAATGTTGAGGTTAGACATAGGGAACTAGGTAGAAAAAAAGGCGAATCTTCATTGACCGGTCGGGATGCTGTCTAACGTATGTCCAACCACAAGCTAATTTAACAGAAATTATAGGCTAGTGTCACAATAAACTGGAGGGTACTAAAGTTAGATAAAAAAAACCATATCATCAGTCCGTAAGATTACAGATATCTAGATTGAGCTGTATAGGTAGATGCAGACTACTTGGCTGGGGAACACACGATCATTCCAGCCAACAACTGGACCCGTTGAGTAACGTGGGTCAGAATTGGTCGCAGTGATGCACATGTATTGATTGTCTTTCCTTAGATTTTCAGTTTTAAAATTATCTCATATCTATTATTTTGCAAATCCATTCTTTTTTCCTAAACTAGATTGTCCTTATCAAGTCCTTTCTGCTACTATCACTGTAACTACTCTATCATGTTTCGATAATTTTACCTCGCTGTAGTGTTGCAGCGTGGCGGATTGGATTGGTGTACATAGATCCCAGGTTGCATAATGCCAACTACCTTCTTATTAGGTCACTTTTGAATGGTTCAGTATATCAGATAGGTTTTGTAAATTTGCTGGCAGTCAGAGATTAGTCGAACCATTGAAATCAGAGAACATTACGTATTGGATTCCTTATAATTCACCATACCCGTTAAAATAACTGAAAGGTAACTCAAATCTGTTGTCAATACAAACTATTCACCAAAATGGTAAGCAGTTGTGCGAATTATATTATTCAGTAGCTTTGAATTAATTTTTATCTACTTTACTTTCAAAACTTAGATGAGAAAATCATTAAACGATATTACACAAAGTATGAATTAAAGTCGAGTAGTGTATCAAACAGTACTTGACAAATGAATTATACTAAAGTAATTCACTCTATGCATATACAATGGAAGACCAGGCATCGTTCGAATTTATTGATATATTTTATTCGTAAGAATAAATTATTATCTGTCTGTTTGTAGTAGTCAGTGTAACAATGATTTGTACAGTTTGTAAATATACATCCATCGATGCACAGAACAGTGATAAATTATAACTGAGAGCTGATAAGTGAAGGGAAGATAAAAATGAATAGAATAAATGATTATTACTGCTAATCAGTAAGCATTTAGATACATACACAAGATTTAAAAATCTTGGGTTGTATTCATGAGACATTAATTTCGGTTGATGTACGACTGAAAAGCGAAGAGTACCGTACAGTTATTTCATTCTCGTATAGGAATGCACAATCAGTAATTATATCAAATTTAAACAACATATGTACAGTTCAGAAGCAAACATAAAAACTTCAATATAAGTACAAAATATAGAAAGAATAACAATATACAATGATAAAATCTCAAATTGGAATCAAATAAAATACCAAAAATGTCAACAGAAAAGGTCCGTCATGTGATAACAAAAATATGTAAACATGGAGGGATTTTCCAAAACACAAAACATTCAAAAAGGATTCTACAACCTTGGCATTCAGGTCTCCCATAGGAATCGTCCAAGCACCTCGAGGTTGTATCGTTTCATTTCTGCCGCAACTTGAAATAGTCTTCCAGTCTCCCACAATGTGCGAACGTTCCATGTACCTAAAAAAATGGTTGCTCTGGTTGTCAGAACAGGCATCGGCCGGGTGACTTCCGATGGATCCCGGCTTTCATCACAAGACGTCATAATTCTTCTTCCAACTCCAAGGGCAGAGGTAAAATGGTTTGAATTATTTTTTCTGGTTAGCGTTTTTTTGGCAAGTGAGATTTCAACGGAATGGGCTCGCCAACCCCATGTCCAACCCTCCTCCTTTATCCGGGCTTGGGACCGGCAGTAGCCCCTAAGGTTCTACCGGCGGAGTTCACTCGATTACTAGTTGCTTTTGATCGCGTATGCTGGTAACCTCATTAAAGAAATCTAAAAGACATGTGGTGCATGATTTAGTTCTAATGAAGCCATGTTGAGAGGGGTCAATGTGACCTTCCCTGAGTAAGTGATCAGATAGTTGATCTTTTATCACTTTCTCCATCACAAGTGATATAACTGGAGTGACATTAACCGGTCTGTAGTTTTGGATTAAGTCTTTCGGTCCAGATTTGTGTACTGGGACAATATGAGTCAACTTCCACGATTCGGGGTATGTACCAGACTCAAGGGATAAGGTAAACATTTTAAGCAAAAGCGCTGAAAAGTTCGGTCCTGCCATTTTAGAAAGTATGGTAGGTATCTCATCCGCACCACAGCTGCCATTGGGTTTAAGGGTTCTAATTGCCGCTTGAATATTGTTAAGATCAAATTTGATGGTACAAAGATTATGCATGCTGCTACAGTTAGTGTTAGTATCGGGGGTAGGAGATGTGTTCAGATTGAGGGAGAACCATGTACTAAACAGTTCGCAAATAACAGCTTCGTCATAATAAGTCTGTCCATCTTGTAGTATATAATGAATTTTGCGATCTGAGTCTTTTTTTATGCGTTTGTTAAGCAAACGACAGAGGTTTTGGGACTTACACACAGTAGCAAGAGCATTATTTTCTTCGATTTGCCTACGCACTTCATGTTGAGATTTTACACCTTCAAGTATAGCGTAAATTTGGTACAGGATGCTGAAATCCTTACATTTGCAATACGCCCATTTTAATTGACATAGTTTAGCCCTAGCTTTGTAGGTGTTATAAGGAGTAACTGTTTTGAAAGACGTTTTGAGTGGGATAGCCGTGTCTAGAGTAGATTTGATGGTGACGTTGAATACATGTAATGCATCAGGAAGTTCAAGACAAGAAAAAAGCTAAGTCCAGTCGGAGTGCTGAATTAGAAACCGAAAGCTGTCCCAGTCAGCATGTTTATAGTCTCTGTATTGAAAACGGTTTACTGTTTTAGATTTGTCACATTTAGCAAAAAACGGAAGGATGCAGAGGACAATCTTATAGTCACTGTTGTGAAACGTTTCGCAGACAGACACAGATGTTGGGGTGACATCGTGACAAAATACCAAATCGAGAATGTTGTGGTTCCTAGTAGGCAGCTGCACATGTTGTTGCCAACCATGTGTGTCTAGGGGACCAAGTAAGCTATCAAAGCGTAGTAGACCGGAATGTGTCCGCCAGTTGATTCCAGGGAGGTTGAAGTCACCACAAATAATTTTGCAGGTGAATTTAAGACAGGCAGCCCTGGCAAACGACTCACCAATAGCAACGTCAACCGATCGACGAGTGTTTGGAGCTCGATATATGCATCCAACCAGTATTTTACATTCATGGGCGTGCACAGTCAGCCATATCGAATCAGGCACTTGATTAAGAACAGTATCATGAAACATTTCTGCTTTGATGTCTCTAGATACATAGATGAGGCAACCACCACCCTTTTTAGATCCTCGGTCACCGCGAAAGAGTTCATAAGAGTCTATTAGAAGGTATGAGTCAGGGACATCGGAGGACAACCAGCTTTCAGTAATCAGGACAATGGAAGGATTGTTTAGAAGTACTAGAGAGCGTAAGTGGGTAATCTTATTGATAACAGATCGGGAATTAATTAGCATTAGTGTAACATAGGACGAATACTCATCTTTCAGGGATGCACGATGGGCATCTGGAAGGTTGTATGTTGTGTGTTCCGAAGAAGGGCTGGAAGTAGGAATATAGGCTTGATTGTTATGGTCAGTTAATTTGGGAACGATATAGTTAGAGGGAGAAAGGTATTCAGAGACAGGCATGGTGAGAGAAACATGTGAGGTAGGGAATGATAAGTGTTGTTCGTCAGAGTTAACTGATGACTCCCAAAGAACAGATGAGGAAGTCGCTAGGGGGCATAAGGGTGGATCGTTTCGTAAGTCCATTGGATAAGGTATAGTGGAGTTAGTCAAATCTTTGGACAATGTGAAAGGTGGTTTGACAAAAGGACCAGACATAAAGGTATTACAGCTAGAAGGGGAAGACAGCGTCAAAGATCGATTGTCATCCATTACATCACAGAATGCAAAGCATGACTTGAAGGAGGGGGAAATATCGCCCTCAACAGCTGGAGGTACAAAAACAACTCTGTTGAGGGGGTGAGCGTTAAAAAAGGGTTAGGTACATGTTTTGGAAAGACTGAAGAATTGCAAAAGGTATTTCGACTAGGGTGGTATCTAGGAACATTAGGCGGATGCCCAAGCAGGCTAGTGTTACGAGTTATCTCAGCAACTCTAGGCATCCTAGTCTTTTTGTACGCTATCAAGGGTGAAGGCTTTGGGTTAGAAACGGGGAGGCGCCTGCCGTTAGAGTTTAGGGAGGTATTTATGGTATGAGTGTCCGTATTCTCAGGAGTCCTAGGGTTTAATTTTAGAAGTATAGTAGCGTCCCGAGTAGGAGAGGTAGGGGGCAGGCATTGTTGTTTATTAGGTATGTTAAGTACTGCAGACTGACGGTTAGGGCGAGTAGCACGTCTCATGTGGGAATTTCGAACCACTAGGTCTGTACCTTTATCTTTAGGACAATGTTTATGTATTACAAAAGTGCGATTGACCTGTGGTTTACATGTAGATCGGCGACTAGCAAGTGGTGATCTGAAGCTATATCAGCTCCTCTCTTGGTTCTCACAACCTCCATAGTCCTTCTGAACGTTTTGTTGATACAGATATGGTCAATCTGGTTTTGAGTAGTGATCCGGTGAAATCCATGTAGCTTTGTGTATGCGTTTGTGCGGGAATATTGTGCCACCGATGACCAGTTTGTTGAAGGCACATAGGTTTGCAAATCTCTCACCATTTTCGTTTCTTTCTCCCAGTCCATGTCGTCCCATGATGTCTTCATATCCAGTGTTGTCCATTCCAACCTTGGCATTCAGGTCTCCCATAAGAATCGTCAAATCCTTTGGTGAACATTTCTCGACGATTGACTGCAGCCTTTCGTAGAATTGATCTTTAACGTCGTCATTGTAGTCATAGGTAGGTGCATAACATTGGATGACGTTCATTGTAATGTCCTGTTTCTTTGTTTTGAAGGATGCTTTAATGATCCTGGGTCCATGAGATTCCCATCCTGTCGGTGCCTTTTGGGCATGTTTGGACAGCATCAGTGCAACTCCTTGTGTATGTGAAGCATTTTCCTCTTCATGACCAGAGTATAACAGCAGTTCCCCTGAAGCAAGTCTCAGTTGTCCTACTTGTGTCCAATGTGTTTCACTGATTCCAAGCACTTCGAGGTTGTATCTTTTCATTTCTGCCGCAACTTGAAATAGTCTTCCAGTCTCCCACAATGTGCGAACGTTCCATGTACCTAAAAAAATGGTTGCTCTGGTTGTCAGAAGAGGCATCAGCCCCGTGACTTCCGAGGGAACTCGGCTTTCATCACGAGACGTCATAATTCTTCTTCCAACTCCCAGGGCAGAGTTAAAATGGTTTGAATTATTTTTTCTGGTTAGCGTTTTTTTGGCAAGTGAGATTTCGACGGAATGGGGTCGTCAAACCTCCTCCTTTGAACGGGCTTGGGACGTTGGTATGCGGTTCGATACACTAGCAAGATTTTGTTTATGGGATGCGTATACGCACAGCCAACGAATCAAATACTAAGACGGAGTAGTAGATGAAATCCCCCAGGCTTCCCATAGTATTCGAATTAGAAACTACTTAGGATCTCAATTACATCGAAACCTAATTATAAAGATCACATATTAGCGAGTCTGTTATTGTTAGCATCAATATCACAAGACATCCTTCAGACCACCTGTGATAAAGACATGCATATGACTTTGTTGATTACTTAACAAAGTAGTTAAATATCGCTCAAGATTTGACGGTGTTTTGTCACCGAGCTATACGTTTCTCAACAGTCTGTTACAGAGTAGATTTCAACAACTCTCTTCGAAATGTTGTATTGGGAGCAAGTGTCCTGATTGAATGTCACCTAACCAACGTATTCGAAGATTTCATTAAGTGACATCGGGCTGATATTGGCAGATTCAGTCTTTTGAATCATGTCTGAAAAGCAAGGATGTTTTCTGATTTTAGAACGTAATGCTCCAGTGTGCATCACAGTCATTTCAGAAATGGCAGCACAGACGTTTATCATATTCGTGTGAAAATTCCACATTTATGTGCCTCATATTTGGTCACTTCATGCAATAGCTCCGTAAGCGTGACCCAATAGTTAATGCTGATAATCCATCCAAGTTTTTACCAACATTTATCATTTAAATAATTGTCCTATTCACACTCAAACCTAGTAATTTTCTTTTTATAGAAAACCACTCTGTATTTATAGTTACATTTTAAACTATCCACTTTGATTTTTACATACTTGTTCAAGACGAACAACTGAAAAATTTATAACTGACAGATCAAATACTGAAATACAATACAAGCTTTGTAATACAATGTTCTAGAGATTTAAATCAATGTTAAGTTCTTTACGAAAGCATGATAATTAAAAAATAGTAGAAAAAATCATTTGAAAGAGAGCATGAAGATAAATTAATTTACTACTATTGACACAAATACTTTAATAAAAATAAGAGCAATCAAATCATTAAAAAGGACAGATAAACTCTGATGGACGCAAAAAAGACGGTCATATGTTCATTTATAAAAAAAAACTTGGCAATAGATATATAAACACACTTTAGCAAACAGGTGACGTGTATTTCTTTTTGTCAGAAAAAAAAGACAACAACCATCCCTTATTTGAGAACAGTGTTTAATTCATGTACAGAATTACATTGAATTATGCATTTAACCCATTGAATATCACAGACAATCAGTGTTAACAGGAAATAGAACTAGTGGTCTTTCAAAAGCATATCAATCTAAAAAAGATATAGGCAGATAAAACAACAACAATAATAGGGATATATCATTGAAATATATAAATAGACGAGGCAAACAATACACAATATGTAAAAAATAACCCTTAGCTTACAGTGTAAAGCTTTTAACTTCTGTTCAGATGACTACTGGTCAGTATCATCAATCCTTATACAAAGTCAAGTAAATGACTATACTGACCTAACTATTAGATTATCAAAAAGAAACTAAACAGATAAAGATGTATGAAAATTGAAAACCTATTAAAATTCCTCAGTTATGCATTTTGTAATTGATAAGGTCCACATTCACACCCGGCTCTACCTAATTTGAAGTTTGAATGGTTAAGTTGTACGACTAGATCTCATACAGTAGTGTGCTTTAAGGAGGTGTTGAGAAATTTATATGACTGAAGCTGATTACTGCAAACCCATCGGTTTTGTGCTAGACGGCAGCTGCCTTCAGAGAATACCTGAAATCCTGAAGAAGCTGATGCTCGTTGAGAAATTCAAACTTGCGTTATCCAGCTTCACAGTCTGAACCTTACTACTAATCATTTTTGTTAGAGAATGGCTCTCCGTAGAACAAAGATTTTTACACTGGTTGGTGGCAAAGTGGCACTTGTAAATTAAAATCCTACAGTGGGCATGAGTTCCATCACAATTCCAGATACGCCTTGATAAGTCTCAACCAGCATGATGCTTACGTTAAACAGAGTTTAATACTAACTATTTCCAAAAAGCTAAACACCTGTTGAGAAGTTGTAAGACATTTATCGGAGGAGTCAACACGTACCAGAAAAAGCTAAGAAACATGTTACCTAATCATAACTAAATTGAAGTTTTTCCGAGAAATGCAGAAGGAAGGCAGATTGCATCTTATATCTCTGACTGGACAGCTAAATTCTTGCCACTACATTAAGCATGCTTCCGGAACTTTCTAGACTAATCAATGTCACATCATATAGTAAAAGTTTGCACGATTTTCCGTACTTGCATTAACTTTGGAGTAAAGGCCTTTTTACAACATACTTCGAGCATTTTCTCTTGTGTTCAAGTTGTCGTTTAGTCTGAAGTTGTTAAAAGCAGTTAGGAATTGACAAATAAATCATCATATATTATCATAAACAAATAAAAATAAATGAAACCATATCAACCAATTGCTAACTAACCTGAGCTCTATACATTTCTTTCACATCAGCTAAATCTAATTTAAGTTCATTATTTTCTTCTGTTAATTTACCGCATAAAACCAATAAAGTTTCATAACGTTGTTGTAATTCCATAGTAGGATCATTGTCGTCAATTATATCATCAAAATTATGATGATTAGTGTAATTATTTGTAGCAGGAGAAGAGGAATTTGATTGTGATAAATTTTGATTTGTATGTTTTGAATATTTTACACCTGCTAATTTTTCATATTTATCAGCTCGAGCTGTTTGCTTAGCAACAGCAGCTAACAATTTTTCTTGAGTAGATGTTAATTGTTCAATTTCACGTTTCAAATGAGCACATTCACCTTCACGTAAATGTAGATAAGACTAGAAAATAAATAAAATTGATTTAAATGAAATGGAAATAAACAAATTACGATTAGAAAGATAATTTTAATTTTCACAATCATTAAAGACTGTGGGTGTAGGGTCGTGGATGCGCACTGCTTAGGAGTCCTATACTAGAGATGAAGTGGCCGTCAAACGCTACCAAGTTTCTAATGACATTATAACGTACATGGGTTGATGGGTTTTAATGAAATTCAACAATCTCCGAAATTCCATACTGACAAATACAATTAAAAACAGATGACCGGTAACAGTTGATTATTGAAGAACAATATATGTTATAAATGATATGGAATATTTTGATTTAAAAAAAAATGACTAAATGAGGTGGATGATACAATTTATGAGACCGGATAGAATACATACAGCTCCGTCATCTAATATAAGCTCGGTTACGCTTAGTATTGCTTATTGTTCTGAAAAAAAAGCTGTTTTGATTATACTAAACATTGGTATATAGTTTATCAATTGTAAAATAACAATATCATATGGAACAGAGAAGAAGAAGAAGAATACGGAGAAATTGGGCAACGATGAGATTTTGGTAGGTCACCAGTTCCTTCGACATTCTGAACAAGCTAACTTAATAGGAATGAAAAATCACTAAGTTGTTGGTGTCTTCGCCTGATGAAATTAAATTATCTAAGTGTTCCACATAAACTAAAAGTTTTTTTGGTCAATAGAAAATTAGGATGAAGAAGTTATATTGTTATTAGAATTATATTAATGACAAAGTTAAATATAAATGGGACGAAAATTTTAGTTAATGAGCACAACTTTCAACACAAATTTAAGGTGGCATAGTTGACACACAAAATACAGTGGTGAAAATGAATTTAATCTAAATATTGATTTTCAGTATTACAATACATCGTCCACCCAATGTATTATGCGTTACATTTTAGACTAAAACTGATCGATATGTTTCCGAAACACTTTCATTCATAAAATTGATACTTAATGCTCAAAAATTATTGACTGGTTTGTGGAAATATTCTAGTTTTCAAATTAACAACCAAAAGCTTGATCGGTCAGTAGTATATTCTGAAATGACATTAAAATTGATTCCTCTTAAACGGTTTCGCTGGACTACTGTTGTTACTCAGAATTATATTATGGATATGCTTCTATTGATCTCCTAACTACAGAATTATTATTCGACTTGGAATACATCCATAACATACTTCCGTTTGATGAGAACACTGAGAAACAGTGATCATCTGAGTAAACAATTAAAAATGTCTAGAAAGAAATTCTCAATGCAAACTGTAGCTTTAATACCAGTCTGAAATAACGCTGAGATTAAATTAATTGAATGAGTAGAAGACTTTAAAATAGCATCAGTTCTTTTGTGACGGCGGATACGCACCTAGATATTAACTGTTGACCAACCCGACAAAGGAATTTCGATAACAACCTTAACATTTTACTTCAATTAGATTATATTTTCCTAGTTAGTATAACAACTGCAGAGAGTTAAAAATTATTTCAATAATAGATATTTATTTCTTACTTGAATATATTCCATAGAAGCTTGATTGACTACATCAGACGAAAGTTGAAGTGTTTTTGGAGCACTGGACAAAGGTGAGGCCACTTCATTGTTGAATGAAGATCTTCGCTTAAAAGTTAAAAAAAAGCAATCCAGAATTCAAGCATACTGCCATTGCTGTTGATATCTTACAATGATAATGATAATAATAATAATAATAATAATATTAATAATAATAATAGTATGTAGCAAACTAAAAGTCAATCCGTTCATGATCCGTACTTAATGTTTGGAACTGAACATTCGATTGGATATATATTGTCTACAACTGTAATGTAACTTTGTACACGCAAATCTGACGACAACTAAGCTAATGAGATGAAATACCTTAGCACAGTAATAATGCTAAAACAATTAGCAATTACTAAACTTCACCAGTTATTTTTATTTACAATCAATATATATATATATATATATATATATATATATATATATATATATATATATATATAACATTCAGTAAGTAGTTTACAAATTTAAACATACATCAGTAGAATGTGTATTCAACTGCTGATGCATGAATTCATTTGATACATATTGATCTTTTGCTGATTTCATTTGCTCTAGTTGTAAGTGTAAATTATTATTTACCGCTTCTAATTCTTTATAACGTTGCTCTTCAGCAAGTAATATTTGTTGCAATTCATTTACACGACAATGAAATTTATTCGCTTCCGCATTGGATGCTTCTAGTTTGACAGTTAATCTATAAAATATAAGAGAAAGTAGGCATACTGAACAATGATTAGATACAATTATTTATATTCTATGCTATGATTGACAGACAGACAGATACAACACAGAACTTCGTACGTAAGTACATCAGTTCAGGTTGCCATACCACATCAGCACAGAGATGCAACTGTCAGTTCAAATCCAAGAGTGATTGCAATAATAGAAGTAATAGCAGTAATCGAGAAGATTAGGGAGCGAAGAGATTATTCGAGAAGTGTAATTCAGTAAGATAAATTTAGGAGAAAGACAGAGATGATTAAGAATTCAGAAGGTTAGAATTAGAGAGAACACAAAGAGTGAATGCACCTGCGCCATTGCAAACGATTTTGAGCCATGTCGTTCAAGGTCTCTAGCCATTGGTGACTTTCGCCTAGCGGACCCCAACCAGGTAGCCTACATCTATCTACCAACATCACTCAGTCCACGCTATGACTGAACTATAATAGAAAATCAATGAGTCATAAGGAATTTAAAAAATTTGAGATATATGTATATCGGTTGAAGCTATCATATAATATTATTAACAACAGTCAGAGAATATTATCAAAAATAAATTTTAGAGTAGAAGAAATGGTAATATTATCCAACGATATCGTATTGGGATCCCGTGAAACTCTGTAGAGTATGCCAACACTAATAATAATTTTTCTGTGTAACCAAAAAATAAAAACATATCCGTTTGGAACTAACTAGTTATCGATGAGGCTGCAGACATGCTAAAAGTATTGTAAATTATGTTACGGCTTTTTTTCGTAAAGGAGAGAAAGGAACAATTATTAGCGTATTTTAAATATAACTTCTGATTATTTGAAAGAGTTAAGCATGAGCAACATAAAATGTGGTACAAAGCTCCAAGTTACCATATCGCACCAAACACAGAGCAAGATGAAAATCTTAAAATAGATGAAAGGGTAGAATAAGCAGTAAAATTATGAGCGACAGTAGAAAAACACTAGGCATAAAGAAATTCAGAATCTAAAAGCTGATAAAGATTGGAAGCATCTGAGTCATTGCAATCGATTTCGAGCTATATCATCCGAATTCTCTAATGATAATCCTGCGGAAACATACTAAAAGTTGGAAACTAAACGTTTGATTCATTGAAACAGCGATCCCGTACACACATATCGATATAACTTTGGATTATAGACAAATATGATGTTTAAAATCACAACCTCGATGATCGATTTTCATTGATCATGATAAAATATTTGAAAGCTTTACACTTTCCTTAGGGATTTAAAATTAACGTCGTAAATTTTCAACCGTTCATATAATAAGTTATAACCGAAAATAGCTCACAAGCTCCTCAAGCAATTTTTCTCAAGAAAGAAAATTGACTTTTTCGTTAGTTTAAATTTAGGGAAAATTACATGGAGAGCTATCAACTAATTGATATTTGTTTTGAAAAAATAAACTTACTCTTGTAAATCCAACATGCTACACCGTGAGTTTTCTTGTTCCATTGTAACTATTTTCTCTAAATCAATGTATTTCTGCTTTAAAGAATTCAGTTCTGATCTGGTTATTGCTAAATTATCCTCTGTTGTTTGAAGCTGATTTCGCCATGTTTCTTCAGAAGATTGAGTATTATCGATTGTAAGTTTATATTCAGCTAAATATTTTTAAGAAATTTAAGCAGTACCATAATTGATAGTTGAAGATGATAAATTTCATTGCATGAGTTAGTATAAATTTTACGATGTTATATATATATATATATATATATATATTTAAAAGATCAAAAACTCCACTACATTTTGTTGTACAAAAATATTCAAAAGTGAAAGTCAATTTGAAACAGAAAATCTCACTCGAATGTCAAGTGTAACTTTTTAGATACTTTTTATCATGGATTATGATTTGATGGTTAATGGATGAATAGTTTGAAGGATTAAAATGAATGCAAAACAATGCCGCTGAATTGATGATATACAATGACACGAAGTGACTGAGAGATAAATGCTCATTAGACTGAATTACAGAATAGAATTTCCAAATGAACTGATATCATAATCGAGATCACAAGTCAAAAAATGGTTATGTACAAAAGACACTGCTGACAGGATTAGAAGTTATAGGTCAATAAAGGATATAAATTTTCAAATTTACATAAATTTATGTTTGCTAGACAACTATTGAGAACCAGAAAGCCTCGTACTAGTAAGGGATTTCTCGGCGACGTGTAACTACGACGCCGTTGAAGGTCAAACCAAGGGACTTTAGGTATAATTGTGACAACTTAACGCCTAAACTACTGAGTATGCATCCATTGGTTTGACATACCTAACTTCGACCAACTCTCTACCTTGCAGATAACAAGGTTGGACACAATTGGTCAAGGCTTTTCACAAAAAACACTCAAACTATCTACAGAAAAAAGTATAAATCATCTTATACCAACTTAATGGTCCGAAGCTTACATCTTCCCTCGAAGAACTAAAGGTCCTGATTTTGATTCTTGTTGATGCCATGCATCTGTGTAGTTGAGTAACATATTAAGATCACAGAGTTGTTCGATACTTCTCGATTTCCAACGATTGTTTAACTGAGACCATTCCGTAAAGCAAACTACAAAGCTAAACAACCTCCACAAACCGCTTATACTGGTATCACTTTTTGTAAATCGTTCAACGGAATTTAACCCAATAGATAGATTTAATAGTTCATCAGAAAATAACTTCTGTACATTTGTTATACACTTTTATCTTACCATCATGAAATAACAAGCCAAACAGAATTCGTTCACATAGTCGCGCGCACAAAAACAGAGCATATCATGAAAGTAGCTATCATTGAAAAGAAAGCGCATACTAAAATTCATTCACAATGCATAGTTGTACATTATGTTTTCATTTCCAAACCTAAATGATTATTTATTTCTTACAGTTAATTAAAAGCCTAAAACAGTGTAAGTGTAAAATCAAGTTGATACAAGATTGTTAAAATGTGTCCTTAACAGTTTACCAATAAACTTTTACATTTATTATAGATTAATAACTGATTTTTAACTGAGTTTGCAGTAAAGTGAATAAAATAAAAAATGTTTATTACATTAAGAAAAATAGAATCTCAACTGTTATGATACCACGATTGTTGAATATTAACCATTGTGTATTGTTTTTATCTAATTTATGTAATATAATTATCAAATTAATTAATTTGCGATGATCGTAAACTGCATACTTTAGGAAAATAGTGATAAATACAACCTGAAACCTAGTAAGAGGTATCCCAAAAGACCAACCCTAGTACCTTCAAGCATATTAAAGCTTGACAACTAAATAAAGACTTTATAAAGATAAATGTATCAGAATTACTCTTTTGTTTGACGATGAACTGAATGAAGTAAAATAAATCAAGAGTTCACTGGTCAGCTGCTAATACTGATAGAATAGCTTAACGATAACTCAATCAAAGTTGACAGAAAAACATAGGTAACTTGCTGACAAATAAATGTCAAGAAACATGAGACCTATATCTTAACACAGAACCGTAAACAAGTATGAGATCGTATGAAATTCAACTTTCTAGCGATACAATCAAGCAGATGGAATAATGTCGGAACAACGTCGTAATCCAGTAGCAGAGTTTTTAAAATAAAATGCCTTGATTCTACTAACTCAACAAATTATGATGTTTATTAGTTAAGGCGATTACAATTTAATTAGTTTTTATTAATACATGTTAATTTTCTTTCCAGTGGCAATAACTACGAGTATAATTCTTCTAATTTGCATTTCCTCACAAACTTCGGTAATTTTTGACTGGTAACTGTGACTTTTGGTTAGATAATTTCTGTTATAAGTTCATAACAACTTGTTACTTTACACCAGATTACATTCGGATTGAAACGATCTCTATGGTTCATGCATACTAATAACACTGTAGGTTAGATTTAACAAAACAGCAACATACAGCACTCATGTTATCATTGAAACGTTTAAACTATAGAAAATAAACAGTTATAATGATAAAAGTTGAGAAGACTCAATGGAGATCAGTTCCATAGTTCATAGATTGTATGAATCAAAGAAAATAAAACAATATTAAAAGAAAAACATTTTCAATTGTATTCAAATCATGAAAAATTTATTTTTGAAAATTTCTCCTACTCAAGCACTAACCTAATAGTTTGTTGAATTGTTTTTCTTTCATTTCCCAATCAAATGTTTGTTTATTGAAATTAGATTGAAGAATTTCTAATTGTTTCATAATTGGTTGTGTGGCATTAGTCGTTGTTTCATTCAATAGATCAATTTTCATTTGAGCATCTGACAATAAACCCTAATATGATACATAGGTATACATATTAATATATTTATATATTTATTGATAACAAGAACAAAGAAATAATACAAATATCAAAAAGAGTTATATTCAACCAAAAGATCTTTGTCTTATTCACTAACCGCACTGGGTTGATATTGTGCGACTAGTTAGAAATGACATTTCATGTATGTGCTACTGACCATTAGAAAGTCATAAACGACCGGGGAGAAAACAATGCTAATTCTGAAGACATGATACTATATATATCCTTCAATAGGATGGATGGAATATGGCTAATGATGGAATCCAGGAAGTGTATTTCATATTATCTGAAACTCGTTAGCTGTATTCCAGGGTGCTTGTTTGTTCCAGGACTCGAACCCAGTATAATTTGCTTCAAATGCCAACGTGTTAAACACTTAGCCACTGACTACAGATGGACATTCATTTGTTATAGGTCTTCATTTGATTTGTAACAGTCTGGATTATCCCATTGTTGGTATTTTGACTGCTAGTCATATATCAGCTACTCTAAATAAACTTGTATCATAATGGCTACAATGAAGAAATCTGCACAGGATTTTCATATGCAAATAAAGACAGATAAAACTGTACTGGAAATATCAACAACGAAATAGTCCATACCATCAAAAATTACATATTATTCAATCTTTTATCGAGGAACTGTAGTTTCTACATAAAAGCATTTAGTATAGAACAGTAGCATATCAGATAAATGATAGAACTAAAGTCATCGAATAAGAGGATAAAGCCTTTTCATTATATGATTTGGAAATGAAAATTCCAACTGCTATTTAAATTGTTAGTAAAATCTCAGAGTTTGTACAAAATCATCACAATCGTAAATAAACTAACTCAGTATAGTGACAACACAACAACATTGATACTACCAAGATTAGACTAACTAGGGATGTAGCTCCTAAGAAACTTGTGGATAGAAAAGATGTAAGAATGTAAAGTGGTTATCAAGATGCAATCTCTTGATTCCACAAAACGTGCTTGATAAATTGTTTACTGAAGACACTGATACACTGACTGGAAATTAGACCGTAATAAATTAACAAGAGATTTAGTTTAATTTGAATTAATGCACCTATAAGTAATTGATTTTACATTTGCACTCTTCAAAAACCTCAATATTCTAATTTGAGTTATTGAGTGTCTATGTTATACCTTCTCATCAAACGGTTCACCCTTGTGTAGAGAACCATATTTATGAATGTTTCATCACATTAACAATATTTAACTGTAACTGGTAAAGTGTTTGTTCTATAAATATAAACTGAGAGTGATACCTGATAATACTGAATTTCTTCCCTCCATTTAATCGCTTGTTCTTCATGCTGTGCTTTAAATGCACGTAAATCTCTTGAAGTGCTGTCCAATTTTTGCTTTAAAGTTTCACATTCCGTTTTTGCTTTTTCTAAATCTTCCACACATTGAGTTTCAGCTTTTGAATTATACTGAGCTTGATTCAACTGTTCTTTCAATTCGGAATTTTCACTAAAACAAAAGGTCAATAAGAGAATTAAGGAGGTTTTAAGTATGCGTAGTAAGTTTTATAGACTTTGTTATATATGCAACAACAATGTTTTTTAATCAAAAGTAAAGTTACGAACTAGAATAGCGAAATAGTTTGATCAGTAAAAAAAACAGTTTTATGATGATAAATACTTGAATAAATGCTTTAAGAATGGTTTGAATAATCTTCTATAATAATAGGAATTGAAGCAGTTGAATGCACTGACCATTTAACTTAACCTGGAAGTTTCACCAAGGCTAAACGGTTAGAATCCGATTGGAAAGCTCGACTAGCTTTCATCAAACTCATGAAAAACATTTAGAATGCATTTCACGAACAAACTAGAAAACCAGTCAGTCAACTACGTAAGTCCTACTCATCTCGAGGCAGCTACGAACGATATTCAAAAAAATATGGAAGCAGCAGTGACCTCTACCAGTAAAATAAAACACAGTAAAAATAAGGTTTGCGGATTTTAGTGGCACCTACTGAACTGACAGATACTCAAAAACTGATCCCTCTTGCTCAGAACATGATGATAAGAGGAGGCAGACAAAAAGGCTACACAATGAATGTGAACAGTGATCATCAAAAAGAGATTAAAAAAAGCAGTGGCGACGGGTAACAGGAGGCAACTGTTCAAACTTATGAAGGAAACTGGTATTAGGAATCCGAATGATAGAGATACTCTTTCGGAAAAAGATGTGGCTAGTATTCACCTTCAGTCCAGGATTGGACAGATGGGCAGAACAGGAAACAGTTCAACTATACTCCAGAAAATTCTCGACTACACAGCATTGCCACACAACCTGAGCGGAAAATTTATGTAAGCACCTCAACTCTTAATAACGCTGAAAATGATATAGGCAATCTAAAGCCAGAAGGAGTGGCAGGTTTCGATGGATTAACCCAAAGGATTTTTAAGGATAGTGGTCCATTTCGAGCAGTCAGATCGACTGACTTTTTTGCTACAATCCGGCATCTGGATGTATTTCTATCCGACTGACCGGTCTCAATCACTGATGGTTCGATTCTACTAGTAGGGAAAAAATTCCTCTTGTGATAATCGCAGAGGAATCGGTTTAACTAATATAGCGTCTAAAATATTAAATCCAATAATACTTTGACGTCTGACAACAGAAAAACAGTCTGATTCTAGATCTGGACGTGGGTGTATAGATCGAATATTCACACTTCGACAGATCCTACATCATAGATACACATTTCGACGTCCGACAATTGTTGTTTCCCTTGATCTTAAGGCGGCGTTCGACTATGTCGATCGTCAGGTCCTGCGGCAGTGTTTATCAATGAAAGGTGTACCAAAGAATTAATTACATTAATGTTATGAAGGATCTCTATTCGAACAATTCTGACTGAGTCTGAATCAGCTTATGGCAAACTGTCATCAGGGTTGGTTACTTCCAATGATGTTTATCAATTCTTAATTTTTATTAACATTTTGATTGTTACTTCCGCATTTATTTTACTGGATTGTACATTTTAGAATCGTGCGTTTTATTTCCTTCCTATTGATACTGTTACTACGTCTACGACTATGGGATCTGGCCTGAAAGTTTCGTTTCTCTTTTCTAATAGATATGGCACCTTGAAATGATGAATGTACGTTCCAAATTCTACGTCGCATCTAACTGAATGAGATAAATTTAAAATAGAAATATACTTACTTGATGAGAGTCTCCAATTCTTGTGTTTGGTCAGATATTTTAATTTCATGCTTACTGATTTGAATCTAATAAAGAAAAATGAATTTACAAAGTCAAATGAATGAAAAAAAAACAAAAGGAACTTGAAAATAGAACTTCAGATAACATGTGTAAATATCAGTTTACTTATTTCACTTTCGGTATGACGTAAATTCAACATGTATGAATCTCCTGAAAATGGAATGAATAACTCTCTAGAAAGATCCAGTTAGCTGAAGATTACAAGCCCACCTTAATATCAATTGCCAACTAGCACAAAAACTAGGTCAAGTGAAACTTCATTTTGACATTATTATTTTCAACGAAACAATTCAAAGAAACATAATTATAATTGTCCAATCGGGAGATAGTTTTGATTAAATCAAGAGATATCAAAAATTAGGGGAGTATAAAATACGGAGGTCAAGCAGCAGTTGTTTTGTCTTTTAGTTTCCGATAACTGGACAACGAGATCACAAAGTTTTAGATTTGATCGTATATATATATGTGCGTGTGTGTAGAAGGGTTGCGACTGTACATAAACGAAAAGTGGTGAATTAGTTTCCAGAAAGCTGCAATTTCACATCTATATTACTTTTTGCAATATCCATTTTAGAAAAGACAGCTTTTTTCCCCTACTTTCTTCTTCCCGTAAATAATTAAAATTATGAACAATTTCAACCAACAGTTTTATAGATAATGGCTACATTCATTCAATTTATATTCTTTTCATAATGCGATAAAACTGTGTATCTAGTACTCCACCTAAGGGAGTCGTGATCGACCGACGAGATCAGTCCTATACAGGTTTCTTTCATACCTTGTAACTACATCACAAGCTTATCACTTGTCTGCTATTTCTATCCAGTCCCAGCGTTAGCAAATAACGTACGACATGGAAGTTGATGGGATGGTGTATTGGTAGAATATGTCCAAGCCATTAAAAGCTGTACTTTAAAAATATTTTAATCGACCAATTTATTTCAGTTTTAATGGTAAGATCATATTTTCTCCATTGTAAAGTAGGCATGGATAAACAGAATACAAAGTAAATTTCACAACTTCTCTGGTTAAAGCTCTAGAGATATAGTGCAACTCAGTGTCTTGAGATGCCATCAGACTTAGGTTAGAATGGAAGGCAATGAGGGATCATTTTACTGCTATCTATTACATTCTTCATAAAAACAAATGAAACTCGTCTAACTGAAACAAACTTGTCTCGATTGTTTTCTTTACTGAACTGTATCTCTTCTGTATCTATTCTACTTTTGTTCATTCATTTTAGTCATCTATCTTGCGCAAATGTAATGCTTCACTATCATGTATCGATCAGTGTTGTTTTCGTTCATCTTAGGAGTCGAAAACTGATAAGTTAAGGTAAGAAAACGACTTCACGTTTTCTACCACTCAGTGCAAAACTTTATAACACTAGTTTTATTCTCAAAAGTGATAATGGCTTCATCATCAGCATAACATTTTATAGACAGCATGATAATGAATTTATATTTCCAATGTAACATTATTTCAGATCAATATGTTTCATATCAATTAAGTGTCAGTTGTGTTCAATCTGACAAGTGTGAATTTTCAGTATAGTATGACAGCTATATTCTTTGAATTGTCCTGCATACGTGTTTCACAATAAACCTGTTTATCATTTCATCTTTATGATGTTTATCAACTATCTATCAAGAGCTTGTAAGATCAGTGTATAAATGCGAGTAATTGGCTTAATAATGTCATGTGTTTGTTGAAGAGCCAAACTTTGTGTCTTTTGCTTCGTACCATGAAAATGATAGTGATTGTTATAAGCTAAACACAAGCAGTAGGATACTGGACACGATGAATCTGAATCGATCATATAACCTAAATAATAAGTGAGTTTTGCATCTTAATTATTATCATTATTATTATTATTATTTATCGCATAAAACACAACAGAAATGAATAGTAGAAAAAATTATTTCAATGGAGACTAATTACCTTAAGAATTTCTTGTTGTTCTTCTAAACTGTTTAACATTTTCATCTGTTTAGCAGAATTAGCTAATAATTTTTTTATAAAAAAAAAAGTCAAGTGAAGAAAAAACAATAACACGAGTCAATATAACGTGACTTGTAAAATGACAATGTTTATCTGTAAAATTGACTCAAGCAAAAGTTAGTATAACTTCAAAAGCCATAATGAAGTAGAACACAATGCTAGCAAATTTGTCTTAGAATAGCTAGTATAACACAATGTATCAAGTATGACGACATACTAGTTATACATAAAACTATCAATATACACGGGTCTTATACAAGTGAGATTACAATGGGAACCATCGAGCAATGAGAATATGATTCATCCTACGATTGTATTCGTTTAGATGAAACTCAAAAGTCCTAAATTCAATCACCATTGAAGTCATGGCTGTGTTCTGTTGAAAAGTCTCGAAGTAAGATGAGACGGATGTTCAGTGTCGATTTGTTATCGATTATATCTTAAAAGACATTCATTTGTGTTAAATATAATCTAGAAATCAGACCAATTTCGGTAAAATCCTTTCAACAATAAAATATATAAAAATACAATTAATTACATTCAACGGTTGCAAATTTTCAGAGTGACTGTGAACTGACCTAAGTAACACGTACATTATTATTTGTATAATTAAAATTAGTATGAATAAAGATTTGAAAGAAAACTCGCAAATTAATCGATAATTACCTAGTTGAGTACCAATTATCTCTTCTTTATTTTCTAAATTGTTGCGTAATCGTTGAACTTCAGCAGTTAATTGTTCAATTTGTTTCCTGAATGAATTAAAATAAACTAAACAGTCAATAACAACAATGAATATAATTTAAAAGTCAAAGATAGTGGAAAAAAATAAACAGACTCGATTATGATATGCAAGTATAATAATAATAATAATAATTTTCAAAGTACAAAATTCTGCGACATTTATTTTTTTTCTTTCAAATATTTATGTTCTCTACTTGAGTAACGCCAAACCACTGTACAAATGACAACACCGGACGTTAGACTCCCACCCTTCAAAAATAAGAAGACGAAAGACGTTGGGTTCTTTGGGAGGATGAAATTACTATAACGTTCGTGTTCGATTGTGCCGAGCTTTCTCAAGAGGATTCTGACTTTGGCGGCGTCATCAAGTTTGTTGAGGTCGACCTTGAACAAATCCTCATACTTCTTGAACCAAGACTCGAAAGTCACACCAGCTACGCCATCAAAATGAAATTCATGAATGGAATTAATTATCGAGTCTGTATGCAGATTATATGAATCATCGATAAAACCTCTGTGATTCAGATTCATTTGTTTCATTAACATCTCTAACATACGTTCCTCGAACAGTTCATATCGTTTTCGTTGACGTTCCAGTAAAGATTCTATCTGTTCAAGGGTATATATATATATATATATATATATATATATTAAGTGATAATCGAATACTTCTAGCTTCTAAGAATGTCATATTACAGTATCTATAGTTAGTTTACAGTTACTTATCGAATGCAAGTACCTATAATTACACCTTTTTTCAAAAATGTAAATCACAGTGAGAACATAATAAAAAATACAGCCTACCGACTAGTTTAGAATTATATATGTCGATAATTAATTCCTACAATCCATTTGAACAAAATGTACGCGCTATTGAATCTACAACGATTTCATAAGGAAACATTGAAAGAAAACTTGTAAAATAAATGTAGACTATGATGAATACTAAAATTTAGGATGAGGACTTCACGCCAGTTGGAACTCATCAACTGGATTTACATGTATCTTATTTTAGTCTTCATGAAGAAGAGAAGATTGTATAGAAAAACCAAGTAAAAAAATAAAAATCACATCAACCACGTAGTGATATCGACAATTCCACTGAAAATAAGGTTAATTTTATAAACTGAATGAACACAGTTTATATAAGACAAGGAAAAACCAATAACAAGGGGGGGAAGAAAAGAACAGCAAAGAATTTAATTTAACTAATAAGAGAAAGAATAACAAAGTAGATAGATCATTTAAACGAATCAATTGATATTGCATAGAATATAATATATACATAAAGATGCGTTAAAATAGACAATTCTCAACTTACAAATGCAATGATTCTGTCTGTTTACTTTCTTTCTGTTCTGAACGAAGCTTTTTTAATAGATTATTTGTTTTCAATTGATCGGCAGATAATTTATGACCTTCTTTTAATAAATTTTCGATTTCTTCATTTTTCTGCAAAACTACATTCTCTAATTCATCGATACGTTTTCTGGTTAGGAGTAAAACAGAAAAAAAACGAAAGTCATTAATCATTTTTTTTCTAAAAAAAAGGGGTCGGTCACAAGCAATGCCGAATCTGGCGAATATGTGTACATCGGTTCAATTTGTCATGTCAAATTAACAAAGCGAGATGAAATTAACAAGATGAACATCAAATTATTACTAGTATTGATAAGAATGAAAAAAGATTCGACTGGAAAGAATGAGTTCGTGGAATAAAAATACATAAAATAGTTTTAGAATTCAAGATTCCATCAGGGACAAACAGTGCATCGATATGTACCATTTTAAACTGATTCTGAGTTATATCACCATATGTTTCCAACCATTAGTGCTGGTAATCATAGGAATCCTAACCAGATCGTTTGAATCCACCAATTCAAATCAATGATCTGATAGACTCATATATCACATATCGATTTGGCCATCGCTAGCTTTCTTTCAACCTACTCCTGGCGAATCCATTATTACATATCGATGTAGGCGGTGGTTGTGGTTACACACATAACAGTCAATCACTGATAGTTATTTCCCAGGATTCTTTAATTTGTAATAATGAAAAAAAAATATTTTCTTTTTAAAATACTATCAGCATCACTGTATAAAATCTACATAAAACCACCTTATTGAATCATAAATATCTCCTCAAAAAATTATTCTATCATCCACTATATCGTTTGACTGGTGTGGTATTAATAACCAGCCCTTCCATGCAAGATAAAACGCACTTACAAGTACATGAATCTATACACTTGGTAAGTGAGTTACCTTACCATTTTCATTTGAAAAAAAGTATTGCGCGAAACAAATGCACATTGTTTGGTTGAAGAAATTACTGAGTATAACCCATTTGTCATGGAACCACTCTATAAATTGACTATCCTTTAATAATATACATATTGTTTGATTAAAGAAAAATAATTTTCGTCTGATGCGTACGATCAGTTTTATAATTATGTTTATCATTAAATCATTATCGAGTGTCTGTGTATAACTCAGTTTGTTTATGAAACACAGTACATCTAGATTGCTTTCAAAAATGCTTGTTACTCAGATTATGAAACTGTATACGGAGGCGTGGGTTGAAAGTAGCCCACTTACTGTCTAATAGCAATATATATGTTAGATACAAGCTTCAAAATAATGAATCAGTAGTTAAAACATAGACAAAATAATTAAAAACTAGATTTCTATACATTTTATAAAACAAGTGGATAGTATTGATAGAATACAAGGTTCGCACTTCATTTTGTTTGGCACTCAGCAACTTGACGTTACTTGCCACATTCAAGAGTTGATGTTCAACACTGAGAATCAAGTGCCGTAACTTTCTCTCCAAACAACAACTATTGAGCCTAAATAGTCACTAGCTAAATTGTTGAGATATTTCTTCACTCCGATATAGAGTTTCAATCAATCAATCAGTGATAAACAAGATCTAGCATAAATGTGCATCATTGGATTAAGTTTACATTACTGTATATTAATGCAATAAGAGCAATGTAACCACACGTTGAAATTAATATCAGTAAACTATAGGAGAAAATGCATATACATTGACAAAATACTCAAATACAATAATAATAATAATAATAGTAATAATAATAACAACTCACAAATCATTATTTATAAAAGGTTTATCATTGCCTACAGCACGTGTTATCATAGGAACTTTCTGCTTCATTGAAGATAAAGATTTTTTCAACTGATCTCGTTCACGATTAACAAGCTGTAATCGTTTCTCTGTATCTGCTAAACGTTGAGAAAACTCTGAAGTAATACTGGATACATCAGCAGTACCAACTGCTTGTGTGGACAGTGTTGTTTTTAATTGTCTGCAAGGTAATAATAATAATAATGATAATAATAATAATAATAATAATAATTAACATTATTTTGACATGGGTGAAAAAAGTCAATGTCGTTTTGATTTCTTCACAGCAATATAACCATGCACACAGAACCTTCGAAAGGTCATCAACTTCAAAGTAGATGTATGTATGCAAAGTAGATGTGATGTATATAGATGATACTTTTGTAAAATACGTGTGTAGTGCAGAAGTAGGAATTTAAGTTTTTAATATCCACAAAATTACTTACACAAAAGAGCATATATATATATATATATATATATATATATATATATATATATCGCACAAATAGTTGAATTTGTGTCTGAGTTCCTTGCCTGGCAGTGGCTATACATGAGTGGTCATGACAAAGCATTTCGAGGGTGCAAATTCTTTGCATTCTCGGTCGTACCAGGGTACTCGGAGTCTTGAAGATTAATTTCGCACTGAGATTTAGTACCATTCTCTCTCAATAAAATATAAACAATTTGCTTGTAGACATACTTTATCGTATACGGACAGATAAAATAATATTAGGAACATTTTTTTGATGGATAAAAAGTTTCCCATGTTTAACTGTTTTAACTGTGGAAATTTTATTCGAAAAGACCAGCTAAAAGAGTTCTCAACAAAACGAATCTATAATATCCACTGAAATGATACTTTATGCAAAAAAATTATCATTACACAGGCTCATGAAATATATTGAAAGTATTTAGCATGGATATGATAATAAATGTGAAGACCGCTTAATGGAAATTTCGTACGATTTGAATACAAATTTTCTTCGCCAACTAAAGGTTGGAGATACATTGAAAAAACAGTAAGCACTAGAAACGTGTGTTTAGTTTCGGACACTTGAACAGTGTGTACAGAATAAAAACGAAAACTTCGAGGTTTTAAAGAGATTATAATATTTCAGAACGGTGATTGATGATCTAGTTGTACAAAACTTCAACCTAAGTGAGCGTGCGGTGTCGCGTGATTGTCAACGAATAACGTCAGTGAATTGCTGATTCGTTTTTAAAATAATTTGTCTCCATAGGCTACAAATCCCCACTAGAAAATAGAGTTGAGCCGGGTTTCAGTTCAATTATCTAAATAAATGGCGCTTATTGTGCAACATAATTGCCTCAGAATTAGACTATATTTGTGATCTTGTGTGAGCAGTGTTAAATAGTCCCAAATTACAACACAAACACATAATAGAGTACCTTAGTTTTCAATGGTTTATGTTAAAAATAAAATTAAAATTGATATGATCGCTAAAATAAATCACTTAATAAAAATAGCTAGTTGAAAACTGGTTTTGTGAAAACAATGGCACAAAATTATTCCGGATAACGAGAAAATATATATATCCCCATTACATACTCTTGCAATGTTAAGACTGAATTCTGTAATAGATTGTTCTCATGGCTAAGTTGCATAATTTTTGCTTCGCGAATATTTAATAAATCTTTGACATCGGAGAATTTCTGAAACAACAAAAGTAAACAGCACCGAAATTATCTCTGTGAATCGCTTGAATTCAAGGTATCTGTGAACAGATGAAAGCATTTTCGAATAAATTTATCAGATGACTAGTTCAAAAAAAAATATATGATCAAATAAAACTGTTAAGAATGTGAACTATGGGATGTGTACTCAGTAATCTAGTGGTTAATCGCTCGCAGCTGAATATGGAGGTTTTGGGTTTGATCAATGGTAGAGTTCACAGATATACATTACTAAGGAATCCCATAATGGGACTGAACAGATATCTAGAGTTTTATAAAAGCTGACCAACAAAGATCACCCCATGATGTAAACTAGGAATAAAGTAATCGCAGTAAAGTCAAAGTAGTTATAAGTATGTATCCATGAGTAATTCACCTCCCAACAGCAACATCCACTGAGCAGCACAGAATTTGGAATTAAATTATCTAAGAAATCACATTACGCTGCTGAAATTATTATCGTATTTTTTCGGTGTGATATGCGACTTTGTAGGAGTATTTTCTCTTCATGACACTAAAAATACAATCAACCAATACTCTTTAGTTCACAGTAATGGAATTTATTTCATTCTATGCATTTTTTATGACGTCAAATTGATAAAGCAGTAGTTGGGAGTTAAATAAGTCCTGATATTTACATATAACCTTATAGTTAATGTTGAATTAAAGAAACCCAAGTTCAGAAATTCGAAAGGCAACAGTCTATTGTAAAGATTTCGATAACATTTATCATAAAGTATCGTTTAAACCAAACCATACATAGATGACGGCCGAATATGATCCAATCTAGGATTGCATTTTCTGTTGTCAAACTTAATATTGCACTTGCGTCTGAGAAGCTACCGAGGATGAATTTAACAGGTTTACCGATTTTACTTGATTGGGTCAAGATAATAACAATATTTAGATCTAAGTTTTTCGTTATTATTCCAGAAAAGTTGATCCCACATTTTTATAATCTCCAGGTTGTCATCAGAAATCCGTATATCAAAAAACAATTTCCAGATTCACAACCCATTACTTCGTGAGAATGTAGTACCAGCAGGAATGCTGGTTGACCATGGGAAGTATCCGACCGATCACATACTCAGTACACCTAGCAAGCAGTATGATCACTCCAATATCTGATGCTGTTTTTGTTTCGTTGCTATCCAATCAATCTACTTGATATTATGGGAAATTAAAAATGTTCTACCCAACATAGGTGAACCCCTGACAGCTTGAGTGCTGGTAGTCTAAAACAAGAGACCGTTCGTCAATTAGTAATCATGAATATTATATAGTTTAAGGCATTTACAGATAAAAACCGTTATACCCTAAATTATCAGAAAAACTAGGAACCAACATTTCTATTATGAGGTGGTTATAATCCATCTTAAACCAAAATCAATATCCATGTTTAAAGAATAGCATATCGTAAATAGTATAATAACACAAATCTTACTAACCTTAGCGAGTTCATTGTAAGCAAACGTCAAATCGTCGTCAACAGCACTAGGTAAATCTTTACAATTAAAACAAATACAAACAAACTTGCTTTTATTGATGAACGTATATTCTAGGTAAATATATAGTTAAAACTCTACACATATAATCAGCATTGTTCAATAAGTGTTCCCAAACCAGATGAGTGATCCCTTGAAAACGCCTACGATCAAATATATATGCATCTGCAAATTTTGACTCAACAAGTGAATTATTCTCCTAGTAGGTCAACTTTGAAAAGTCAGACGATGAAAGTATCGTCTCTGGAAGGATGCTGACGGCAAAGTTAAATCAGAATGGAGAAAGTGAACAAACCTGACGAACACCAGTCGAGACAGTTAATTCCGATGACAGTTAGCAGTAGCGTTCGAGTAGAGAGCTCGTATAAGGTTAATGTACTTCTTTGGTACACTGAAATAGAACCTCAAGATCGACAGAGTCCAATGCCACTATTTGTTCATGTTTTACGACCTGTCAAAGTGTGAATATTTGGTCGATATATCCAAGTCTAGGTTTGGAATAAGACTGGCTTTCAGCAGTTAGGCGTCAAACTATTATTGGAGTGAATATTTTAGACGCTATATTAATAAAACTGACTCCTCTGTGATTGTCACAAGAGGACATCTTCGTTTCTTATACATTATAACAACCAGATATCGAGACCCAGACTCCACCTAAGATTCTAGTAAATGTAAGTGCTAAATAAAGAACGGAGAAAATGTAAAATCCTAATGAACATCTGTGGAAATCGATATTTCTGGTGACAGTTCACCATAAGCCTTGTTAAACCAATAAATAAACGAACTTAGTATTGAGTATATTAAGGTGTTTAATCAGTTACTGACAAGCACAGGATTATGGAATCAAACCTTATCAATACATCTAACATCATCTATTATTCACATAAGGCAGAAATAACTTAATATTTTGAAAATTTTCAATAAGCATCAATCGTCATTTTAGATTATTACAAACAATATGTGGGACTACATATCGATTAACTGAGAGGAACTCCTTACCGCTGTCACACAATACAGTAGGCAGTATCTGCCAGAGATTATATTGGCGAAACAGGAAGAAGGGTTTACATTCGATACCAAGAATACATCCCGAAATTTCTCAGGCCAATGGAATTAAAAGTTTTCAACAGTGCTCGTACAAACTATCTCTGTCACACGAAGCATCAAGACTGAAATCCTTTGGCATCGTCAGCTGCCAGTCGAATTACATTCTTCTCAAATTCGCCGAAGTCATAGCCGTCAGACGCCTCAAGCCGGACTTATGGATCCGAAAGAAAACAGCTGTAAATTTTTCCTTACCTTGGTGACTTTATCGACAGCATACTACGTCATTCCTGCTAATTTATTTTTCCCTCCCCTATTTTAATTGCACCTCTCCTTTAGAATTTAAAGCTTTATTGACTGATCTCAATTCATATTATTCTTAACTGCTATTGGTTTATGATCGAACTACTTCAACATATAATCAATCAATTCGTCATTACATCTCTATGATCTCCTGTTACTATGTCTGAAGATCTAGAATCTCTTCCAAATATTATACTTACATACACCAATATGTTTTCAATCTCACTACTCCACCATGATGATAAATACCCTGTTATGCTGTTACAAGTATGCAAACTTTGCAACAATTCAGATTATTAAAATATTATAGGTTGTAAGCAGTTGATGAGAACCGTATGAAATAAACATATGATGCCAAAAAATTGACCAAGAAACAAATAGTTTAGGTGGGTTAGGAACTTTCAAAAGAAAATTTTAAACTGCGCTAAGTTTTTCTGAAACGAAATTGATTTTTTTTTCAGTAGTGTTAAATAAGTCTTGAGAACAAACAATATGCAACGAGATATTCATCAACTTACCCATATTTAAATCTTGCGAAACACTAGCAGATTTAAGGTTTCCGAAGCGGCCAGAACTAAGGAAGTAAAATAAGGATAAGAAATTTGGCACAAAGTTTAGGGGGAAAAAATAGTGAAACTAAAACGAAAAGGTTTATGGTAACATTGTGTCTAATGGGGGAAATATACATATTGAAAGACTGAGCTTTTCGTCAACATCTGACTTGCTTTAAATAAAACTTATTGAAATAGCCGATAATTTATCATCCATAACGTTTTCAAATATGCTTGAACCTGAATTCACTCAACACAGAATTCCGAAAATCAGAATGCAGTCTGGTCAGACCAGAATTGAAAATGTGATTGCGAATGTCAGTCATTTCTGACCATTTCCATGATTTTATATGGCACCAACATAGTTCGAACCCGGGTTCGAAAATTGCCAGGAGCAGGGGCCGTGGATGCGCACTGCTTATGAGTCCCATACCAGGACGAAACGGTCGTCCAGTGCTTCCAGGTTTATAATGGTGGTCTAACAATAATTGATTGATGATTTCAAATGTGTAAAAACACAAACGTTCAAAACTCTGCCCCAAAAAAGGAGATGTAATTGTCAATTCAAATCCCATAGTAGTAGAGGTAGTGAAAATATTAGCAGTAATCGGAAATTTTAGGGTTCGACTATTTTATTCAAGAAGTAGAATTTAGTGAAATAAACATAAAGAGATAAAGATAAAGGTAGTCGACTCCTACCGACATGACTCAGTCCACTTGTCAAAGACTTCATGGATTTGTGCTATGTCTTGGTCTGGCCGCCCCTAACTTTCATCCAACCTATTCCTACACCGCAAAATATAGCTCGACGAGGCAGTCAGTGGTTAGGCATACGCAGCACATGTCCCAACCACCTCAACTGATCAAGTTTCACTACTTCATCTATTGATTTGCCATCCCTACCTAGTACTCGTTTCCTAACGACAGCATTGCTTATACGGTTGTCCCATGATACACGAGCAATGCTTCGGAGACACCTATGATCGGAAACCAATAACCTACGAATATCTACTCTGACTGGCCATGTTTCACAGCTAACTGCTGAGCAGTACACTCATCCTTTAGTCAGCAAGCAGATATCTTGCCTGCGCCACAGGTGACGCAGGTTGGCAAAAGTCAGTCGAGCCTACTGCATGCGTGCTGAGATTTCGTCAGTCACCAGACCATCAGCAATGATGAGACTCCCGAAACAAGTGAAGCGGTCTACACGTTCGACTACTTCACTTCCTATCACTAGTTCCGGTACCGTTGCAAGCCAATCATGAAGCAATATTTTGCGTTCCGAGGGTGAGAACCGCATCCCGAACATGCTTGCATTGTTACTTAAGATAGTCAAAAGACTGCATTTTGTCAGCGTCTTCCCTGAATAGAACTATATCATCAGCATGTTCTAAGTCAGCAAGCGTGTCTCCTGGTAAAAGGTCCACTCCTGAAGAGTCAAACGATGATAATGTTATTTCTAGAAGCATATATACGACAATGTTAAACAAGAATGGGGAGAGTGGACAGCCCTGATGGACACCACTTGGAGTAAGGAACTCCGATGACAGTTCACCGTTAGCTCTCACTCGACTAGTAGTGTTCGAGTGGAGAGCCTGTATAAGGTTAATGTACTTCTTTGGTACACCTTTCAATGAAAGACACTGCCAAAGAACCTCACGATCGATAGAGTCGAATGCCGCTTAGAGGTCGAGAAATACTGCTATTGTGGGACGTCTGAACGTGTGTCTTTGTTCTAGGACCTGACGTCATGTGAGTATTCGGTCTATACAGCCATGTCCAGGTCTGAAACTAACCTGGTTTCCTCGAGCCTGCTCTACAAGAGCTCTAGTTAGGCGTCCGAGTATTATTGAAGCCAATATTTAAGATACTATATTATTTAGACTGATTCCTCTGTGATTGTCAGTTCTTGTAAATTGGGACAATCAGTGATTGAGAAACGTCTGATGGGATTACGCCCAATCACCGAACTCTATCGAAGATCTCAGTTAAACTAACTGTCAAAATTGAACCACCATCCTTTAAAATCTCATGGGTCAATCTATCAGGACCCGCTGCTCTCTCTTCCTTCAGATTTCGTATCACTTTCTCAACATCATAAATAGTCGGGGGACTTGCGTCGACTTGCCATTCAGGATGACTGCAGATCGTGGGCAACCAAAGTGTGGCTGAAGGCCAGTTGAACTGATACCTAAAGTGTTCTGCCCATCGGTCCAATCTCCTGGATTGAGAATGGATAATAAGACCATCCTTTTCCGAAATATTTTTACTCACATTCGGATTCCTAATACCGGTTTCCGTGATAAGTCGGAACAACTGTCAACTGTTTCCTATTGCCGCTGCCGTTTCCAATGCTCTTGTTTTCGCTACCCACCACTGTTCACGATCGTTGCGTAGGCTTTTTATCAACCTACGCCTAAGCTGACTTCGATCTCCGTCATGTTCAGAGCCAGGTGGGATGAGTTTACAAGCGTCTATCAGTTCGGTAGATGCTACTGAAATCCGCGTCCTTATCCTAGCCTTATGGTTTACCTTGCTAGCAGATATCACTGCTATATCCACAGCCCTTTTGATATCATTCCAACCTGCCTCCGGATGGGAATCGCTTACATGGTCGCCTAACTGTCTTTCTAGTTGTTCCTGAAATATATTCATAGCTTCATTATCATTATGTAGAACCCTAAGATGTTTCCTTGCTATATTTTTCCTTCGTCCAGTCAACCTCAAACAAATACGCGCTCGCACTAGAGGATGGTCTGAGTCGGAGAAAGTGCTCCAGAATGAGCGGCAGGCTTCGATAGAGCCTCTCCACCGTCGGCTTATAGAGATGTGATCTAGCTGGGTCCATCGTTGAGACGACTTAGCGATCGCCAGGTCAAAAGATGTTTGTGATTGTGATCGATTCTTCTAAATGAAGACCTAACTCCAAGAGTAGAGTTTATATTGTTTGAATTATTTTTTTCTTGTTAGCGTTTTGTTGGCAAGTTTTTTCCGGGACTGGGTCGCCAAACCACATCTTAACAATCCTCCTTTACCCGGTCTTGGGATCGGCAGTAGCCCCGAAGGGTCTACCGCCGGAGTTTATATTGCAGGAAATGTTTGCCATACAATAAAATATAACATTCTGCATAGGTTTTGGTTCATGTTCCCCAACATTTTTTATGATATCTTGGCACTCAATACAATGGTTTGCCATAAAAGCGAAATCAAGATGTGCGTCATTAAAAGATTACTTACTTACTTACGCCTGTTACCCCCAATGGAGCATAGGCCGCTCACCAGTTTTCTCCAACCAACTCTGTCCTGGGCTTCCCTCTCCAGTTCTGTCCAATGTTTGTTCATTCCTCTCATATCTTTCTCTATTTCTCGGCGTAGTGTGTTCCTTGGCCTTCCTCTTTTCCTTTTGCCTTGAGGGTTCCATGTGAGGGCTTGTCTCGTGACGCAGTTGGGTGCTTTTCGTAGTGTATGTCCTATCCACTTCCACCGCTTCTTCCTGATTTCCTCCTCCACTGGAATCTGGTTTGTTCTCTCCCACAGTTCGTTGTTGCTGATCGTGTCTGGCCAACGAATCCGAAGTATTTTGCGTAGACAGCTGTTAATAAACACTTATATCTTCTGAATGATGCCTTTCGTAGTTCTCCATGTTTCCGCTCCATACAGTAGAACTGTCTTGACATTTGTATTGAAAACCCTGATTTTGGTTTTGTTTGAAAGTTGTTTGGAGTTCCAGATATTTTTCAACTGTAGAAATGCAGCCCTTGCTTTGCCAATCCGCGCCCTCACATCTGCGTCCGATCCACCTTTCTCGTCGATGATGCTGCCAAGATATGTGAAGGTGTTAACGTCCTCCAAGGTATCTCCATCAAGCGTGATTCGGTTGGTGCATGTTGTGTTGCATCCGAGAATTTTGCTCTTTCCTTTATGTATGTTGAGACCTACTGCTGCAGAGGCTGCTGCTACACTGGTCGCCTTCTCTTGCATTTGTTGTTGAGTGTGCGATAGAAGAGCCAGGTCATCTGCGAAGTCCAGATCGTCCAGCTGCGTCCTAACTGTCCAGTTGATACCGTGCTTCCCTCCAGATGTTGACGTCTTCATAATCCAGTCGATGACCAGGAGAAAGAGAAAGGGTGAGAGTAAGCAACCTTGCCTCACACCGGTCTTTACCTCGAAAGAGTCTGTCAGCTGTCTTCCGTGCACGATTTTGCAGTTGAATCCATCATAAGAATTCCGTATGATGTTGACTATTTTCTCAGGCACACTGTAGTGTCGAAGAAGAGTCCACAGTGTTTTCCTATCCATGCTATCAAATGCTTTCTCGTAGTCGATGAAGTTGATGTAGAGTGGTGAGTTCCATTCAATTGATTGTTCCACAATGATCCGTAATGTAGCGATTTGGTCAGTACATGATCGATCCTTACGAAATCCGGCCTGTTGATCTCGAAGTTGGGCGTCTACGAAGTCCTTCATTCTGTTTAACAATACCCTGTTGAAGACTTTGCCTGGTATTGAGAGAAGAGTGATGCCTCTGTAGTTCTCACACTTGCTGAGATCGCCTTTCTTTGGTATTTTGATCAGGTATCCTTCTTTCCAATCTGATGGTACTTGTTCCTCATCCCAAATCTTCTTAAAGAGAATGTGAAATATTTTCGCAGTTGCTTCTACATCTGCTTTCATTGCCGCTGCTGGAATGTTGTCTGGTCCTGCTGCTTTGCCGCTCTTGATTTGTCTGATGGCTATACTGATCTCCTCAATCGTAGGTGCGCCAATATTAATTGGGAGGTCTTTGGATGCTGCTTCGATGTTGGGTGGGTTCAGTGGAGCTGGTCGATTCAATAGTTCCTTAAAGTGCTCCACCCACCTATTTCGCTGTTCGTCAGTGTTGCTGATTATTTTCCCTTCCTTGCTTTTCACTGGTCGTTCTGGTTTACGATAGTTTCCGGCGAGCTTCTTTGTTGTTTCGTACAATTGTCTCATGTTTCCTTCTCTTGCAGCCTTTTCCGCCGTCATTGCTAGATCTTCCACATATTTTCGTTTGTCAGCTCTGATGCTCTTCTTCACTTCCCTGTTTGCTTCTGTGTATGCAGCTTGTGCGGTAACTTTCTCTGCTCTTGTTCGTCTGACATTGATTGCTGCCTTCTTGTTCCTCCTTTCTTGAATTTTTTCAAGAGTACCAACAGAGATCCATTCCTTGTGATGCTGCTTCTTGCGACCAAGGACCTCCTGACATGTCGAAGTGATTGCTTCCTTAATCCCTTTCCAATTGTACTCCAATGTTGCTTCCTCTCCATTGAGTAGATCCTGAAAGGCCTGGAACCTATTGGTAAGGGCTATCTTGAATTCGTTGAGTTTTACGGTATCCCGAAGAAAGGCTGTATTAAACTTCTGTGATGTTGTCTGCCCCGTTGTCCAGTGCTTCTTTAGTTTCAGTTTCATTTTGGCGATCAGCAAGTGGTGGTCTGAGGCTACATCAGCTCCTCTCCTGGTTCTCACATCCTCCATAGTCCTTCTGAACGTTTTGTTGATACAGATATGATCAATCTGGTTTTGAGTAGTGTGGTCCGGTGAAATCCATGTGGCTTTGTGACTGCGTTTGTGCGGGAATATTGTGCCACCGATGACCAGTTTGTTGAAGGCACATAGGTTTGCAAATCTCTCACCGTTTTCGTTCCTTTCTCCCAGTCCATGTCGTTCCATGATGTCTTCATATCCAGTGTTGTCCATTCCAACCTTGGCATTCAGGTCTCCCATAAGAATCGTCAAATCCTTTGGTGAACATTTATCGACGATTGACTGCAGCCTTTCGTAGAATTGATCTTTAACGTCGTCATTGTAGTCATTGGTAGGTGCATAACATTGGATGACGTTCATTGTAATGTCCTCTTTCTTCGTTTTGAAGGATGCTTTAATGATCCTGGGTCCATGAGATTCCCATCCTATCAGTGCCTTTTGTGCATGTTTGGACAGCATCAGTGCAACTCCTTGTGTATGTGAAGCGTTTTCCTCTTCATGACCAGAGTATAACAGCAGTTCCCCTGAAGCTACTCTTAGTGGGCCTACTTGCGTCCAATGCGTTTCACTGATGCCGAGCACCTCGAGGTTGTATCGTTTCATTTCTGCCGCAACTTGAAATAGTCTTCCAGTCTCCCACAATGTACGAACGTTCGATGTACCTAAAAGAATGGTTGCTCTAGTTGTCAGAAGAGGCATCAGCCCCGTGACTTCCGATGGAACTCGGCTTTCATCATGAGACGTCATAATTCTTCTTCCAACTCCCAGGGCAGAGTTAAAATGGTTTGAATTATTTTTTCTGGTTAGCGTTTTTTTGGCAAGTGAGATTTCAACGGAATGGGGTCGCCAACCCCATGTCCAACCCTCCTCCTTTATCCGGGCTTGGGACCGGCAGTAGCCCCTAAGGTTCTACTGGCGGAGTTGTCATTAAAAGATATAACTGATAAAACATTTGAAAAAAACAATCAACAAACTTAAAATACTAAGTTAGGCTTACCATTTGTTTAAGACAACTGGTGCACTAACTACCCCAAGAGGATAATTTTGCAAAACATGAGGATATTGATTGAATCCTTCCGCCAAAGCTGGCTCGTTAGTAGGAAACATAGTAGTAGGTACATTGGAAGCATGTAACGCATGGACTTCACTACCATTTGTAGAATTACAGCATGAAATTACTTCAATATCTGAACTTGTGGTATTGGTATCAAAATCGTCATCGGCAAATAATGGTTGTGCAGCGAACGGTAACACTAAGTCAGATGAGGAATGAAATAAAGAGATTGCATCTTCATTTGAAAGTGATTTATCTATTAACTGAAATCCCTTTTCTGGAATTGATAAGTGTGAATTTACATCAACAGATGATTGTTGTGTAACATATTCCGAAGGAATTGTTATTCCTAGTACATTACACTTTGGTTCGCACGAATCTTGTGATGTTTGTTGTTCAGTGATAGTAGGACAATCTTTAACCAATGTAGAATCCATTACCTCCTGTGAGCAATAGAAAAATATTAAATCTTAATACGATAAATGAAAGTGGAAAAACATTAACCGACCAAATAAAATGCTTCTTTAACGGCAATGTCACCATAAAACCATCTGTCATATACTAACTGAATAATTTGAGGAAAGCTTAATAAACTAGTTATATGGGTACCAATAATATAACTAGAAGGAATAATGTCTTTTATTTAAACAATTATTTGTACAAAGGGGCACCAAAAAAAATATACAACACAACTCATTGAATTTGTGTGCGCGTTGGACTAATGTCCAGACGCCAAAACAAATGGTTTCCTTAGAGGGTCGGCCCCCGACCTACAGGTCTAATCCACAAGGCAATGGAGCGACGTCAGAAGATCCAGTACCATGGTAGACGGTGACCAAAAGTAGTTTGATACACCATTTGTTCTCCTAGGATCCTGAAGCCATTGTGCACCACTGATTCGCAACCAGGGTTTTACAACTACCCTGTGTGGATCACCCGAAATCACCGATCTGGTTCAAGCTCCAAGCATTCTTCCGATTTCGTAAATACCTGTGCCACGAGAAGGCAGTGAGTAGGACTTCTCTGGTAATAGTTATACACGCGTAGCCATGACATGGCAATTCGAGAAAGTGCGAATTCTTTCCACTCTCGGTTGTATCAGAGTATTTGAGAGCACAACAGAACACTGTGAAAGTACTGTTTCAATGGTTTTGTCCCAGTTAATTCAAACAGACGGACAGATTCCACCAGGTGTATTATAACCAATTGTTCCTCAAGTAACAATCGCATAATATATTTTTAACTGAATTCATGTTAACTAATTTACTTTCTCAAGTAACTTTGACTGATTCGAAACAAATCGATAGTGTAGCACAAGCTGAAAAAGTCAAGAACGACATTAGAATGCAGCCTAGTTTTTGATAGTACGTAATTAATATTTAGCGCAGCTACACCATAGCAAATAATATATGCATGATGATTTATCCACTTTCAGGTACAGAAATCACATACCGAATAGTAGACCAATAATGAAGTAATAAGATAATATGATCTACATAAGTATTTATGATTTTAGGATTACTTAACTCCCGCCTTTTAGTATTGGATTGGTAATACATGCAAACTGTACTTCATAGAAAACTACCCACAAGCATTTTTGTTACTCTATAACAATCTGTGATATTTGGAGTACTACAAATTTACTTCAGATTTACATAAAAATTTTGGTGTAAAATAGAGTAGACGTAAACATTTCACCATCCATAACTGACGCCTTATGAACAAAGAATACGTGTACTAAACAGATAAAGCTATATTCTGCGTGGTTTGTGAAATAAGAGAAAAAAACTTTTTGAATATTTATCGAAATTCCGTATTATTCAGTTTGCGTTTAAAATTAAGTATAAGAAGTAGGTTCTTACATTCATTAAATATTTTAATTTCGATTGTGAATACCACGTGACCCTTCATATATGTCCATTCATTATTAGGACAATTTCATTCACAATCTTAAAGCATCTTAATGAAGCGCTTCATGCGAATTAGGAAGCAGATAAATCACTATTTTAGCCATTCACATCAAAAACAAGTGTGGTTTCAGAAAACATTTGACTTATTAAATATTTGAAAGTTTATCGTATGAACGATGCACACTTATTTGACACAGCTACATATTAACTGAGACAGAAGGTAAGAAATTCATATTATACAGTCCCCAAGATGGACAAATGTTATTTTACAATTCTACCAAGACCATTAGAATTGCAATTAACTGACAAAGTGAAATATCATCCAACGAGTATGAATCAACTTAAACTACTATGGAATAATGCCCCAGGTTGCAACAGGTAGATAAAAGGATCAGCTTAACCTGCGTATACTGAGTCAACTTGCAACACATACTACATAAGTGAGTATCAAATAGTAACCAGACACATGATCTCAAATACACCTAGTCTAACGCACTTTGCATGCTTTGCTTTATCCTTAATTATCATTACATTTCCCTACTGAATTAATAAGGTGAGGTGGCTTAACATTACACATAAATTAAATAGGAACACTGTAGTATTCAATAGTAAATTAAACTGAAGTCGTTTATTGGATACTTGTAGAATATACATTGCTCTTTTTTGTTAACCAGTGAATCAAATAAACCTAATCACAAAAGTCAGGTTTGATATACACACCCAAAACCTAGAGTAGACAAAATTAACAGTGTGTTTGGAATTCCAAAGGATGGGATTGTTTGATTGTTTTATTAGCAGTATGATGGGATATTTGACCGGAAAAAAATATCTGCACAATGTTTTTGAACACCTTCCTGACAAAACGGAGAACTACATACATGAAAAAGAAACATTTTGGTAACATATTAAACAAAATAGGCAAAATATCAAGACGGATGGGAGTCTGTGCAGTAAAAAAAAGTAATAAGTATACCATAGAACAATGAGATTATTATAAATATTTTGGATACAAACAAAACGTGCGTCACATATTTTAAAAACATATTGTAAAAATAAATGACTATCACGATATGTTTTTGAAGAATTGAGTATCAAAATTTTACCTCATCAATATAAATACATCTCTGTTTGTATTCCACACAACAAACAAAACAGCGCGATACCCAAAGAAAAGACAGCTGATAAAATTTGTATAATGAAAATCCTTTAAACATATTTATGTTGATAGAAGAATTAAGTTGTGAAGACTTACCAGTTCATCAGTTTTAATGTTCTCATCAATCAGTGATATGTTAGAACAACTTGGTACGACATTATCTGATTGATCAGAAATTACTGTTTCCAGAGAACCATTAATAAACGAGTGATGACTTGTCACTCCTGTTAAACAAGATTTCTCCAAATCTTCACAATTTCTGTTTACTTCATGCTCTGATTCCGCTAAAATCAGGCGATTAATTAATACATCGAAAAATGACCATTTTCAGCTTCCATGTACAAATATTAACTGATAAAACATAAAGTAAATCTATTGACGTAATATAAATAAACTGTAAAACGTTTCTTGCAATTATATTAATATTTGTTATTAACAATCTTTTCTCACAAATCGTGTGTTTAAATACCAAACTACAATTTCAGATTACAACACTAGAGGGCTACATTTCCGTTTATTTTTGATGATGAAATATTGAATTTAAAAAATATGCTGTGTTTTAGTACTGATGGTGGTACTTCAAAAAAACAGAATCAAGAAATGAGGATTTGTGTTTTATAATGTAGCCATCGCAGCGGTTATCTACACTGTAAAATGCTTTGGTATAAGCTCGTGTATAAACTATTAATGTAGTAGCCTGTAGACTCTCCTGGATTACTGCCGGTCCCTAGCCCGAACAAAGGAGGAGGGTTGTGATTAGGGATGGGGGCCCCATCCGCTGAAAATGCAAAATATTGCTTCATGATTGGCTTGCAACGGTACCGGAACTAGTGATAGGAAGTGAAGTAGTCGAACGTGTAGACCGCTTCACTTGTTTCGGGAGTCTCATTGTGGTGCTGTGTTGCGAACTACTTATAAGTAGTATATAGCGTGAGTGTCAACGTAAAGTCTGGTAGCATAATATGGGGGGAAGATCAAGAAAGGAAGAGTCAGAAAACAATGGAATTTGTATGAAACGCATGAAGAGTGACAATGGATTGATGTTTGGCAACATGAACAGTCCAGTTCCATAGGATGAACTGATCTTTTGCAAATGAACGATTTACGATATGGTTTTCCGATTTTACTGACTAACTCTGTAATTTTCGTTAAATACAATTCGGTTGCCTCCACCTGTGTTCTCATTCACTACATTTGGTGTCGCTGCCAGGATCGAAGGAAGGGGCTCCCGTGGCCGAAGGATTTGCAGGACGGAGATTGGCGGAGCTTCCTGGAGGAGTTTGGGGCCACGGTGGAGCTGGTGGGGGCTTGGGGCGGAGTTGACGGTGCTGGGGACGCTGTGGGGAGGTGAGGCGAAGGCGGTGCACGGCAGCCTGGACGGTGCCACCAAGGAGACGGCGTGGGAGACGGTCACCGGGCGGCTGATAATGGAGTTCGACAGCCCAGCTGACAGGGAGGAGGCGCCGCAGAGGTTCCGGTTGGCGCGGCTGTCGGCCGATGGTGACCTGTTGGTGCTTGCTGTGGAGCTCACCGGATTGCGCCGTGAGGAGTGGACGGGGCACAGTCTTTGGCGTCGCAGTTTATCGAGTGTGTGCTTGCCGCCGTGTTCCAGCATCGGGAACTTGTGGACGCTACACGTTGGATAGATGCCGTATCCATTCCAGACCAGTGATCAAGAACGATGACCGAAGTGGTAATCCGGCATAGTGTAGCGTGTCACGGAATACGGAAGGTGATATTAACTGACCAGGAGCTCTGTTTTGAAGGACCACGACGACAGCTTATTAAAAGGGGGGACGAGTGTGGTGCTGTGTTGCGAACTACTTATAAGTAGTATATAGCGTGAGTGTCAACGTAAAGTCTGGTAGCATAATATGGGGGGAAGATCAAGAAAGGAAGAGTCAGAAAACAATGGAATTTGTATGAAACGCATGAAGAGTGACAATGGATTGATGTTTGGCAACATGAACAGTCCAGTTCCATAGGATGAACTGATCTTTTGCAAATGAACGATTTACGATATGGTTTTCCGATTTTACTGACTAACTCTGTAATTTTCGTTATATACAATTCGGTTGCCTCCACCTGTGTTCTCATTCACTACATCATCAGTGCTGATGGCCTGGTGACTGAAGAAATCTCAGCACGCATACAGTAGGCTCGACTGACTTTTGCCAACCTGCGTCACATGTGGCGCAGGCAAGATATCTGCTTGCTGACTAAAGGATGAGTGTACTGCTCAGCAGTTAGCTGTGAAACATGGCCAGTCAGAGTAGATATTCGTAGGTTATTGGTTTCCGATCATAGGTGTCTCCGAAGCATTGCTCGTGTATCATGGGACAACCGTATAAGCAATGCTGTCGTTAGGAAACGAGTACTAGGTAGGGATGGCAAATCAATAGATGAAGTAGTGAAACTTGATCAGTTGAGGTGGTTGGGACATGTGCTGCGTATGCCTAACCACTGACTGCCTCGTCGAGCTATATTTTGCGGTGTAGGAATAGGTTGGATGAAAGTTAGGGGCGGCCAGACCAAGACATGGCAGAATTCCATGAAATCACTGACAAGTGTACTGAGACATCTTGGTAGGTGTCGACTCGCGGATTGGGGCCCGCGAGATGATAGTAATGACATGACTTAAAATCGTTTGCAATGGCTCAGATGCATTTGTTTTTGTGTTCTCTCAAATCCGAACCTTCTGACTTCCTTGTCACCTTTATCTTTTTCTTTTAGGTTTCTTTCACTAGATTCGACTTCTTGAATAATATAGTCAAACCCAAAAGATGTTTTTCCTTATGCTTAAAATTAGTGTTCGCTAGAAATAGTTGGTTATCTGAGCATACTTGCAACAGACGGTCACCATTCTCTGTTCTCTGAGCCGCGACACCATAACATCCACCTAGGTGTCTTTCATTTTCACTTAGTCTACCTACTTGAGCATTAAAGTCGCCAGCCATTAATACTATATCAGAGCGCCTAGATTTTTGGAGGAGGTCCGAAAGCTTTCTGTAAAACTCATTTTTAACCTCGTCTGAACTGCAGTCAGTGGGGGCATAGGCAGATATGACGAAGAGGCAACGGCGAGTGTCCCTATCCTTCCGAACACCTACTGTCCCGTTTAGTCGGACAGCGCACAAGCGACTATCTACAGGGATCCACTCAAGGAGAGATTGTTCAGCTGTACGACTCAATGCTATGCCTACGCCAGCAAGACCCCGGGAAGCAGCATCAGGGCTACCGGATACGCGAAGAGTAAATCGAGCTACTTCTTTATTTTGATAAGGTGAAATCAGCCGCGACACCATAACATCCACCCAGGTGTCTCTCCTGCTCACTTAGTCTACTTACTTGAGCATTAAAGTCACCAGCCATTATTACTATAACGGAGCGCCTAACGTTTTGGAGGAGGTCCGAAAGCTTTATGTCAAACTCATCTTTCACCTCGTCTGAACTGCAGTCAGTGGGAGCGTAGGCAGATACACGAAGAGCAAATCGAGCTGCTTCTTTATTTTGACAAGGTGAAATTAAGTGAATGACGCTACTTGGATCCTGTATGTGCGTTTTCGAGATGCAGCATACATTGATGGCGCGACATTCTAATTTCCCAGCTAAGGAAGCCTGTTGCCCTATTCGACACAATGTCCGTACATTGAATGCTCCAACATGTAGTCTAGAACAGGGTTTCAGGAGACCAGGAATAACGTTTCGTGAACTTGCATCGTTTGCATTAGCAGAACGGGGTGATAAAGGAATGTGAGAAGAGTTAGCCGTGGAGATAAGAGATATTAGGGGGTGTAGGGTGGGTTTGTTTGTGACCAATTCTGTATGCGCGTTTCCCATAGAGCTTCTGTTGACCTTAATAAGGCCATTGACAAAGTTCCACACAACCGGATTTTATCCCAGTTAAGAAGTATTGAGACTGGCGGACACTTACTCGTATGAACAAAATATTTTTCAAATGGGCATACAAAAATTACGGGTAATTTCAAGTCGCCTAGCTGGGAAACTGCTTAGTGAAGTGGCTCAGGGTACAGGTATGGAACTAGCGTTACTCCTGCCGTATGTAAATAAACTACCTATTAACCCATCATCATCGGTTTTGTTACATGTCGATGACATCAAGATATAAAGATTAAAAATGAAGATAACAGTTTAGAGCTTCAAAATGACGTATCTGTGCTAAATATAATGCCTTGACATATATATATGTAACCAGATTGTTTGAAATGTATAGCGCAAATACATCACATTTTGCATATCAATAGTCTTTTCACTGTTCTATCAAGATTTTAAGTTGCCGATATATGCATATTGGACACCAAGGTGCAGATACACACGGTGAATGATGTTTAGCCACGTGGTATACAAACATACAATGACCTAGGAGTTGTCATTAGCCAAAACTTGAAAACTGCTACACATGGCCGTTCGGACATCGCCAGAGATTTTGGAACCCAACGGTCGGTACACATTCTTTACTCGTGTAGACGCCAAAACATTTTTGCCTTGGTATACTTTGTTTTTTCGTCACAGACTCGAGTACTACATACAACCAGTCAGTCCTTAATGCAAAAAGACAGTGAGTTGTTGAAAGAAGTTGGAAGAGCAACTGAGTTGATTCCCTGAATCGCAAAGCTTCTGTATTAAGAGAGAAAAGGTAAATCAAAATTATCTCTCTTGTCATATAGAAAGACCAGAGGCGACTTGATCACCGTTTTTAAATAACATAATGGTAAATTTGCATCTGACATTTTCCCACTTCTTCCTCCCGAACAGAATATTTACAAGGACACTAAAAAGGTTCACACACCCAGAACAAAATATCAGACGATTACCAACAAATGAAACCCATCACCTTGAATGTGACTGAAGCTTCGTCGGTCGATATATTCAAAAGAAATATGGACCAAATGAGATACCACCATTTCCAAGACTAACACATCAACTGAGTCTGCTGTTCTTTTCAAACTGGCACTGAGACCGTTGACCTAGGATTATATGATGTTTAGATTGACAGCAATAGTAAATAGACTTGTATATATCGAAGAACTGTTCCTAAAAGTCAACCCGGTATTTCAAATAGCATAACATTGTTTTTCACATTAGGCTGCATTTCTAATGACATAACACAATATGACACCCTGACCTGTATCATCATACTGACAAAAAATTAGTCCGAATACCGTCTAGAGGGACTCCATCGTATTTTGGTTTGAAGATTTCATAATTTGAAAGTAACTCTCAGGGAGATATTCCGCTCTGAATTGCAGCAAAATCGTATCCACATTACATTGAGAAATGCTCGTAATATTATCACTGAGCGAGATAAAAGAAATCAAGAAATGATTATTAATGATATGGTATATACTGAAAGTTTACGAGACTTCTATGACACTCCTTTAGTGCTTCACAGCTATGAAAATATTACGAAGCATAAGAGGATAAAACACAAGAAGGAGGTCAAAAGTTTTTGTTAATAAGCATGACGTCGTCAAAAAAAAATCACTCACTCAATTCCGGCTGACTGTGACTTGATCCACTTATTTCGACAGACGCAGATGCTTCAGCTTCGATACCTTGATCAGTTGAATATTCCGGATTAGAGGCCTCATCCGTAATATCAAGGACTTCATCTATTTTTTGCTGAGCGCTTTTAAGGGCTGTGATTGCAATTTTTGATATGTTCCCTGCCTTCTCCAAGGAATTCCACCAACTCATTTCATAGTTCCGTTGGCTAGTAACCTTGAGGTAGACAAAAATTTGAACAAATGTCCTTCAGTATCCAAAACTTTTGTCATGAATGTTGCAAACATTCAAGTGGTTTTGGATGGAAAGGAGAAAGATTTCTTCAATGAGTCTCCCATACTTTGTATCAGCGAATCTTTAATACCTTCAAGTCGTAATTTTACTTAATTATTGCTTACGCTTGTTACCCCCAGTGGAGAATAGGCCGCCGACCTGTATTCTCCAGCCTACTCTGTCCTGGGTTTCCCTTTCCGATTCTGCCCAATTTTCGCTCATTCTACTCATGTCTCTTTCCATTTATCAACGTAGTGTGTTCCTTGTCCTTCCTCTTTTAGTGCGATCTTGTGGGTTAGGAGTGAGGGCTTGTCTTGTGACATGGTTGGGTGCTTCCCTCAATTTGTTTCCTATCCAATCCCACCGCTTATTCCTTCACTATGATCTGATTTGTTCTCTCCCACGGTAGGGTTGGACTCATGGTTTCTGATCAACTTATCCTCAGTATCTTGGGTATTTTCGTAGACAACAGTTAATAAATACTTGTATCTTCTGGGTGATCGTTGCACTAGTTCACCGAGTTTCCACCCATGGCGGTAGAGCCATTTGGAAATTTATATCAAAATTTCAGATTCCGGTATCGGTCAATAGTTGTTTGGAGTTCCAGATGTTGTTCAATTTCAAAAATACAGCTTTTTCCGTGCACGATTTTGCAGATCTTTACCCATCATAAAAATTCCTTATGATCTTGACTATCTTCCCAGGTACGCCGTAGTGTTGAAGTAGCATTCATAGTATTTTCCTGTCCACACTATCAAATACTTTCTCGTAGCCAATGAAGTTGATGTATAGTGGTGAGTTTCATTCAACTGACAGCCACACGATGATCCGTAAGTTTGGAATTTAGTCGGTACACAGTCGATCCATAAGAAATCTGGATGTCGGGCATCCACTGAGTTCTTCATTCGGCTAAACAGCACTCTGTTCAAGACTTTTCCCAGTGTCGAGAGAAGATTGATGCCTCTGTAGTTCTCACAATTGCTGAGATTGCCTTTATTTGGTAATTTGATGATGCATCCATCTTTCCAGTCTGTTGGTACTTGTTCTTCATCCTAAATCTTGATGAAGAGAATGTGGAAAATTTTTGCAGTTGTCACCCCGTCTGCTTTAATTGCTTCAGCTGCAACGGTTGCTTTGCTGCTCTTGATTTGTCTGATGGACACATTGATCTCTTCAGTTGTTGGTGGGCCAACATTGATTGGGCGGACGGCCGACGCTGCTACGACGTTGAATGAGTTCAGTGGAGCTGGTCGATTCATGAGTTCCTCAAAGTGCTACAGCCTTCTATTTTGCTATTCTTCAGTGTTGCTGGTTGTTTTGCTTTCCTTGCTTTTCGCTGGTTTACGATAGTTTCTAGCCAGCTTCTTTGTTGTATCGTACGACTGTGTCACGTTTCCTTCTGTTGAAGCCTTCTCCGCTTGTTACGTCCAATTTTTTGCTCTTTGATCCTTAGAAGCACAGTTTGTCGATCTATTTACAATTCACGATCCCAAATATTAAACCAAAAGGAAACTCCAAAGTTAAGTACCAAAGTTTATCGCCAATTCACAAATAATCGACCAAAATATCCTTGGTTTATTACAAATAGACGACCAATGTCGTTCTAACAACAATAATTATAATAATTACAATTACCTTCTATTTTATAGATTCTTGGGGCAAAAAACTGCAAACGAACAACCAAGAGAAACAGGAGTCCAAAATGGCCGAAAATAATAATTCAAACAAGTTCGTAAGTTAAGTAAAACAAATGTACCCAAAAAACACAGTGAAATTAATGATATTTATGTATAAAGGTTTTGATCAGCAAAATGTCTTCATTCCTCCCGTAACACTCCCGACCAAAAGAACCTTGGTTCTTTTCACCGACAAAAAGAGTTAACAACAATCCAAGTATGTGCATCACAAGTAATCGACAACAAATATTCAATACAGATTCTACACCGGCCCATAAAATCCCTCCAAGCAAAACAAGCCCTTTCTGATACTTCAATTTAGGGTTCACTCTCATCCCCTAATCCACACCGGATGAACGAGTAGGACTTTAACTAGTACGCCCACCCTCCCTCCAACATGGATATGGTCTATCAAGCTAACTAGGTCCCTGTACCTTCCCATCAGGTCCTTGATTCCCCTATCTATCGTAACATGACCTAACGGTAGTATCAACTTCATCCATTTAACCCATATGAACATGTACAACACGTCGTAAAGCTTGTCATATCCTATCCGGGAATTACATTCCACCTCATGGGGATGAGTCGTCAATCCACCACCACTTGCTCCGAACAGCAGATACGATGAAGCCTGTGATGCTGACTTATCAACAGAAGCTCTTGACCCATAGATTATATGCAAGGATGGGGTCTCCAATTTTGACATTTCCTCGTCTCCCGAAGACTCTATGTGGCATAACATAGGAACAATATTCAACTCTCCATCTCCTGGTACAGAGGAGGTTTGATCAGAATTCGTCATCGTCGGCAACTCATTTGCCACATCAGTGGCATCTAGATTATTACCATCGTCATCACGATTCCGTTCTGTCAGACAAGTAGCGTCGTTTCTGGCTACATTAGCATCCGTAGAGTGAAACTCTTCCATTGTTGTATAACTCATCTCGTTATATGAAAGAACAGTATTAGTGTCACAATTCGAAACCGATGAACTCACTTGTTGTTCTTCGTGTTCCGTTTCAGAGACACAAGACATATGCACTTCAATAGCATCGTTATCATGCAACATTGTAGACTGGCTGTTACCATCAGACGCTTTCTTCTCATTTCCAATATAGTGTAAGACAATCATGGAATCCGTCCAAAACACAACTTCTGCAAACTTGATATCTAACTCGGACTGCAGCTGGGACCCCATACGCGCTGCTAACACTGCTGCCGTAAGTTCCAAGCGGGGTATATTTTGAATCTTTAAGGGGATTACTCTTGCCTTAGCCGTAATAAGACGAGAACATATTTCAGTGTCATCGATGTAAGAACGGATGTATGCCATTGCCCCATATCCAATTTCCGAGGCGTCACAGAAAATATGAAGTTCCAGGAGCGAGCGATCTGATTGTGGAATTAATACACAGCGTGGAAAACTAACGTTCTCAACCCTCTGAAATCCACTTAGAATCTCTAACCAGCGTTTGCTTTCCTCACTTGGAATCTCTTCGTCCCATCCCAGTCCCAATTTACTCAAACGTTGATGTAACTGCTTCATAGGAAGTATGTATGGTGCTAACAATCCCAAGGGGTCGTATAATGAAGCTACATTAGATAATATACCTCGCCTAGTGAGAGGGCATTTCGGTATGCGAACTTTAAACTCAAACGCATCAACCATAGCATTCCAAAATAATCCCAATGTGCGTTCCGTAGGAAGTCTCTTAAAGTCAATCTCTTTTACGGCTTCTGCTCTCTCTTCTGGATGAATTGATTCGAGAACCTGTAAACAGTCACTTATCCACTTGATAAGTCTGAACCCACCTTTTCTGAGTAGTAAACCAAGGGTTTTTGCGAGCTCGATTGCATCCTGCACATTATCAATTGATGTTAAATAGTCGTCGACATAGAAACTCTTATCTACAACTTCCTGGACATCTTTATTCAATTCCTTTCCGAATATATCTACCGTCTTCCGAAGAGCGAAATTAGCGCAAAAGGGAGAGGACACGGCTCCAAACGGATGAACTGTCAAACAGTATTCCTTAGCCTATCGTCCTATATAACCAACTTCCCACCATAAAAGTCGAAACGCTCCCCTATCTACTCTCGGTATCTTCACTTGAAGAAACATCTCCTCGATGTCAGCGGCTAATGCTACGCTGCATAATCTGAATCGTAGAAGTATACCAATTAAACTATTTACAGTATTTGGTCCTCTCAAAAGCTGATCGTTAAGAGAACAACCTTGATAGACAGCTGCACGATCAAAAACAATTCTTAATTTTCCAGGCTTTTTAGGGTTGATAACAGGATGATGAGGAATATACCAGCAAACAGCATCACGGTCGAATTCCTCCTTACTAGCTTCAATGATGTAGCCTTTACTTAAATGTTTACTCATTACAAGTTGATATTTCTCCAGAAGACTATTATCCTTCATAAATCTCTTCCTTAAACACTCTAGCCTACGTTCAGCTAGTTCCAAATTATTCGGTAGCCTTGGCTTATCATACTTCCAGGGTAGACCAACTTGGAAATGGCCACCCTCCAGTCTAAAGGAACTATTAACTATTTCTAGAGCTCTTTTATCTTCGACATAATATTCATGACGAAACCCATCTGCATCCTCGAACTCATGATTATATAATCTTTCTATGTCTCGCAAAATATCATTAGTAGAACAATGACACCACTGAACTGGATGTAAAGACCTCGATGCTTCTTCAGGACCTAAAATTATCCAACCGAGATGAGTACGCACACCAAACGGATGCTTCCTGTCTCCCAGGTGTTGTTCAAGGACCCAGTATGCATCTGGAGTATCACACCCAACCAATATTCCTACTAGATTACTTTGCAGCCTCGGTAGAGTTATGTCCTTTAAATGTTTCCACTTTCTCAGCTGGAGTTCGGTTAAAGGTTCTGCCGAATCGATCGGAAGTTTCTTGGTCGTATAGGCCTTGTTGATCCTTATAGAACCCCGCTCATCTAATGAAAATACCTCTAAATTCACTTCCAGACATTCACAAGTAGAAGTTCCATTCACAGTCGTCAACTTTATTGAAGTCTCCTTACCTTTGAGACCTAACCGATTAACTAACTCTTCGCATACAGTAGAGGTATCTGAACCATTATCTAGAAGAGCGTATGTTTCCAAACATCCTTTGGGGCCATATAGTCTAACCGGAACGATACCCAAACAAACCTTTGAGAATTTCCAATCCTTAGCAAAGTTCACTACATGTTTGTTAG